ACAGATGCACTATTTTATGTCTTTCCTTCAGAAATCAACTAGCTCTTCGTGGTGGTGATATTTCTCGTTCTAGGATTAGATGAGATTTTAAGTTCGAACGTTCATCTATTCTGATGATTAAAGAGAATATATTTGTATAAAGAAATTTTTCAGTGTCCATGTCTCGCTGCATTAGTATGCTAGCATAATGCATTTGTATTCTTTTATTTTCGTTTTTTTTTATTTAATAAATCTCAGAGATAGAAGACCGAGGTCGTTCTATCAGGGAGTTAGCCTTTTTAATCGTTTTGGATGGAAAGGAAGTAGCCTATTTGTAGTTGATAGCTAATCTAGGGGTATTATTTCTTTCTTTCCACCTTGTGCAGGTTTAGAGAGTAAAGTTACAACTATTGTAGTCCGATGACCAAGCCTTATTTATACGTCGTTTTACTCGCTAATCCATTATCATCCTTTCAACATAAAAATATCAATAGCTTATATATTTCGTAATAAAGCAAGTAACATCTCAATTTTATTTTCAATTAAAGTTGAACTATTTTTTGTTATTTTCCTAAAAACTAATTTTTTTTTTCTTGTTAAAAACAAATATTATCATTCTATTTTAGACTAAGAGGAGAAAGAAAGAATTGAACTCAGCACGCAATGTGTTAAAAGAAGAAGAGAATTGAACTCTTGCTCAACATATATAATTCTATGTCATTTTCCCACTCACTTTCACTACTTGGAGTCTTGGACCAATTAACCTCTAGGTCCATGGACTCTTTCCAACTTAAAGCATAAACAAGTTTTGAGTTCATATGACATCATTTTGAGTATCTAGCGTGACTGTGCCACATATTGGTTTCGTGTGGATGGTTGCAAGAAAACTTGATGCCATTTATGTCCTTGTCATGCCCTTGATAAACATGAAATTTTTGAACTTCTCATCATTCGAATTATTCAACAATGCATATAAATGTACTAGAGTAACACCTTGAATGATAGAGGCAAAACAAAAAACAAACTTTGGTGAGGTAAATCTAATGAGGAATTAACTTGAGAATCGTATAGTTGTGGCTCCTTTTTGAAAATAACACCATATTTACCTATAAGGAATAGGAATTGAATTCGTTTTGATTCTTGAAATCTCTGTATTTACTTACATCTAAAAAGTGTAAGTTTTTCTTTGAAATCTGTAATCAAATATATTGCAAGGACTAGGTCTGATCGTCTGATTCCCTCCTTACTTTCCTTATTTTTTTTAAATTCTCCAATTTCTTCCTTTTCCCATTATTGTTAAGCAAACATGGTTAAGTCCACACTCAGTGTATAACTAAGGTCTTTCACAGTAGTTTGAATGAGTGTGATACCTATATCTATAAATTAGATAGACTGAGTTTGAAACCTATAACACTAAGCTACACTAGTGTGAGTCAGTAAGTACATGTGAGTTATACTATTTTTCACAAAAATAGATTGATATATTGAACTCATGAGCTCAGTAGATTAGTATCACACTTAACTTTTCTGGCCCATTGTAGTAGTGGAATTTCTATATGAGTTCAATATATTGGTACCCTACTCACTTTTCCAGGCCTACTGTGGGAGGTGTATTATATATAGAGTTTGATGGAGTTTCATAGAGTTAAACACAAGGTTTTGAGAGAGTTTACTTGGCTTCCATAGAATTCAGTGGATTTATTGAATTCTACATGGATTTTCGGAGGGGTTTTTTTTTCTTTTTGTTTTTTTTTTTTTTCGGTTAATGGATTGTTGAGAGACTTTTATCATGAATTTTAATAGAATTATGCGATTTGTCATTAACATTTTAATGATCAATATACTAATTATGTTTTTAAATTTTCATTATTTGAAACGGTGATTATGATCAAGTTCATGAACTTGATCATATATATGAGATGGTGGCGGAGATACCACATGGTGATTGTTGGCTAAATGATGGTAGTAGAGGTGTTGTCTTTGGTGACGGTAGTAATAGTAGGGATGGTGATTGTGGTGGCTCCATGGTGTTGGGGTGGTGGAGTTAGGGGTAGGGACAATGGTGATGGTGATGGTAGAGTTTGGCAGTCATGGTGAAAATGGTGTTAGTGGTGGTCATGGTAGGGGGTGGCCGCCGTAAAAGGTTGTGGAAGTGGTGGAGGTGGCAATGGCAGTTGTGGCGAGGATGGGTAAGGTATATAAGGTTTTGGTAATAGAGGTAGCGATCATGGTGGTGGTGACGACGACAAAAAGGTGGGCATAGGGGTGGGGATGGTCATGGTAAGATGGTGGTGAGTGGTGGTTGTGATGGTCATTGGATTATGGTGGATGGTGGAGTATATCATCATAAGAGGTTAAATTTTCTATGACAAAAAAACTTACTATAAAAGAATCAAAATCCATCAAAATTCATGATGTTTCAAAATCCTTTAAAATCAATGAAATTTTGAATACACATGGATATTTGTAGACTCACAAAAAACAAAGTTGAATACCACAATAATTTCATAGACTTTTTAGAAAACATAAAAAGTCTGTATTTGATACCCAGTACTACGGTCTGATGGTATTCCTGTTTGCTTAGAAACGAGAGGTCTTAGGTTCAAATCTCGTGAATGACGAATTCGATACTAAATTAGGCTACCCATTATGTGGCTTAATCAAACTCTTTCTCCCATAGTTTAAAAATATTAATGTACTAAAAAAAAAGGTCTATATTTAATGCATGGTGTCTTTTATTGCCTCTTTAGACGTTTATATTGAATACATCTATATTTGAGGGTATAAAAGTTCATCAAAGTCGTATACAATACACCCCCTAATCTTCTTTATAAAATCAATGACTAATGAAGGGAAAATTAAGATATTGAAAGATTCGAATCATGGAATCATATTGTGAGACATAAGCACCACACACCACTTGTGTGTGCGGTCCCGTCAATTCAAACTCCTTCTCATATTATCACCTTAATTAGTGAGGTTCTCATGCATAATCCCATCATTAATTATTATTATTATTTGTATATTTTATAGACTGGTGGATACGCACTCGATCATTGTGAAATTGCAGGGAACACCGACTACCAAACTCCACTGTGGAGTTTTATAAAGTTGGAAGAAAATGGTAACCCTAACACTGTGACTAATTATTGTCTTTGACAATTCCTCACAATACATAACTTAATTAGTTCATTTGAGGTCATCCAAATTTACCAATACTATATTCTTTTATTTTTGTCTTCCACTTTCAATGAAATTTATGCATGGTGTCGACTAACACAAATTTACATACCAAACAAAAAAAACCAGCAAGAATAAGAGAATTTAATTCAATGTTATTAATTGTTAACCTAAATTAGACATTTAATTAAATAGACTTTTTATATTAGCACCCCACAAAATGTTGAATACACTCCACATTAAAATTTAATATTAAATAACTTATTTATCCTACTATGCAATGACAATTTTGACTTTATTAGGTTAAAAAAAATAAAAAATTCTATATACACCAAAATCACTTTTAACGTATTCAACTATCAAAACCCTTCTGACCCTCCATTGTTGAACAAAACTCTAATCAATGAAACTACAAACATGTTGATTGAGAAAAATTATTTTTGACGAATGTAACACGAAATCGATGTTTCATAAGCTTCACATGAGGTAAGACTTAATATTATTTATTGTTTTAGTGATTTTAACAATATCAATAATTATTTAATCTTAATTTTGATGCGTTATTTAAGCTTCTATGTTCGTATTCATCTTTTAGGGATCACATGGATTACATGAATAATTAAATACCTAAACTTACCATCAAATATTAAAAACAGATGACATGGGTTTTAACAGTGGAATTGAAAACAACCCACATATGCTTTAAATCCTAGGCGGCATTTTTGTCAAATTTTAGTCGGTATTTTTTGTCCAAATTAAAAGCTTTATAAGATTTGAAAAATGTGGGGTGTATATAAAATATGGAGTGTATATAGAAAATGTAAGATATATATTAGGAATGTGGGGTGTGAGGGAATTATAGGGAAATATGTGTGGTGTATTAAGATAATTTTTAATTAAAAAAGTAAATATAAAATGTATTAAATATGTAGGATTTATTCAACAATATGTAGAATGTTAATATAATAAGCAAATTAAATATCACCAACCCAATAAGAGAGATTTTTTTCCTTACACAGGCAATATCAAGAGTATAAACAACTATATATAGAGGCATTTGTTATCACATTCCTGATTTATCGTTTTGCCAAATTAATATATTAAAAGTAGGGGATGGATTAATATCTAAATATTTAAAATAGGGGATGGATTTTTAACACTACTTTTCTACAAAAATTTCCACATAAGTTTTTGTAAGATCCATTTTGTAATGTTTTTCAATGATTTAAACCGTATATCTTTTAGGTATTCTCTAAAAGATTATGTCTACTAAAAATCACCAAACTTTGAAGTCATATGACCGTTGGATTAAGAGTTTAGATTATGTCTACTACAATGAATGTCTTAATGATTTTGGATTTGTCTAATTTTTTGCAAAGATAATCTATGAATGACGTTAAAAAAGATAGACGTTCAGATCATTAAAATACATTATAGAGTGTGCTCCAAAAAAATCTGTATAAAAAGTTATGTAAAAAAAGTGGTATCACGGATCCGCCCCCTTTAAAGTATTTACGACGAAGCGTTGGAGTGTATATATATACACACACACACACACACTGATACATTTATACTAAGGGTTGTGAGGAATAAATTGGTTGCGAATTATTTTTGAGATTTAAACTTAAGATCTCTCACTTATAAGCAAAAAAAAATACAACTAAATCGTAATGGATTTTCTAGCTATTTGTATGCTATTGCTATCGTTTAAAAGATGGTAGATGTGTGATGTATGAGAGACTGCTCATGACTATACAGTGACATGAGTGCCAAAGTTCCCAAGTTGTCATTGCTTTTGGGACTTTTCTTGTCTATATAAAGGACCCATAAAACACTCGGAAGCATTTCATCGAGACACTTCCCAAACGTTTTATACCAACCTCCATCAGTCCAGCTCCCTACACCATCACTTTCCCCAAAGACGCCATGACAGAAAATGGCCACCAGATGCAGTTATCCAGCAACAACCCCTCCGCCACCCGCCGCCACAAACCCTCCAGGGGTGGCTGGAACGCCGCCATTTTCGTCATCTGTAACCCTTTAATTTGTTATAATTTTTTTTTTCCCTGAAAAAAGTTCAAACTAATTAAATTACAGATTTAATTGATATTTTTTTTGTTTCGGTTATTTGATTTTCTGAAATATTTATATCTAATTAATGTGCAGTTGTAGAGATAGCAGAGAGATTTGCTTTCTATGGCGTGTCTGGCAACCTCATCATGTATCTTACAAGGATCTCCACCAGGCCACAGCCACGGCGGCAAAGAACGTAAACATGTGGATCGGCGTGTCGTCACTCTTCCCTTTAGTTGGCGCTGTGGTGGCCGACTCCTACCTCGGCCGCTTCGTGACCATCATTTTCTCCTCCTCCATTTATTTGATGGTAATTTTTTTCCAGGGTTAGCCTTATCATATATATATAAGGGATGGTTTAGTTATGATCCCTAACGGTTATAGACTCAAACCTTATGTATTTTAGATTTTTGATTGAAGTCTCCTTTCTACTACATAAATTATATAATAATAAAAGAGATACAATAATACCAATAAAGACTTAACCGTGTTTTTAATTTTTAATTTTAAATTTTTTTTGCTTTCATTTACATTACCAATTTAATTATTCAAAATTGCTTATGGGTTTTGATTAAAAAAAAAATTAATAATTACTTATGGGTGCATTCTAGATTATAAAAAAATAGGATTTTATTATTTTTATTTTATTTTTTAGAAATGAGTACATTTATATAATAAAATTTGGCTACATTTTATATATAAAAATTGGTACATTTACATAAAAAAAACGTGGGTACATTTTATATAGAAAACAATGGGTACATTTTATGTTAAAAAAAACAATGGTATATTTTAGATTAAAAAATAAATAGATTTTACATTAAAAATGAGTACATTTTACATAAAAAATGGTACTTACAAAAAAAATAGGGATACATTTTACATGTAACAAAGTGATACATTTGTAAAAAAAATGGGTACATAATAAATAAATTATGGGTACAAATAAAAGGTTAAAAAAATTATGAGTACAAATAAAAGTTTAAAAAATAAGGGACAAAAAGAAATTAATATATGGGTACAAATTAAAATGTAAAAGAAAATTGGTACAATTTAAAAAATGGTTGCAAATTAAAAATGAGTACAAACTAGAAATAGAAATTATGATAAAAAGTTTAACCATAAATATAATATATCAAATGTAACGTTTCTAACACTAAATAAATATATTAAAAAATAAAACTTAATTATCTTGACATGTAAATTTTTTTTTTGAATAATTAATGGTGTTTATGAAAACCAAAGAACTTTGATCAAAATTTGAAAATGAATAAAATTTTAATCAATTGAGTAAAAAAAATAAGGATGAGAATCTAATATCTTCTATATATAAACTAATTAATGTGCTCTAGCTAGCTAATGCTGTTTTGTCACATGTAAAGGGAATGCTTCTACTATGCTTATCTGTCTCCGTTATTCCTCGGCACTATCGCGAAGCAGTGTTCTTCGTTGCTCTGTACATTTTAGCAGTTGGCGAAGGCGGGCACAAGCCTTGTGTCCAAACCTTCGCCGCAGATCAGTTCGATGAGGACTCGGACGAGGAGAAAAAGGCTAAGAGCTCATTCTTCAACTGGTGGTATTTAGCGATAGTCGTTGCTGCCACCGTTGCCACACTTGTGGTGATCTACATTCAGGTGACAGATAGTTGTCAAACTATTTTCCCAGTTCCCACATAATCTTGAAATGTTTTGCATTATTAATTATGTTTTAATCGTCAAACTTTATAGATATTATATTTTAGCTGAATTGTTTAGTTAAATTTTTGAATGCATGTCATTTTTAATTGAATTTCGTTTCGTCATTTCTTAGTTTACTGCTACGTGACAAAAACAAGCCTCAAAATTAATGCATTTTGTAAGATAGGGATCGGAATCTTCAGATCTGTAAATTTTTCTATCATACTGCAGGACAACGTGAGCTGGGTTGTAGGCTTTGGCATTTTAACCGTGGTTGTGGCAGCAGGCCTGTTATTATTTTTACTTGGAATCAAGAGGTACCGGAGGCAAGCTCCTCTCGGAAGCCCCTTTACCGCGGTGGCACAAGTGTTTGTGGCGGCGGCACGGAAGTGGCGCGTGAAGGAGACGCCTGATTGGGATGTGTATTGTGGGGATGATGAGAGGAGTGGTGGGAGTAATATGGAGGTTCGTAAACTCAAGCGTAGGACTTTGGCTCGGACAAAACAATTCAGGTATACGTCACTTTTCAACAATATTTGGATTGATTTTCTGAATGAGAAATACGAAAGAGACTCCTTCAAAAGGAGACTTTTCATAAATTTTTTGTCATCTCACAACTTAACGTTAACTCTTGTATTAATATTATAAAGCATTGTGTAAAAAAAACAAAAGTGATAAAGAATATTTGAAGAGTCTCATTTTTTGAAAAAATCTCCTAAGATTACACTTTGTCAAATTCTAATTAATTGAGTCGTACCAAAAAAATGTTTAATTGGGTCAGGTACGAGTAGTCAGTCCACTTGGCAGGCATGCCCAAGTCTGGGAGGCTTTGCCAAGTTTTCCTAATTGTTGGACTTTATGAGTAAATCACAAGGTCAACGTGCATGGGATAAGTGTTGGAAACGTTTATGGTTGTGGAGAAAGAACCTAAAAACTAAAAAGGTGATGTAACATTGAAAAATAAATAAAATAAAAGTAGATGATGTGAGAGTCAAGTTAAAAACCGCACTGGATCATGTTGTAGATCACATCTTTGATTTAGATGTATCTATTTTTATAGGCGCATTGTTTAGCTCATATGTCACTATATATGAGTTTTTATTGAAATTATGTTGCTAAATAGTTTTGGAGAATAACTAAGAAGATAATGTCAGAGTTGAGTTAACAAATTTGAATTGCATTATAATTTGGTGGCTATAAAGTTTCATATATCGCTGCATGTATACTATAAGCACTTACCACATATATAAGTGAGGGAATAAATAATTGAGTTTATTATAGGCTTGCAATTTTGGAATTCCCACTTTAGTTTCTTGCACTATATATCATCATGAGTTTATGAGAATTATTAAGTATTCCATCATTTCAGTAGTGTAAAAAATATCATTGTTTAAAAAATTTAGTATTCAATATGGAGTTTGGTTTTTATTTATGATATAAGCATATCGACTTATGGTTAGCTTATTATTTTTAGCCTAGTATTTTTCATGTTTATGGATCAAGTGGCGTTAGATTCGAAAGTTATTGCTATAGCCAAACATGAGAGAAATGTCATTTAATGATACTGACCAGATCATTTGATCGGGAATGGGGTGTAAATTAAGAGTGCCAATGTTATTATTCAACTTAGAAAGGGATTTACATGTTTTGTTTTACATGCATACATACATTTATATATATATATATATATAATTATTTCCATTTGATCATGAACATAATATACTCGGTTTTTATTTTCTAACCAAACATGCTTAAAAGTATATTCCAAAATGCAGGTTTTTGGACAAGGCAATGATCATTGACAACCTTGATGCATCAAGCAACGTTAGGAACCCTTGGAGACTATGCTCTCTAAAACAAGTGGAAGATGTGAAGCTGGTCCTGCGTCTTATTCCCATATGGTTGAGTTGCTTAATGTTCAATGCAGTTCAATCCCAGCTCCACACCTACTATACCAAGCAAGGTTCAACGATGATTCGCTCAATCGGACCCCATTTTCAGCTTCCTCCAGCATCCCTCGGAGCCCTCGTTGGCCTCGTAATCTTAATCACCGTGCCAATGTATGACCGGATTTTCGTCCCAATAGCCAGAAAGTTCACGGGACATCACTCAGGCATAACCGTGCTGCAAAGAATCGGCTTTGGCCTATTCCTGTCCATACTCAACATGGTTGTGTCAGCCCTAGTGGAAGCCAAAAGGGTTAGTGTTGCTAAACAACATGGGATCATTGACAACCCTAAAGCAGTAGTGCCAATGAGAATGTGGTGGCTGCTCCCACAATACTTCTTCTGTGGTTTATCAGACACATTCACAATTGTAGGACTCCAGGAATTGTTCTACGACCAAATGCCGGAGGCGATGAGAAGTTTTGGAGCAGCTGCATATTTAAGTATAATAGGAGTTGGAAGCTTCATAAGCAGTGCTGTTATATCTGTGGTACAGGCTATTAGCTCCAAGGCCGGTGAAGAATGGTTAGGTGACAATCTCAACCGCGCACACCTCGATTACTTCTACTGGGTACTTGCAGGATTGAGTGCTTTGAGTTTGTGTGTTTACGTCTTGTTTGCAATGAGTTTTGTGTACAAAATTGTTCAAGGGAAAGACTCAGCCGGGGAGACAGAGGCAAGCACTAGGGTTGGAGAGGCATGAAAGGCTTGGTTTGAATTACTTTAGTGAAAAGAGAAAATTATAGTAGTGATACTTGTACTAAATCTACTAGCTGAGTGTGCAACTATAATACATTCTCTAGCAAAAATTATGTGCATTAATGATGGAATAAGATCCACTTCTAATCTTTGTGTCCGGAGTCCGCAGATCGAGAGATCTGAACCGTTCAAGAAAGAGATCCAAGCAGTTTAAGTTTTTGAATTTTAGTGAAATGGGCTAGTGAGATGGACTAATGGGGGTCGTAGATTGAAATTGAATGATATGGATCTCTCGGTCCGCGAGCTCCGAACACAGAGTCCGTTGTGGATCTCATTCCATTAATGATAGGCTATTACACAATTCAAAATTTCAAGTTGAAGTTTAGCTATTTCAAAATGGCGTTGGGCCTTAAACCCTAGGGGAAACTCCAACGCCCAACTTGACGAATATCGTACTAGACTTTGAATATGAATTTTTTCAACGAAAATGGGGTTTTGAATTTGGGACGATAATAATTTTTAATTTATCATTGAGAAACACTTAAACAACACTATAACGTAACAATGTTATGCAACATAGCTTTGACATCAAATACTAAATTAACAATTTGTTGTACAAAAATTAGCCTTTGGAGTTTCAGTCAAGGAGGAAAGATTTAAACTTCGGATGTTTTTAATTTTGAAAGTTTATATATTGATGAACAGCTTAGGTTGGTACTTTATAAGGTTTAGATGCTGGGAATGCCATGTCTAATCAATGTGGTTGAACTTAATATTTTTTCTGTTAAAATTGTTACTTTTTATAGTTTTTGGGAAAAAAGAAGAATAATTTTTCAATAATTTATAAAACTAATCATAATGCCTCCAACTGTTTGATCTAAAGAATTTCAAATCTAGGCTTTTTATTATGTACAAGTGCATAAATAGTGTATCACGCTACATGAAATGAAATCCAAGCACAATTTAATCGTTTTTTGCATGTGATGGGCTTTGTGAACAGTGATGACCTGGACTACCAAATGGGCTTCAAATAGTAAGCCCTTTTGGCCAAATATTTTCCTAATGATTTTTATCGTTTCGTTGGAGATAATTTTAGGTGAAAAATAAAGAATATTGGTTATTTGACACCCTATTAGAGATGGACAAGGATTGTCTACCTTCCACTTTCGATATCTTTCCTGTGCCTTCTTGTTTGTGTGGTCATGGTTAAGCCACGTTAACATTTTATATTATTATTATTTTTGTCTTATTATCTCTATAAAAAAATAATATAAAATGTTGAAGTAACTTAACCTTGACCACACAAAATAGGAGAGCACAGAAAAGACACCGGAAGTGGAGGGCAGACAATCCTTGTCCATTAGAGATGACTTAAAAGTTTTATTAAGCTTAACCCAAAAAAAATTAACACGTAAAAAAATAATTTTATACTTTCGATTAGGTTAAAAGCAGAAGCGGCTTTGGAGAATGGAGCGAAATGTTCGCATGACGTTTTTCAATTTTCACTTTCCTCTCCCTCTTCACGAATCGCAAACCACCCTTTACAGTGGTGCACTCTCCATTTTGCCCTCCTTCATTTGACCAAACCAAACAAATTCTTCGCAAACCAAAACGGTCAACGAGTCCGTTCCAGTCATTTCACACCCCTAAGCCCCCACAAAACACACACCCCGTAAACCAGTACGGCTCCAAAATTTCAAAAAAATCCATCATATTTTTATTTTATTTTCCTCTAGAAAAACGCGGTTGTTGGGAAAAATTCCAAACATGTTCCGATTTTTCGCCTTAGTCATGTGAGATAGAAATGAGATGTAGAAATGTCTATGTGAATTTTTCGGTTCGTAAAATGATGGACTGGCTTGATGAAGTTACTAGCGGGTCCCTATTTAGAAAAAGAAAAACCAGGTGGTGATCTGTGAAATGACCAAAAAGTCCAAAATTCCCAGGTCCCCAACAAAATTCCCTTTCTTTCATGCAAAAACCATTTCACCCTCCCACCATCTCTCTCTCTCTGGTCATCACAGTCTCAGAAAAGATGGAGTGAAAGCGACAGCTGAAGAGGGAAACGGCGCCGTTTGAGAGAGTAAGCTCCCTCTGCCGACCAATTTTTGTGTCCGTTTGTGAAAAAAATATACTGAAATTATTTTTGGTTTCAAAAACTTTGACGAGTAGAGCTCTCACTCCGTTGAAAAACCGTTTTTGGTTTTTAGGTTTTTTCAGGGCTTAATCTAGGGTTTTGGAGTCAACAACCCAGTGTCAGAGTACGGAGGAAGCGAAAAATTGTGGTAATTTTTGCTCTAAATTGTTTGCATTTTGCTATTTGGTGTTTGGTGGCTGAGAAAATGAGAGACTTTTTACATGGGTCTTTTTTGTTTTGCTTGGGAAATTTAACTGTGGGGGGGGGGGGTGGGGGAGATGTTGGACATTTGGTTAATTTTCTCTCTGCTACTCAGTGACCAAATGGACCATTCTCTCTCTCTCTCTAACGGTGACGCTAAATGCATTTGTTTGCGTTTTGTTTTCTGGGTTCCAGTTAGGGTTTTCTTGCCTGCGAAGTAGCTGTGAGTACGAACAAGCGCTAAGACTCCGGTAATTTTGCGCTTTCCTATTTCTGCATATTTCTTTTGTGTTTGGTAGCTTAGAAATTGGATGAAATTTAGACCTTGTTTCTGCTTTTTGCCTAGTTGTGCTGGGTTTTTAACTCTTCCCACTTTCTCAGAAACTAAACATACTACATTGGGTCAGATTTGTTGTATTTCGTTATTTAGTTTGCCTTTAACTTATTTGATTATTATTTTAATTGTTTTAGAGGTTGCTTCCTCCCTCAAACTATTTGTTCTTAAATTTTAGCTTAGTAATGCTGTGTGTGGTATACTTGCATGTTGATTTTGCTGTAATAGCTACAGTCCTCCTACATTTATATATATTTCCCTCTCTCTTTCATGGCAGTTTCTTAAGGTTTTGCAAAGGAAATGGAGGAGGCCTCGACCTCAAATATTTTAGATGGGGAAATCGTTGGAATCAAATTTGGTTTAGCAACTCATCAAGAAATTGTAAGTTGAAATTTGACATTTACTTGGGAAGTTATTGAGTTTATGCCATTTGCAGCTGAGAGAGGGCTTAACTGCATTAGTTTGTTTCAGAGAAAATAAAATTGCATTCCTTTGATAGTAGTTCAAGGGAGAATTCTGTTTCGTTTCTTGGAGGGATTAGACTCTATTTTGAATATTTATATTCTGTGCTCATATAAGGCTTCATTTAGGGATTATACCAAAAGACAATTATGGCTTTCTATTGGTCAAATGTAATATGCCTTCAGCAATTTGTTCCCCGTATTGTTCTTAATAAACAAAATAAAGTAAAAGATGCCTTCACAGCTAATGTGTGACTAGTTTCTATGGGAGAGTAAATTAGAAAATCTATTGTTCTTAATAAACAAAATAAAGTAAAAGATGCCTTCACAGCTAATGTGTGACTAGTTTCTATGGGAGAGTAAATTAGAAAATCACCTCCAAGTGTTTTTTACAATTTGTTTTATTACTACGAAACTCAACCATTGGAATAATTTTTTTTATATTTTTATGTTTACGTTTTTGGCAGTGTACAGCATCTATTAGTGATTGCTCTATCAGCCATGCAAGTCAACTTTCCAACCCCTTCCTTGGCCTGCCCCTTGAGTTCGGAAAGTGTGAATCTTGTGGCACTTCTGAACCTGGGAAGTGTGAAGGTGCATAAATTTCATTTCTCAACCTTTGGTACAGTGAGTTATATTATACATGTTGTGAAACCAGTCAGATGTAAGAAACATTTTATAAATTGATATTTGAAAGAATATGGTTGGAAATGTAAGTGTATCCTTTACCCCTTTTCAGGTCATTTTGGGTATATTGAGTTACCAGTACCAATATTTCATCCTAATCATGTTAGTGAATTGAAGCGGATGCTGAGCTTATTGTGCTTGAAATGCTTGAAAATGAAAAAGAACAAGGTACCACCTGATTGAGTTCTTCATTGTTTAAAATTGTTGCTATGATCATTACTTGCAGAGCAGATACAATATATCCCCTTGGTTAGCTTGTTATTTGGACTTTGGTTGTCTGTTAAGGGAAGAGATGCAGATTCTGGTTTGTTTGTTATATTTTTCAGCTGAGGAACAAAATGATTTACATGAAGAAGCAGTTGAATTTTGAAGCTATTTTTGCTGTGTCATCCATTCCAACCATCACTAGGATTGCTTTTGGTTTTTTATTTTATCATTTTGTACAAATGCCCTTCATTGCACCGTATTTGTAATCTGTGGATTACTCTTGTTTCTTTTCATTTAAATTTCATAAGTTGCTTTAATTTCCCAATTTTCTCAACGAAAGTCTGAAGCTTGAACTTAATACTAGAGAATCCACGATTGTATTATGTGAATAGTTCTTTGTCAACCACAAGTCTCACAATATTTTTGTTTTTGTTATGTAATTGGAGGACAAATTTTCAGTGATGTGGGTTGATCTTCAGCATCTGTAATTATGTAAACTGGTTGTGCGCGCTTTGTATTTGAGTAGCAGTTTTTTTATTTTTATATTTAAAAAGAATATAGCTGACTGGATGCTTTTTGTTATCATAAAAACCTCTGTGCTTATATTCTGTATCCATTTTTCTTACTATTCAGTTTCCAACCAAGAACGCTGGCTTAGCAGAAAGAATGTTAGCTTCATGTTGTGAGGTACGTATAAATTGATCATTTTCTGTTTTCATGATGTCAAGTGTACTTACTTTATCTAGTAATTTTGTGGATCTATCGCTCTCTGAGTTTCTCATGGGCGTACACGCACGTTTACACCCACTCACCCACCCACTAATTCTAATTTAATGAAATACATGTTTTTTGAACAGTAGTTGGACAGCTATCATTACATGGTTCTAGTTTCTAGTTAGAAATGTTTCACTATGCTATGTTTCAATTTCCGGTGCGTCTTTTGTATATTGAAATTCTGTTCTAGTAATTCAAGTTTCCTAAAAGTTTTATTTGGAATGGCACTACATTCCATGAGCTTGCAGAAAAGATCAATACTTGAAATCCTAATGGAGTCAGTATTCCTGGTTTAGATTGTTTTTCCCTTAAGTTCTTGTAAAAAAGGGTCAATTGATATTAGGATATGTGTTCTAGAACATTAAGTGTGTTATCTCATATGTCTTCCTTTGTTGGGATGCCCCTGCACTCACTAGGGGTTTAGAGTTTTGATTCTTTCAGTTGGTGTACTATGTTTAAAGATCAAACGTAATATAATTAGATAAAGTTGTTTGTTGACCGTCAGTTGTGTGCTTTTTTAGTCATTACATTTGATTTTACAAGCAAAATGTCTGTTTTTTAGGGTAGTCCATGCACGGAGAATTTAGCATTGTTAATTTGAGTTGGCATGTGGAGGTTGAACGTTTCTGATTTGCTTTAGAAAAGGAGACCTAGTTGTCATCTTTCTCCTATTTGGGGTATCATGTGTAAAGGGAAAGGAGATGATGCATATCATTTGTTGTCCACTGTCCAGGAGCTTTAAATTTGTGATTCTCATTATCCGGAGAGGCTGGAGTGAGTTGGGTAATTTCAGAAGGGTTCCAGTCACTACTTAGTGAAAGTCTTTTTGCTTTTGGTAGAGGTAAGAAGGCTAGACTGTTGAGGGGCTGCTGGTTGTTATGTGGGTGTTATGGATGGAGAGGAACAGGATACTTTATGACAATTCTAAAGGGGGTGGGGTTAGAAAATCTTTCACAATGGGTGATGTTTTTGTCATCTGTTTGCGCTTCAGTTCGGTGTCGTCAGAGTTTTGGGGTTTAACATGTTCTTCTCTTTTGCTCAATTGGAAAGCTGCTATGAGACAACTTGGTTGTTGTATTTTTCAGTTGCAATTATCTAATGAGTTGCATATGTTTCAAGATGGTATCTCTCTCTATAAACTGAGCACGTAATCTTCTGTCAGCTTATTATTGTCATAAACTTTACACTGTCCTCTCCATGGATAACTTTGGAGATAATGCAGTATTAATCGTTTTGTTTTATAGCAACTGTTTAGTTTGTGGGTTTTCCTGTGACTAAGTTAGAAATTTTCTTATCTAAGTTGCTTCTTTTGCTAAAATTGTGGCTCTCTTCATGTTTGGATACTTTTTGGATATAACTTGGAAGACTCTGCAAAATTTTCTCTTCATTTTCCATCTACTAGTTTTATGGCCTCTCATTTCTTATGTAGGATGCTGCACAAGTGTCTATTGGAGAGACTAAACCAACAGATAGCTCTTGTTCCTTGCAATTGAAGCGACCTTCTAAGTCAAGAACACCACCTGGTTTTTGGAATTTCCTAGAACGATATGGTTTTCGTTATGGTGATGATCATATACGGACTTTGCTCCCTTGTGAGGTATGGATCTTACTTCCTGACTGAATTCCTCTTTGCTCATCTCACATTCTTGGATCTTGATTTGAATTTTGTTGCCCAGTTATGTGGATTGAAGTATTTGTTTGATCATAGTTCACTTTCACTTCCATGCTGTTTTTGTTAGTGGAAAAGTTTGATGTTTTCCATTACGAACTTATTTCTAATTTATTAATTTGACACTAATGCAAAGAAATCCGCACTTGTCACAGAAATAGACAAAGTGAGCACCTTACTTTGGATTCCTCTTTGACTTACTTTATGCATTGATCAGGGGTTGCTGTTGCTTCTGCCAACTTCCTTTGGATTCAATCCACATGATTGATTTTAGCTCCACTAATTGTTTTGATGGCAAAATTAGTTGAAGTCCTTGTTTGCACATAATTCATCTGTGGGAAAGGTTTTCTGGTTTACTGCGATCACTACGTCTTAAATCTAGTATGAGGCACTTACACACATGCAATCATCCCCTCTATCACAGTAATCTGGCAAACTGATTCTTCATTGAATGGATTGATCAGAGGGTGCTGTTGCTTTCATCAGCTCCCTGTGGCTTCAACTGGCACAGCTTATTTAATTCACTAAATAGATGGTGAACTTAGTTAGCAAGATGTACAGCTCCATGTGGTTTCAACTGGCACAGTTTATTTCATTCACTAAATAGTTTGATGGTTAACTTAGTTCGCTAGATGTGTGTAAGTTGATTCTAACAAAATGACTTTAATACAAATCACTCATAATGAAAATCATACTGGTCTTATAGAATTCTGTTGGCGTTTCCTGTTTCTGCTGTTTGTAACTGTTATTTTAATGCTTTTTATCACACATATGATATATTTTCCTGATACATATTATTTTGGTAATGAATACCAGGTGCTGGAGATGCTAAAGCGAATCCCTCAAGACACCAGGAAGAAACTTGCTTCAAAAGGCTATTTTCCTCAAGATGGATACATCTTGCGTCATATACCTGTCCCTCCAAACTGTTTATCGGTACCTGAGATTTCAGATGGTGTTAGCGTTATGTCCGCGGTAAGTTTCTTTAGTTTCTTAGTATGCTAATGGACTGTAAACATTTTTAGTTTGACTGTTTATAACTTGTTTTTCTGTCATTTCCAGGATCCTTCGATTTCAATGCTTAGAAAAGTTCTAAAGCAAATTGAAGTCATCAGAAGTTCAAGGTCGGGCATACCTAATTTTGAATCCCAAATTGTAGAAGCCAATGAACTTCAAGCAATTGTAGATCAGTATCTTCAAGTTAGGGGTACTGGGAAGGCATCACGGGACATTGATGCGAGATTAGGGGTTAATAGGGAGCTTAATGCCTCTTCAACGAAAGCTTGGCTTGAAAAAATGAGGACACTGTTCATCAGAAAGGGTTCAGGCTTCTCTTCCCGCTCAGTGATTACGGGGGATGCATATAAAAGGGTGAATGAAGTTGGCATCCCTTATGAAATTGCTCAAAGAATCACCTTTGAGGAGAAGGTTAATGACCATAACATTAGGTATTTACAACAGCTAGTAGATAAGAAGTTATGCCTAACCTATAGGGATGGTTCATCAACTTACTCATTAAGGGAAGGTTCCAAAGGGCACACATTTTTGAGGCCTGGTCAAGTGGTGCATCGGAGGATTCTGGACGGGGACCTTGTATTCGTAAACAGGCCCCCAACTACACACAAACATTCGCTACAAGCACTACAAGTGTATGTGCATGATGACCATGTGGTGAAAATAAATCCTTTGATATGTGGGCCACTAAGTGCTGACTTTGATGGTGATTGCATCCATTTGTTCTATCCGCAATCGCTTGCTGCAAAGGCAGAAGTTTTGGAGCTTTTTTCAGTGGAGAAGCAGCTGCTTAGCTCTCATAGTGGAAAGCCAAATTTGCAAATGGCCACTGATTCACTGTTGTCATTGAAGATGATGTTTAAAAACTATTTTTTGGATAAATCAGCAGCTCAACAACTGGCCATGTTTGCTTCATCTTCGTTGCCACGACCTGCATTATTGAAAGCAAATGCTGCTCGCTCATATTGGACTGCTTTGCAGATATTACAGACTGCATTGCCTGCTCACTTTGATTACTGTGGGGAAAAGTACTTAGTCAATAAAAGTGAGATACTGAAAATTGATTTCAGTACAAGTGAAGTTTCGGCAGTGATGAATGATGTTGCTACCTCAGTTTTCTTCGAGAAAGGTGGCGAAGATGTCCTCAAATTCTTCGATTCTCTACAGCCCTTGCTGATGGAGAACATATTTTCAGAAGGGTTCAGTGTTGGCTTGGAAGATTTTTACATGTCAAAGACATCAATACAAGATATTCAGAAGAATATTCAGGATACTTCAGATTTGTTGTATCATCTGAGGTCAACCTACAATGAATTTGTAGAGTTTCAGTTAGAGAGTCGAATAAAAAACTTGAAAGTACCAGTTTCATGTTTTATCTTGGAGTCATCTGCATTTGGTGATTTAATCGACTCCAAGAGTGATTCGGCAATCAACAAAGTTGTACAACAAATTGGGTTCCTAGGCCTACAACTCTCTGATAAGGGAAGATTCTACTCGAAGACTTTGGTTGAGGATGTGGCCTCTCTCTATCACAACAAGTATTCTTTTAACATGGAGTATCCCTCTGCAGAATATGGACTAGTTCAAAGCTGTTTCTTCCATGGGTTAGATCCATACGAGGAGATAGTTCACTCCATTGCTACACGAGAGGTGATTGTTCGGTCCTCAAGAGGATTGACCGAACCTGGGACCTTATTTAAAAATTTAATGGCCATTCTTCGGGATGTGGTTATTTGCTATGATGGCACGGTCAGAAATGTATGTAGCAATTCAGTAATCCAATTTGAGTATGGAGTCAACTCTGGATCTAGGCCCCCGAATCTGTTCCCTGCTGGTGAACCTGTTGGCGTGTTAGCTGCCACTGCAATGTCAAATCCTGCGTACAAGGCAGTTCTTGATTCTACCCCAAGCAGCAATTCTTCATGGGAGCTGATGAAGGTAGTTAGTTTGGCTATTGATTATGATGGTGTTTTTCCTTTCAATACTTGTTTTTATATTTTATATCTTCTTTCACACAATGTTTTTGAGCTGGGGAAGGTACATTCATAATTGTTGATCATAACTTGAATTTGCACTGTGTCTTTTCTACAGGAAATTTTGCTTTGCAAAGTCAATTTTAAGAACGAGCTCATTGATCGCCGTGTAATTTTGTACTTGAGTAACTGTGGTTGTGGTAGAACATTCTGCCGAGAACGTGCAGCATGTTTGGTTAAGAATCAGTTGAAGAAAGTCAGTCTTAAAGATACTGCAGTTGAATTCATGATTGAGTACGCTCTGCCTCTTCATACTTTTTTTGGCAACTTTTTCACGTATAGTTTTGTTCAAGTATGTTTCAAGAAATGTATTTCTCAATCCCTTAGTTCATGTTGATATTGTCAATAGTCATATTCCCTGCTTTATCTGCATCAACACCTTTCTTCAAGCTAACACCACCCACAGTTGAACTGGAAATGAGTACCTGTTACTACCTCTTCTCTGCTTTAACTTATTTTCTATGCTGATACGCTTTTTCTGTCTCTTCCCACACTGTAGCACAACTAGATTTTAATTTTATTTGTCAGCTTTCTCGGTATCTACTTAAATTTGTTAGATAGCCCTGCAGATCTAATACGTGGTTCTGTTTCTAGAAAACCTTGCATGTTTCTGAGGAGAATATGCTTTTATAATTCTGGAAGAATTATTTGTTACATGAATAAGTGAATGGAATTCATTTTATTTCTGTATATGCCTTCCGTGATTTGCTAACTAGAAAGGGTTTTGCCTCTGCTGAAATATATATTTAAGAGTCTGCAGCTCCTTTTTGCATAATTTGGGTTAACCATGCGAAGTTCCAGCTTAATAATAGTTAGATACCTGAGAGCTGATCAGTTTAGTAATAGTTGTGTACCTGATAGATAACATTTGGTATTTCATCAGATAAGTTGCTATAGCAAAGTCATTAAAAGCAGAGAGTGGAATCTTCTATACCACTTTTATGAGAATATGTTGCTCTATTACTAACAACATATTTTTTTAGTCACCATGTAGTTGACAAGATATTGAGTTTTGCATGTACTACACATTTTACGTATTTGCAGTTGTATAATTAATGTGTGACAGTGGACTTTAAAAAATTGTGTCCTACATGCAGATATAGCAATCAGCTTTCTAGTTTGGGAAGTATGGTAAATGAAGCAGGCCTAGTTGGTCATATTCATCTGAACGAGGTTTGCATTGTTCAAAGTGTTGGAATGTTTTCTTTATACTTTCATTTACAAAGTTTCTTTTAGTTCTCAGTTTCGATAACAAAAGCTTTATTGAACAGGAGCTGTTAAGGGAGTTAAATGTTGGTGTAGACGAGATTCAACAAAAATGCCAAGAAACTGTTAATTCATTTCGGAGGAAGAGAGTTGGGAAGAAAAAGTTCAACATTGGCTATCTTTTCAAAAATACAGTTTTGTTTGCCAGGTCTTTTTTCCCCTCTCTGATTCGATCATATTTATGTTTACCAATTACCATATTGACTTGATCATTTTTATTTCCTATTTGTGTGATGGAAGATACGTGAGAGGAAAATGAGGCGAAGTCACAGCTTCAATTGATTTTGGTCAATATGATATTAATAATTTTACTGAGGAAAGTGGAACATTATGAGCTATGCTTTTATTTTTATTTATTTTTTATATGTTTTTGGTTTGGATTTATATGGCCCTTCTAGTTATGCTTCCCTAAGATAAAGGAAGGAAAAAATTCTGAAAGGAAAGGGGAGGTGAAAACTCAATAGCTTGATAAGAGAAACATCACCAGTACAAAGTCCACCGTAGTAATTTGGGCTGATCATTCTTGTTGATACAACAAAACATGAATATATACATATATAACATATCTTTTTGTGGTTCGAACCCTACCTGCTTACTGGATTTAAGAGCCCTATAGATACTGAAATTTCATGTCAAAAGAAGATTCATATTTCAAAATCATTTCCATGTGGCAGTTGCTTACTTTCAAACCATATATAATGTTTATATTTGTGTGACATCCCCTTTCCCTTCCCCTATTCCCTATTGTGTTCCTAAGTTTACTTGTGTCACCACATTAAAACTACTTAATGATAAATGCTTCATTGTTTGCAGTGAGCATTGTTCTTTTCATCATTCCTGTGCAGACAAAAGATCTGACTCCCCATGCTTGATGTTCTTCCTTCAAGCTACTGAAGAGTTGGAGACCACTTCGCAATACTATGCTGACTTGATTTGCCCTGTGCTTTTAGAAACAATAATAAAAGGTAGCTTTTAGAATGACATTCTACAGAGTGAAAAATAAATTTATTATTTGAGTTTCCTTGTTTTCCAGTGAGTATTGGTCTTTTGGTATGTTTTGCCAATTCACATCTGAAACAGAAATGTCAGTGATTTTATGCAATTTATGTGTTCTGCTTCTCTGTCTGATTGCAGTTCTGCTTTTATTTGTTGTTTGAGAAATATCCTTCTTCTCTTCTGTCTCATGAACCCCCATCTTTACTCTTTTCATCCCATCCCAAGGTAGAAATTTTTGTTTTGTTAGTTGCGTATGAGATGACCATTACTTGTGATCATGTCCAAAGTAAGAGGCCAAATCCGTGCCTATCAATTGTTTGGTGTTAAATGTGCAAGAATGCAGTCCAAATATTCCTCATTTATTTCTAGGTTGAGTTGTGTGTTTTTGTCCTCTTTTATAGTAATTAATTTATTAGTTGAAAACATTGTACTTTGAGGAGGCAAATAAAGCTTTGTGGAACTGCGCCGGTATGATATGGTTTTCATTTTGGGTGATTTGGTTGGATACTATTGCTTGAAAGTTGGAGGAAAAGTTTGGAGAGGTGCAGCAGTGGCCTTGACATATAGAGTGAAGCGTTGGACATTTTAGCTTTAAGCATTAGTAATGCCTGAGTTGAGAGATAGTCCTTTCATGATACTTGATCAGATTGGGTTCAGTCAGCCGATCTTTGGAGTTTTGATGCTGGTGATAGGAGCAGTTTTATTTTTTCACTTATTGTAGATTTTACTAAATGGTGGGCATGTTTACTGCTGGAAACTATTTTTCTAATTCTTCTGTTACTAAAGTCTTCGTGTCTCTAAAATGGACAGGTGACCCTCGAATTTCGTCAGCAAATATAATATGGATTGATCCAGATACAACAACTTGGATTAGAAGCCCAAATAAATCTCAAAAGGGTGAATGGGCCTTGGATGTTGTTCTGGAGAAATCTGTTGTCAAGCAAAGCGGTGATGCATGGAGAATCGTTCTCGATTCTTGCCTCCCTGTGCTTCACCTAATTGACACCAGGCGTTCCATCCCGTATGCCATCAAACAGATTCAAGAGCTGTTGGGAGTGTCGTGTGCTTTTGATCAAGCAGTTCAGGTAAAATCAGAGGTTCACAGTTTTCCATCTTTCTAGTGCGAATCTTGAACTTTATGACCCTGTATCAGAAGCCATGCCAGCTTTTGTGGGTAGTTGTCTATATTATGGGTTGTAATTGGGCTGCATGTATGTTTTGTTGGTGTCATTTAGTAGTAGGCAAGATAACCTAAATAATTTGTTTCAAGCAGTATGTATTTGTATTGACACTAACTTAAATTTTTCTTAGTCATTTTATGTTTTGATAGCTTGAAACTGAAATTTTCTGACATGGACTTAGTTGACTCCAAGCCAAGTTCATTACTGAATAGTCAATACATCTTCTGTCAAGTGAAAGTTGCACTCAATCCATGTGTAAGAAAATCTAGGGAAAAAGTCCTCATTGTAGAAAGTTTCATCCAATACCAATCAAGTGCACAGGAAAAAATCTGAAATTTTCCTCATACAATACCAATTAAATAGTTTCTTGTGTCAAAATCTACTGTTTGATACTAACTGAACCTTTTTATTGTTCGTTAACAAGTAGGTAAATTTCAGACATGCATTAAGTAATTGCGATAATATTGTGTTTGGTGGATCATATTTAGCTGCTGTATTGCTTTGGAAATTATCAGCTTTTGTGTCCAGTAGCTTCTATGTGTGTAGTAAGCTTTTCTCCCGTTGGAATTTTTGACTTGCTAGACTTATGTTGTTCTTCACAGCAATTAATTCTTTGCTTCCTTGTGTATTTATTTTCTAGCGGGCATGCTTTACCACATCAGTTGTGTATATATTTGTATGTATACTTTATTATACAGTGATATATTTTCTATATTATTTAACCCCTAGTTATGGATCAGCCTTTTATGTGACTGATCTTCATTAAGTACGGACCTTCTTATGAATTTTAGATCTTTTTTGTAATTATGTGCTGTCTTTGTGGTTCCCTTCGGCATGGCACCTTCTTTTTAGGCCTGTACATCGTAGGAAATTTAACTTTTTTAATTGTCAAGGAAAATTGGATCATATTTAGACCCACTCTGGGTGATATGAGATATGTCTCCTACTTTTGTATTAAGAACACACTTTTGGATTGATTACACAGCGCCTCGCAACAGCTGTTACAATGGTGGCGAAAGGTGTCCTGAAAGAGCATCTTATCCTCCTGGCAAATAGCATGACATGTGCTGGAAATTTTGTTGGCTTTAATTCTAGTGGATATAAAGCACTATCTCGCGCATTGAATATTCAAGTACCATTTACAGAAGCAACACTTTTTGTGAGTAATTGAACTCTTTTACCTAATTTTGTGAATGGCATGTACCTATAGCTCGTGGTTAGATGAACTACAATCACAACTAATTGTAGTTTCATTACATGTGATTGTAGACACCAAGAAAGTGCTTTGAGAGAGCAGCTGAAAAGTGCCACATGGATTCGTTGTCAAGCATAGTTGCATCATGTTCATGGGGTAAACATGTTGCTGTTGGTACTGGATCCAGGTTTGATATCCTGTGGGACACACGAGAGGTAAATATGTTTTTAACATACTTGTAGTGTTTCTCAGTTGTATGGAGTAGTTTAATCTACTGTTGGAATGTTCCATGCCATTTAATTTAAATATTAATTTTTTTTTTCCAGGGAGGATTGAATCAAGAGGGTGGGTTAGATGTTTTCAACTTTCTGCATATGGTGAGCACAGCAAATGGAGAAGAAGCAACTACGGGAGCACTGGGGGCAGAAGTTGACGATCTTATGGTGGTAGATGAATTAGCAGATTCGTGCTTGTCGCCAGAACTTGACTCTGGTCTAGATAGGCCCGTCTTTGAAGATATTATTGAATTTGAGGACAAATCAGAAACTCCTCCTGGAAAGTCAAGTTGGGAAAATGATTCCTCTGTATGGGGGACAAATAGTACAAGAGAAGATGCCACATCATCTTGGGGGAAAACTCCAGCTAGAGAAGCTACCACAACTACTTGGGGGATAGATAAGGCAGCAGAAGATACCACTCCTGCATGGGGGACAAATACTGCCAGGGAAGATGCGACATCTGCCTGGGGGAAAACTAGAGAGCATATCACTTCTGCAGGGGGCGCAGATAAGACAAGTGAAAATGATACATCATCGTGGGGTAAAACTCTAGCTAAAGAACCTGCCGCATCTTCTTGGGGGATAGCCAAGGCAGCAGAAGATACCACTCCAGCATGGGGGACAAATACTGCCAGAGAAGATGCCGCGAAAACCGGAGAACCTCCCACTTCTGCCTGAGGGGCAAGTAAGGTAAGTGAAAATGATACACCATCTTGGGGGAAAACTCCAGCTAAAGAAACTTCGACATCCACTTGGGGGATAGATAAGGCAGCAGAAGATACCACTCCTGTATGGGGGACAAGTACTGCCAGAGAAGATGCCACACCTGCCTGGGGGAAATCTAGAGAAAAGACTGCTTCTGCCTGGGGAACAGATAAGGAAAGTGATAATGATACATCATCTTGGGGGAAAAATCCAGCTAGAAAATCTACCACCTCTACTTGGGGTATAGATAAGGCAGCAGAAGATACCACTCCTGCGTGGGGAACAAGTACTGCCAGAGAAGATGCCACACCAGCTTGGGGGAAATCTAGAGAAAATACTGCTTCTGCCTGGGGAACAGATAAGGAAAGTGAAAATGATAGATCATCTTGGGGGAAAACTCCAGCTAGAAAACCTACCAACTCTACTTGGGGGACAGAGAAGGCAGCAGAAGATACCACTCCGACATCGGGGACAAATACTGCCAGAGAAGATGCCACATCTACCTGGGGGAAAACTAGAGAACATACCACTTCTACCTGGGGGACAGATAAGGCAAGTGAAAATGATTGGAGTGGTAGAGGGGCAGAGAAAGTCGCACCAATAGACCTCCCACCGACAACAAAAGACGTAGATGAAAAGGACAATGGATGGGGTGCTGTTTCTTGTGGGGAAACAGAAACAGGGAATGAAAATGCTTGGGAACAGAATAAGTCTTCCGAAATTTCAACTGGTTCTTGGGGGCAGAAAAATCCTCCCGAGACAGAAACTCAACCTGCAAGCTTGTCTGGGTGGGATTCACCGACTGGAGATGGTAATACTGGTGAAAGACATCACCAATGGGGACAAAACAAGAAAAGTCGTTTTGAAGGTTCAAAGAGTTGGGTTTCTAGTCCCGGGGAGTGGAAGAATAAGAACCGTCCTGCTAAACCACCTGGTATGATGAATGATAATTCCAGTGTGGTTGGACTCTATACTGCAACAAGACAAAGATTGGATATGTTCCCTAGCGAGGAGCAAGATGTTCTTTCTAATATTGAACCTATTATGCGCTCTATCCGAAGAATAATGCATCAATCTGGGTTAGTTTTCTATTTATATTCTTTCTTATCAATTAGGACGAGACTAATCAAATTATCAAAGTGTATGATGCTATTCAATTTTCTGAAGGAGAACTGAGTTTTTGACGCTTAGATGTCTTGTCTGAAGTAAGAATGCATTTAAATCTGGGGAATTTGCTGACAAAATCCTCCCTCACAGTCGACTGCTTTTTAACATTTGAATTATCATAAATCACATATAGTGCAATGATGTTGTTTCATATTCATATGCCAAAACTCTAGTTGAGCCTGAGTCTAAGACCGAAGTCCCTCCCAAAATGTAATCATAGAAGGTAGTTGGCTTTACAACTCTTGGGACTCCAAGTTTAAAGACAAAGTTGGGGAGGTTGTGGACTATTTATGAGAGACGGCTTAGGTTTCTGCACCTCTCTGGGCTTCGGTCACGTTTGTATACCATGGTTGCCCTTGCCCATTCTTGTCAATTTCTACTAGAAAACTGCTATATTGTAGTTGTCCTGACTGTAGTATGGGTGGTTTTTGTTCTGTTTTCTACGTTGTTGGATGGTGCACTCTGTCATACTTTTAATATCTTGGTTTGCAGGTTGTCAACAGCATATTTGTGGACTGCTTGTCCACTTTGATTGTACTTCCCATTCATATGAAGCCTATCTTTACACAAATATTAAGCATAACAACCATAAAGGAAAGGCATCTAATAGCTTAATGAATTTTACATGTTGCATTTGACTTTCCTTTTGAGATGTCTTAGGGACATCATATCTTCACTCATCTTGATATTAAATAATTGATTTCATTTTGGGGCATTATAATTATTGGTGCGTTATTCTGTAACTGTTTGATTTTTTTTTTTTCTTTTCTTTCCTTTTTTGAATGTTTTAGTTGTGGCAACATCATTGCTTGGTGCTTGACAATGTGCTAACCTAATATCGGCTTTTAAATTATTTTATCCAGGTACAATGATGGGGATCCACTGTCAGCTGATGACCAGTCATTTATAATTGATAATGTTCTCAATTACCACCCGGATAAAGCTGTTAAAATGGGTTCTGGAATTGGCCATCTCACAGTATGTTTATCTGCCCTGTTCTTGCTTAACTATTTATTTAGAATTATGTTTCTGTGCATATTTGATACATTATGCTTGGAATCTATGACTGATGATTTCATTGTTATATTGGTTAGTCTAATGTTCATTTTATTTTTTACTGAAGTATAACATTTATACTGAATTTTGTACATTGTCCATTAAGGTAAACTTCCATGTGTTTTGTGACTTTTGTCGCATGCCTAAATTTGTTCTGCTTCTCAATGGAATTCAAAACCCTTTTTTAGTCAATATTTAATTTTTAGCAAAGGGTTGCTACAGATAGGAAGATGATCTAGACGGGGTTTAGTCGGAAAACCATTTTTCTTCTCATTTGGTCTAGCTATTCACTCGTGGCTCCAGCCTGCCATGGTTGAGGAGATCTAATCTTTCAGATAAGAAGACATTAGACGAGTATATACTTGTCTTTAAATACGAATTATGATTCCGGTCTGTGTCGAGGGTTTTTAAGTCCGGACAAGTAATGACAGGGAAGAGGTTTCTTTCATTGTACTGGGAAAACATAGCCAGACCAGAATACCTCGTCTTATTTACCATTTCTCAGGAATTATTTGCCTTGTAATGATATCCCCCTCATATTGCATATGTTGTGTTCTTATCGAAAACCAAAAGAAACACAAATTTTCGAAGTTGTGTTTTTTTTTTTTTTGGATGAATTTGGCTTATGTATTAATGGATTTATTTGGTCTCATATTGTCCTAATTTACACCCTCCATTGATGACAGGTTGATAGGCACGGCAGTTTCCAGGACAGCAGATGCTTTTTTGTTGTGACAACAGATGGTCACAAGGAAGATTTTTCGTATAGAAAATGCCTGGAGAATTACATTAAGGAAAAGTATGCTGATGTTGCCGAAACATTCATAGGCAAGTATTTTACCAGGAGAGGAGGGAATCGGGAGCGAAACCCCACTCCAAGTCAATACCCCATTCCACAACAGACTCCAAGCCAAACTCCCATTGCAGAGGAAACTGTAAGTCAAACCCCCATTTCGGAGCAAACTGGGAACGAGGAGACGCAGTAGGGCATGGCTATTCCTGGGCATCGGTCATTTTGAGATTCTGATGTAATTAGGTTCCGAACCTTCTGCAACTCTGCCTTTTGATTTGTATATATTAGGCAGTCGTTAGCAGCTCCCGACAAATTCAGCATTTCGTTCGTTGCTTTATGTTTAATTCGAGAGCGTTGATTAGTTTAACTAGTTGGTAGCTACTGGATGCAGTTAACCTGAACCCTGAATTGGGAGAAAAGTGAGCTGCTTACTTATGTTGCAGTTGAAAAAAATCAAGTTATTATATATGAAATGCAGAAGTCTTGTCAATGGCCTTCAGTGGCTTCTATTGCTCAGGTTATTATGCATCTGATTTGGTGTTTTTTTTATTTAATGCTCCTCTTTTTTCCATTTTTCTGGTTATGGATGTAAACAAACCAAATCACTTTGCTCGAGCTTCGATGCGCCAAACAGGAGCCCAATCCGATACAAGCTCGAGCTGTTTCGAGCAAACCTGTTTGAGCTATTTGGTTTGGTTTTTCACCAATAATGTGTAAATTGAACCAAGCCAAACCAAACTCGAAGTACATTGTATTTGATTCGTTTTGCCTTATTTGAAAATCGCTTAAACCAAACCAAACGAAAATCACCTACATGTTTTGACACTTCGGCATTTTCCCCTATATGTTATCACAATTTTAGTGAAACCTTAGTACCAAACAGATTCTCAGTCTATTACTATTTTAAATTTAGATTATGAAATTCCTTTTATATATATATATATATGTATGTATGTATGTATGTATGTATGTATGTATGTATGTGTATATATATATATATATGTATGTATATCTGAGGTGATATAATCGAACCAAATCAAACAAAGCCGGCTAATTGGGCCACCACCCCTACCTGGCATAACCAGGCGGATCCTTGTCGGATTCTTTTTATGAGAATCTTCATATTCGTTATAGTATATTATGTGATCATAAATTATTGTAAATTTTTTATTTAAAATTAAATATAAACAGTACTTAACAAAACTTAAGTACCGGTAAAGTGATTAGAGGACCGGTAGAGTCCTCCAAAAAGATCCGATGAGGATCCTCTCTCGCTACGATTGAAAAAGAAACGTGCAAGGTTATCCAATCAACCATTATTTTATTTAAATTTTTTGTGAAGGAATATGCCAAATACAACAATCTATACAAAGTCACCATTTTCTTGATGTCATTACTGCTTTATGAGCTCCACTCTCCCACTCCCACTCCAGTCTGAGTGATCCACAACATCTGAGTTTCGGCCATGGCTGCTTCTTTGCCGGGTCAACTCGTTTCCCTCTTAGAGAACAGGCAGCAGCACGTGTGGGAGGACCAGTCAATCATCAAATGGCGGAAGAGAGACGCCCATGTCCCTTTACGCTGCCATGAATCAGTTGAAGGTCAGACACTCATGGCATTCCATTTTCAATTTCAGTTTCTTGTTGCTTTGATTTTTGATTTTCTAAAATTTGATTTCTTGAATTTGGTTTTTGTATTTTTAAGCTTTAGGTTGAGTAGTTGAATTGTTTTTTGCTGGGGTTTATTGATGAATTGTTGAAGTAGAACTCTTTGATTCAGATTCACATTGTATTTTGGATGTAAATTTAATATTCGAATGCGTTTGGCTGAGTTGTTTACTATGAATTTGAGGTTCTACATGCGATACATATTGTAAATGATGATGGTTTAGTAATTTCATGTAAAGTTTTGACTTTGCAGATTATACTCGACTGCGTTTGAGTATAAGGTTTTTGGTCTAAAGTTGTTGTTGGAGTTGTGATATATTAGGTTTTTGGTAGAAATGTTTTTTTTAAATATCTAGAGTGAATAGGGAAAGGTGTGGCATGGTTGTGATGCCGATTTGTATTATCGCACATTGCTCATGAACTGTGCCATGGTTTGGTATGTGAGCATGGTGTTGCATATTGCCAATAGTATGGGCGTCTTGTTCAAGGTTGGGGGCATTAGCCAGTTACACATGATAGTACACATAACTGGGTAGGATTAGGAACATGGGAGAGGAATTTTGTACCCTTCCCAAGCCTTAAAACCGTTGAACCAAATGGTTCCACGTCGGACTCAGATGTTTGGGTGTACGATTCAGGAGCACCATCATCTAAGTTCTGATTGAATGCCTTACTTTTAGAAGATATCTGACATTCCTTATGTTGTGCAGGGTCTCTGAAATATTGGTATGAACGCAACAAAGTGAATTTTCTGGTATCCAACTCTGCTGCTTGGAATGATGATGCTGTTCTTGGAGCTCTTGACAGCGCGGCTCTTTGGGTCAAGGGCTTGCCTTTTGTCAAGTCCTTGTCAGGCTATTGGGGAAATTTTTCTTGGCTTCCTGTCCTAAAAATGTTCCCGTAAATTTTTATGACTCTGTGTTTCCTGATATTCAGTGGGAAACTTTGCCTGGTAAGCATATCTGTATCTTTCACCTTTTCTTCCTTATATTTCACTTTTCCTTCCTTATATTTATATTGTGTGTTGAGTAGGAGTGTAGAATTGATAGTTGGCTCGCATCCAATCAAGTTCTAGGAACTGATGGGAAACCAATAAAATTTATCAAGATATATTTATATCTGCAACTACCTTTAAGGACCTATCTCTTTGGGAGTCAGTCTCAGTAGATCCAAGGATCCACCACATTCAACTTTTCTGCTAAATTGGAAGGCAGGTCTGGGGGAGTTTCTTTGTGAAGTTCTTCCAGTTATGTTTCTTTTGTGGATAGATAGGTCAAGTTTCAATTCAGGACTCCTTCACTGCTACTGTTCCATTTCATGAAATGATTTATGAATTTTGTTTCTTCTTAAAAATGTCTTTCTCAACCGAATGCATAGGTTGTTAGAAGAAGTTCTGTTATGCATATAACCTATAGTATACCACCTAATTATCATGCATGCCAGCGATCTACTGGATCATTTTACTTTCAACATGAGTTTTCTCCACACTGCTTCTTTGTATATTCCTTTTTTGCAACGGTGTAGTTTGCATTCAATGTTATGGATAAGTGAGAGACGTTTGAAGGCACGTTTAGGTGTACGCATTTTTAATTGTTCAGTTAACTTATGTTCACATGCACGTTGACTAATTGTTATTCTGGTAGAAGATTTTTGCTTTCATGAATCGGCCCTTTATTTCACCACCCTTTTTCTTTCAAGAGACATAGGCATGTCAGATAGTGAAACTGCTCAATATGTGCTGCTTACAAATGAGTCAGTTCCTTCCAGATACGAATTTGTGCTGTGAACTATAGTTGCTAACTGAAGCTTGTGGAATTTTGAAAATTCTTTGCTTGTATTGTGACTTCATGCCATATTTATCTTTTCATCTTTATTTAAAAAAATTAGGAAATTTAATAATATTTTTATATTCTTAGTTGTTTATGTCCTTATTCCTTGTAGTGATTTGAGCATGAACAATACCTTTATGTTACAAGTTTGTGAACTGTTTATGTTATTCATCGATCATGATTTTTCCATATCTAGGACATGCAATTTTCATCCAACTCATTATTTTTTTCTCTAATGGAACAGTTCCTTCAAATTGGCAGATGCTTGGATTTGATCGGCCTATTTATACAAATGTTGTTTATCCATTTCCCTGTGGACAATCCTACCGGCTGTTATAGGACATACTTTGACATTCCTAAAGAATGGAATGGTATGATCAATTTGAATGCATTGCTGCTTCCTATTTAGTGACGCTTTTGAATTCTTTTATTTTTGTCCTTTTTTCCTTCTGTTTTTTGTTTCCTGATCTCTAAACCTGTACCTCCTTATAATTTGTATGCTTCGAAATAATCTTATTTTCAACTTTAAAGTAACCATTTTGAAATGTAATTATATTCCGGAATGTATGCATGCATCATTACACACACTGAGGATTCACTTGCACGACATCCCTTGTGCTTTCTGTTTTATATGACATGTGACTAGCATTTGACAGGTCGCCGGATTTTTTTGCACTTCGAAGCTGTTGATTCTGCTTTCTGCGCGTGGGTGAATGGCATTCCGATAGGATATGGGTAATTATTTAATGGCTTTTTAATTAGTTAGCAATAACCGCACTTGTTAATCTTGTAGATTGTAGCACTCAGTTCATACTGCAATGTGAAAGTGAAGATCATTTTGCGTTTATAAAGGATGCATGGTTTGATAGGAATTTCTGTCAGATACATTAACAAGCTTCATTTCGTGCTAGGTTAGTCAGGACGGCAGACTTCCTGCTGAATTTGAAATCACCGACTACATTTACCCATCCAGTACGGACAAGAAAAATGTATTAGCTGTTCAAGTTTTCAGATGGAGTGATGGCTCTTACCTTGAAGATCAAGATCATTGGTGGTTACCTTGAAGGTTTTATTATCTTCTTGCATTTTTTTTTTCTTTTAAATACCATTAGACCGTGCGATGGTCTTTTCTTGGAGCTATTATATAGCGGGAGACTGGGGACATGTATGCATTGATGATTTAAATCTACAATAAGATCTTTCCATCTCTTCGCATGTCAGCATGTCAGTGTGCGGATGTGTTTTTGTAAAAAATTGAAGTCATGATCTAGTTCATTAATTCGCTAATACATATTTTACGTTGGTTAGACATATAAAATGATCTTAACTATTTCCTCATTATTTTGAATAACATAAACTGCTATTTGCTCCTAACTCTACTTGGGCATTGCATGCCATTAAATCCTAAGTTTAACTTGATGTGCAGGTATTCCTTGCAGACTATTTTTTCAAATCAACTCTGGCCGAGGACTTCTCTTATGCAGACATACAGGCAAGTATCTATTAATCGAGGAAGGATGTCTTTGTTTTAAATGGTTAATAAAAACAAACAACGTTTTGTAGTTTTGTCTGGATGGACTTCTTGCACATTGCTGGACAATAGTTTGTGACCCATTAACATTTCTTGTTCATATTATCTGATTGTTTATTTATGCTCACTCTTCCTTTGATTATCACAATGTCTGTTAAGTTTACACTGTAATTGATCTATCTGTCAGGCTTTTGGAATATACCCGTTTATCAATGTACAATATGACGTGATTGTGTTCTCTTCTTCATGCTATTTCACTACTTCGAAAAGAAAAAAAAAAAATTATTATTTATTTTTTTTGTTTTTTCATTTTTTTACCAGGTTGATGCGAAAATAGATAACTCCAGAGAAACATGTAAAGATAGTATTCTTTCCAACTACACAATAGAAGCCGAGGACTTGGTCTGCTGAGCAAGTAAGGGCTCTTGATTTGTTATTTCTTTTTGTTTCTTCCTGTCTTGTTCTTAAGGTAAAAGCAACCATTTTAAGTTATATGCACTTTTTTTCTTATTAGTATTCATTGGGTCGTCGATGATTTCCAAAAGTATCTGGCAGATGCTGGACGTACCTGGGCACTGGGAATATTTTAATGTAATGTGTAGTATTTTTGTGTGCTGCACTTTTTTGCTGGATAACTTATTTTGATTTCTTATTTTTACAGGGAGAGATGGAAATTAAAAGATCGGATGAGGAGGAATCAAAAAAAAAAAAAAAAAAAAAAAAAAAAGATCGGAAAATGACACATGACGCAATATGAAGGGGTGAAAATCTTTTTGTAAACCTGCACGGATTCTAGTTATACGTGGCACACAATGGCGAAGCCACTAAGGGACCAGTACGTGTCCCATCTTGCCTTTTTCTTTCTTGTTACTATTACAGATGTTGTTGCATATCAATCTAGTATCCTTAAAATTCAAGTGTGTTCTTAATTTAAACTCTTTTACTTTGCAGGCCAAGCCTCATTTTTTTTCTCCATCCATCTTTTTGCAGTGCAGTTTTCACTTCCCCTCGTTATTCTATCAACTTTTCCTTGGGTTATCTTATATTTCAAAAAAAAAAAAAAAATTCATACTTACCTTTTACCTCATATTCAAGTTTCTGGATTTGTACAATGTTTTTAGTTTTCTCTATTGAATTTACGGTCCTTCAATTTTTATGCAAATTACTCCAATCTCTTATGTTTTGAGTTCAAATTGCCTATGTATGTGAGAGGCCTCACACACATAAAATTCCGGCTTTGCCATTGGTTGCGCAACGTGAGTGATTAAAATTTTTTACAGAAATCTAAAGCAATAATACGGTGTGAAGAATAAAATAAAAAAATAAAAATATATATTTGCGAATAATAATTGACATAACAATGCAAAACTCATAAAGTTGCACATAAATAATCTCTATTAATTAATAAAATTTTCTGAGCCAATGGATTTACTTGGGCGGTGTTAAAGCTTTTGCTGATGGTTCACTGGGTTCAAATAGTGCACTGTTTTATGAGGTGAAGACCTCGGTACTTTTGCATCTGCACTTCTTTTAGTAAATTTAGCATATAAATTTGAAATCCGTTGACTTTGGCGACTTCCATTTATTTTTTATATATTTTCTTTGTCTCATATTTATTCTTCTTTCTCATGCTATTGTTGTTAAGGCAGGGGAAATGTTGTTAGGAAGATAGGAATTCGTTGTAGTGAGCTTATCTAATTCACCTCATACCCTTGCATCATCATATCAAGCAACTTTTTTTATTTCCACATTCAATATATTATCTTCTTGATAGTTTTGTTTTAAATTCTGTAGCCATATGCTGATGAGCCTCATAATTACGGCTTGCAAGTGACGGATAATGAAAGTCTCTTCAACCTGACCTTGGCTTCAGATAAAGTTGGCCTTCGGGTGTGGTCTCATCTCTTTCGAAATGTCTCAACTCTCTACAAGATGTAAAAGAAATCGTACTTCTAAAATTTGTTTTACGTTGTGTTCAGGTTGCTATTCATGCTATAGGTGATAAAGCAAATGATTTGATCCTTAACATGTATGAGTCAGTGTTTTCAACAAATGGAGTAAGGGATCGAAGATTCAGGGTGAAAATATTTTCTCTGAACGTTGATTGTTCAAATGTAGCATATCCTTCGCAAACTTTTTCCTTTTCAAAATTTTATTATGTCTTGCATGACTGGAGAAAAAATTGCTTTCAGATTGAGCATGCCCAACATCTACCACCTGAGACACCAGCCCGATTTGGTGAACTCGGGATTGTTGCTTCAGTACAGGTTTGATCACACTATTATCTTTTGTATGCTGTGGGATCACATGTTACTGTAATTTCACATTGACATTTGCATCACTTTCTGGTTTAAAGAGTAATCTACTTAATAAAATAGTTTTTTGAAAAAAGGTCTTGAGTGGATGAGTTCCATTTTCTTCTTTCATTTTATTGCTATTTTTTGCCCCTTTGGTCTTAATAGTTTTCAAACCTTTGAATGATTATCGTTACTCCGTTGTTGCTGTGAATAAGCTTCATTCTAAAACTCAAACTTCAATTCACCACAGCCAGAGCACCTATTAGATGACGCTGAATCTGCGACAAAGAAACTTGGGATAGACAGGGCTCACAAGGGATCCTACTTATTCAAGTCACTCTTGGCTGGCAATGGACAATTGGCACTTGGTTCTGATTTTCCGGTAAGTGTAATGAATCTTGCAGATATATTTTTCACATGTACGTAATTATACGCGAGGCTCTCTGATGCACTTTATGTTTAGTGTGTGAAACTTTGTGTAGTTTTAGATTGTTGCTGTTCTTGCAGGTCTCGGATATTAATCCTTTAGGTGGTATTAAGACAGCAATGAAAAGGATTCCCCCTGTTTGGGATACTGCATGGATTCCCACTGAAAGACTTTCTCTGAATGAGGCATTGAAGGGGTAGGCGACACTGAATTATTTGTTGACACAAATTTCCTTAAGACTGCTATTTAGGTTATTCGTGTTTCTTCTTGATCGGTGTCCCAGACCAGAGTCACTAAGAATGTGTCATCCAACCGATCAACGTTGTTTTGTACCATCTCTCATACTTGCCGCTGTATTATAGTTCCACCTGATACATTAACAATCATGACAGGTACACTCTTTCAGCAGCTCGTGCATGCTTTCTTGACAGTGATTTGGGATCTCTATCACCCGGAAAACTGGCAGACTTTGTCATACTGTCCACGGATTCGTGGGATGATGTCGTAGCTGAAGAATCTGCATCAGTTGAAGCAACATATGTTGGTGGCGTACAGGCCTATCCTTAAAAGCGCCAACATTTTAGGTCGTAAGTGTGCAGAAGATATAGTTTGTGAAGGACAACAGGTGTTTGTATACTTTGTATAAAGTATGGTGCGATTAAAGATATGCATTTGTTTACCAAGTAGTCATTAATTTAGTGACATTTATCTTTCTAATATATTGAAAGATACCAAGTTCAACACTCTCCACTCCCATTTTCGACATGTGATGTTTTAAACTACTGTAGTCTATGGTGAGAGGGATGCGAATTGGATTGTAAAAAGGCAGACACATTACTTGGCCAATTGGCTTAACCCACATCTACCACATCTCTATTGCGGAAAAAGGTGATTCTATTGCCATCCTGAATTCATTAAAGGAAAATTGGGCTTACTAGACTTTTCACGAATACACCAATTATCTCTGCTCTCAAAATGCAATTTCTATTAGTCATCTTTAACGAAAATGCCTTTAATATTGTGTCAATACTTTAATCAATATTGTGTCGATAAGATATTAACTTGAGAACATTTTCGTCGAAGAGGCCAAGTAGAGGTTGCATATTGAGTGGAGAGTTATTTTTGTTGTTGGAAGATGTTGTGGAAAAATTGATGATACGCCTTAACCTAATTTTGATGGAGGATGGTCGGAGCAATCCGTCATATGTTAGAAATATTCTTGGTAACAACTATGAGCCATGGTAGTGCTTCATGTACGTTATTGGTGACAACAATAGAATAAAATAAAAAAAAATAGATAAAAAAAAATAAATATAACCTATTTTCCTAATCTTGAGACTAAAATAGGACAAACTGAAAAAATATACGACAACGGAGTTTGTAAGGCATCTATTATCTGCTTGTAATACTTTAACATGTACTCTTTTGTAAATGTAAATTCATGTATATAACATGCTATTTCTACTTTGAGTGAGTAACAAAATGTTTTTATTTGTGGTTCAGTAATAATAGATTTTATGTTAGATCCTAACTAGTTGGTAAGAAGACAAACTTAAGGTCGCTTGATAACTATTTGGATTTCAATTGTTAGTTAAACGATACAATGCACTCACTTCAGAACGAAAGAAATTCTCTTATAACTTATAAATTGATGATACCACGGGACAAATATCAATTAGACGTACATTGTATTGCTTGAAAACAGGACAATCTTCCATTGCACCAGCGGTACAATTACTTTATCCAAAGTAGAAAGAGAAAACGATTCCTCATCCCACCGACCCAATTTTGTACCCTCTACTTTTCCACTCAGAAAACAATTATTGACGTGTTTCGTCCACTGAGTTATTGACCAAGACAATATCTAGTCGTCCCGCTCACAAAAGTGAAGTTCATAAGAGTTTAAGCTTCAGTTTCCGTCACAAAACTCTTCTCTCAGATTACTAGTTTCCAGAAAGAAAGAAGAAAATGGCAGGAGCTTTGATTGGAGAGGCTTTTCTCTCTGCTTCCATCCGGAAGATGTGCGATAAGATTGGTTCCCGCGAGTTCTTGGATCTGTTTCGGGGGAAAAAGCTTGATCTTTCGCTCGTGGAGAAGCTGAAGCTGACGTTGATGACCCTTCGTGCAGTGCTCAATGATGCAGAGGAGAAGCAGATTGTCGACCCTGCTGTGGGAAGCTGGCTCGACGAGCTCAAACATGCTGTCTTTGATGCGGAGGATCTACTTGATGAGATCGATGCTAAAGCTTTGCGCTCCAAGGTGGAAGCTGAATATCAAACTAAGAAAACCCAGGTGAAGAACTTCCTATCTACCTCTCTTAATCCGTTTTATTCAAAAGGTTATTCAAAAGGCATGAATGGTAGGATACAAGAGTTATTCAAAAGGTTAGAACACCTCGCAAAACAAATTAAGCTCCTTGGTCTTATAGGAGGTGTTAAGGGGAAAATTTCTCGAAGAGCTCCCACAACATTCTTGGTTGAGCATGAATTTTGTCCTTATGGTAGGGATGGAGATAAAGACAAGTTGAAAACAACGTTGCTATCTGATTATGCGAGTAGCAGCGACGTATCAGTAATCCCCATAGTGGGAATGGGCGGGGTTGGTAAGACAACCCTTGCTCAGGTCCTTTACAACGACGACACAATAAAAGAGCATTTTGATGTTACCGCTTGGGCATGTGTTTCCGAAGATTTTGATGCTATGAGGGTAACTAAAACCCTTATTGAATCAATTAGCTCAAAACCTTGCAGTCTTCCAGATAGCTTGCTTCAAGTTGAACTAAGGGAACAAGTGAGGGGGAAAAAGTTCCTATTTGTGTTGGACGACCTTTGGAATGACAAGAAGAGTGATTGGGGTCTTGTACGGGTTCCTTTTACTTATGGGGCGAGGGGAAGTAAGGTCATTGTAACAACGAGAAACGAAAGTGTTGCATCCCTGGTGCGCACCGTGCCTATTCACTACTTGAAACATTTGTCGGATGAAGATTGTTGGTTGTTACTCGCAAAACATGCATTTAGAAATGAAAATCCTGGTGCGCATTCAGACTTGGAAGAAATTGGTAAGCAAATTGCACGCAAGTGCAATGGTCTTCCTTTAGCTGCAAAAGCGCTTGGGGGTCTCTTAGGTTGTAATGTGGATTACGAGGAATGGAGTCACATATTGAACAACAAACTTTGGGAGAAACTGCATGATGAGGGTGTTCTTCCATCATTAAGATTGAGTTACCATTATCTCCCTACTTATTTGAAACAATGCTTTGCTTATTTCTCAATTTTCCCAAAGGACTGTGAATTTGAAAAGGAAAATATAATTCAACTTTGGATGGCACTGGGTTTAATTCCAGAAGCTAAGAGTGGTGAAGGATTGGAAGAGGTCGGCAAGGGATGCTTTGATGAACTATTGTCACGATCACTACTTCAAATATCATTAACTGGGAAATCAAGTTTCACAATGCATGATCTCATTAACGACTTGGCTATGTCCGTGTCTGGAAAATTTTGTTTTAGGTTGGATGAGGGAGAGCCACGTGATCCTAAACGAGTTCGGCATTTGTCATATATGAGAGGAAGATTTGATACTGCTGCAAAATTTAAGCCATTGGACGAAATTAAGTGTTTGCGAACCTTACTTCCTATGTCTTTAAGACCATACAAGGGGTGGGAGGAGAACTATGTAAGCGTTAAGGTTCTAGAGGACTTGTTACCAGTACTAAAATGTTTAAGGGTGTTGTCACTGTCAAGATATAAAAATATCACTCGAATACCTAATAGCATTGGTAAACACTTGCACTTGCGCTACATTGATTTCTCTTACACTGCAATTGAAAGGTTACCAGATACGGTGTGTACTCTCTACAATTTGCAAACTCTATTGTTGTTCGGTTGTTCCTCACTTGTTGAATTGCCTGCAGACATGAGAAAATTGATAAATTTGCGTCACCTTGATATTGGTCGAACTCGTGTAGAAGAGATGCCGGTACAAATGGGTAGTTTAAAAAGTTTGAGAACATTGACTGTTTTTGTGTTGGGGAAATCTACTGGGTCAAGTGGCATTGGAGAATTGGGGCAATTGTCCCACCTTCGAGGAAAATTATCTATCAGGAATGTGCAAAATGTAGTCAATTCTATGGATGCCTCGGGGGCCAATTTGAAGGATAAGAAACATCTCAGCGAAGTAGTGTTGGCATGGGGTCTTAAGGATGAATATGATACCATCAAAGAGAGACATGTACTTGGAAGCCTACAACCTTCCGTAAATCTGGCGAAGCTGACCATCAGATTTTACGGTGGAACCAGGTTTCCGGATTGGTTGGGAGACCCTTCCTTCTCCAACATACAAGTCATGCGTCTCACTGGTTGTAGGACTTGTTTGTGGTTGCCACCAGTTGGGCGGTTACCCGCTCTCAAAGAGCTCTATATAGAAGGGATGAAATCTGTCACGAGTATTGGTGTTGAGTTCTACAGGGGTAATGGAGCTTCTTTAATTCAGCCATTTCAATCTCTCAAGAAGCTAGAGTTGAAAGAGATGCCGGAGTGGGAGGAATGGCTACCTTGTCCAGGCAGAGGTCAATCTCTAGACTTTCCTCGTCTCGAGGAGCTGACTTTAGAGAATTGTCCGAAGCTGAGGGGAAACTTGCCCGATCATCTTCCTTGCTTGAGAAAACTTTATGTGTCCCACTGCGGGGTTCTACATGAAAGGGCTACCAGAACGAGATGGATACCGTGGTCTCTCATCGTTAACACGGAGTCCTTGCGACAATCTCTTGAAGAAGTGAAGATATTTGGATGCCCTGGTCTCTCGTCGTTACTAGAGACGGAGTCGCTTTCCTCGCTTGCCAAACTTGAGATTCAATTTTTTAGTCGCAGAGAGTGCTTGCGGCCGCACTTGAGCAATTGTCTTCAAGTTTTGACTCTGTATAACTGCGCATCACTCTTGTCGTTCCCTAGAAATGGTCTACCCACTTCGTTGACACGTGTTAGTATAAACGATTGCAGGAGATTAGAATTCCTATCTCATGAGATGATGGCCAAATTGACATCCCTTCAAGAATTGGATTTGTGGGACAGCTGTGATTCACTGAGGTCCTTCCCGCTGGGCGTTTTCCCCAAACTTTCATTTCTTACTATCGGCAGAATTAAAAATCTAGAATCCCTTTCCATTGGTGACAAGTGTTTGCTTTATACTCATAATTATGATCAAGTGTTTGCTTCCAACATAATGCTAAAATATCTCGGTATCTATAGTTGTCCAAATCTGGTCTCTTTTCCCCACGGGGTATTGCCCACTCCCAAACTGACTTATTTTACAGTCGATGGATGCGAGAATTTGAAGTTATTGCCCGACCGATTACACACCCTCACAGCCCTTCGAGATTTGTGTATACACGGATTTCCAAATGTTGAGTCATTTGCAGAAGGGGGTTTGCCTCCCAACCTACAATCATTTGCAATCAGTGGTTGTGAGAAACTGAAGCCTTCAGTGGAGTACTGGGGTTTGCAACGACTTGTCTCCCTTCGAACATTTCTGATCTGGGAAAGCGAGGATGTGTTGGAGACGTTGCTCAAGGAACAGCTGCTCCCTACCACTCTTCCCGAACTCCAAATCGGTGGGATGAAAAGTCTGAAATCTTTGGAGGGACTTCAACACCTCACTTGTCTTCAAGAGCTCCACTTGAGCTCGTGTGATAGTCTCGAATTCCTGCCAAAAGAGGGTCTTCCGGCATCGCTCTCTTTCCTGAGCATCGAGAATTGCCCTTCTCTGACGAAGAGGTGTCAGCAGAAGACGGGAGAAGAGTGGAGCAAGATAGCTCACATTCCTTGCATCAAGATAGGCGACGGGACAGGATGGAACAACAGTGTCATCATTTGAGATCTCAGGTCAAAGTGAGGTACGTACATGGCACCATTTTCATTCCATAGCCAAGATTCAGATTCTGTAGTAGTTTCATCTCAAGTAAAATGTGAAGGCATTATTCCAAAGGCTTTTGTAAATATGTTACATCTATCTTTAGGTTTATGTATTAGTCAAATGTTAACCGTGAAATTCAACTATGCTTTCAGGGCAGAATTATGTCACTGATAGCAAACCTGGAATTGTAAAGATTGGATTATCTAAAGCCAATGATTTTAACGTCCATCAATTAATTGTCCATGAATGGTTCTCCTGCAGTGTGGCATGAATATGATTCTCCTTCAATTGGATAGGTAACCCTTGGAATGTTGTTTTACTCATTACTGCTTTATTTTCAATACAACCAGCATATGCCTTCTCATCTTCTCTTCATGTTGCTGCCATCTTCGAGTGGGTGCAGATATGTTCTTTTTGTACATACACAGCTGTTGCAGTGAGAACGGGTGACGATGACCACAAAACAAAAATGAAGGCCAGGTTTCTTTGGAGCACTGCCTGCATGCTTGCGCTTGTTGGAAGTCAGTACATTACGTTACTAGAGCAGGTGGGTAGTTGCTACACTACACATTTCACAGGAACGATATTTCATATGTTGAAAACTGCAGATAACAAAAATTGAGATCCATTTCACTTTTGTTTCTTCAAAATTGTTTCTGAAAAGTTCATAAACATACTTTTTTCCCTTTCTAAGTGTGATAAAGAGAGACGGAGATAGTCAGATAGACGTTGATTATATTCATTAATATAAAGAAAAAGTCCACTTGTTAACCGTGTGCATAATAAAGTGAATAGCTCATGTATATGTTGATGCTAACTCAATCTATTTATTGGTTGGAATTATTTAAGAAGCTGAACGAATTAGGTTTCATTTTAAGATCCATTTGCTTGGTTACTAAAGATCAATCAATCGTTTATAATTTCACCATAATTGAATTTAGGAGCATTCAGATATGTTGAGCTGGGGTATGAAAAAGGAAAGCACTTGTGTTGGCATCCTATCAAAACGGATATGAGAAGAAACAGGATTTTCACAACTTAATGTGGAAATGAAGTGGGAGAACACATCGATCTGAAGGTAAAGCTCTGTCTTCTTTCACTACATTAATTGTCCACAAACCTTCCATGAATTTTTGTTGCATGTCCTCATACTCTCCTTAAAGAAAAAGATCCTGCACTTTTATTTTTATCTGAAATTTTGCCTATTGTCACAGCCTATGAGCATCTTATTCTCTGGAAGTGATCCAAAGGAACTGAGAGATTACAGCATTTTTCTCTGCCATTGGGGATGTTATGAGCCGAAGAAACAAGGGAGATGGATGTTGAAAGCAAGGATGGTTCGCCACAAAAACGTATGGCTTCAAACAAGGTTTTAGTGACATTTAAGATGCCCTCCATTTTTTTTTAGGAAACCAGTGTGAACCAGTGTTGGTTCACCAAGAAAACGAGGGAAGAAGAAATCACTTGATGGAAGCAATGATATGAACTTGGATGCATCTCCAAAATCTGATGAGCAGGAAACTAAGAAAACAAAGCAGGAAGAGTTGATGGAAATTTGTAATGGCAGCAGAGATGGTGCTGCTGCTATGAGAAATAAGAATGTCGATGCCAAGGAAGTCAGAAAGCATCTTAAAGTCGAGGATTGAGACTCAAGAGGTTGATTTTGGCAGCAGAGATGGTGGTGCTGTTGATTATAGATTTTTCTTTGTGAATTCATATTGATATTGTTGTTGGTTGGTTTTAGTTCTGTTTAAGAGGGCTTATGGTCTTGAGTTTTTGCAGGCAATGTGTGTTGGTTCACATAGCAAATGAGAGAAGGAGAACGTCCTTGATCAGAAGATGTAAAGTACTCGGATGTAGCAAAGCAGGACAAGTTGATGGAAACTTGTAATGCAGCAGAGATGGTGGTGCTGCTGTGAATGAGAATGATGCCAAGGGCAAGGCTGTAAGAGGGTGTCGCAGGGTCAAGGAATGCCACGTTGAGAGCAGAGAGATAGATCTTGAGCTTCCCCTACCTCAGGGCACCATTGGAAAATGCTCTCCAGTTTTTGAAGTTCTGTGAAACATTTAGCGAGGTAATTCTTACTTTTGTTCTATTATATATTTGATTAAAAGTTTCTCTAATCTTGTTTTAATTGATTTTGTGCACCACTTTACTGTGCTAAAAACATTCCTGAACTTCCAATTCACTTGAAATCTCTTTTTCTTTTCTTGTTTCTTTTAACTCTAGTGTTTTTAAATTGAAAAGTCCCAAGCTGTATCCGTTCTTCGAGAACTATCTCGTTGAGGAAGTGGACGAAGTGGATGGCCTGGACAGTACTCCATTGTTCGATTTCATAGCTATATGCTCTTCTTCATACAGGAGTAAGAAATCTGCCTAGTGTATTATAGTTATGCATAAAGTACTTTAGTAAGCTGTAATGGTGAAAATAATTCATATGGTTTACGCCAACTTTATTTTCTCTTAGATCTCTATAGCAAGCAAGCACCAACTGCTCATGGTTCCAAGATTTGGAGAACCTGATCTCCGCATCCAGGGTCTCTGTGGTTGACCCCATTATGAAGGAGTTGCCTTCTGAGTATTTTAGTGGAGGCGGGGATGGATATGATGCCTTAAGCTTCTCCCAAAATCTTAGGCTTTTGAATTTCCTCTGTGATGGGGCTCTTAATGCAAAGTAAGTAGAAGATACATAGTATGCAGATTATAACTTTGTAGTTGTCTGCTTGCTCCGTTCCGAGTGATGAGTTCTTTTCAGTCCCTTGTCCAGGACGCTGAGGGGATGGATTAAGGAGCAAAATAAAAGAGTTGTCCAACGTAAAAGGTTTGCTCTAGCAAAGAATAAGGTCATATGACAAGAAGGAAATCTTTGAGGCAAGCATCTTTCGGAGCCAACATGGAGTTCTGTTTTTAACTAAATCGATCATATATGTGCAGGAGAGAGATCTTCCAAGCAAAGTTGCTGGAGGAGATGGCTAAGAAAACCACTGCAGATAATGGCAGTGCTGTCCCAATTTCAGAGTCGGACTCCATTGTTTCATTACTCTGACGTAAGGCTGCTCAAGCTCAGACGGAGGTGGTCGATGCTATGGCCATGATACCGGAAAGTAAGTTCCCATTTCTAACATCTTTATCCTTTCAATTACCCTTTTCGCTTTCTGTAATTGATGTTAAAACCATTGTTAATACTTAACACTTGAGATGTTTTTCCATTTGGTTGAAATGGTTTCCATGTTTTGGTTCTTCATTAAAATCTGGTTAAACATGCTTGTGCCAAAATTGTTTTGACTTATTTTATAGGCGATGGAATATGTGAGGCTGTTAGAATACAGCCTTATCTTGTCGATGCTGATGGACATTGCTTTTGGAAACTGAAGGGTGATTTTGGTGAAGATATATTGCTTCAAGGTTAGTTTCAACTGTTCTAAACACAATGAGTTGATTTCCAGTTTTTGAGTTATTTCGATGTAATAATTTTTTTCCAAGTATTTTACAGATTTGGGAACCTGGGATGGGACTCCATCTGGTGAACGACAGTCCGTCTGCAGTGCTAAAGAGCCAATAGACAAATACCGCTCTTCTCCGGCTCTAAAGTACGCAGACATACATGTTTTACATTGTTAATAATAATGTTCTGATAAGGACAGTTCCCCTCCCTGCCAATCCCATTTTTTATGAACTGGTTGTTGATGCATCAACTGTTTGCTTGGCTTGCAGGGAAAAACAGGCCAAGAGGGAGCGTAGGCATTCCAAAAACTTGCAGCTTTCCCAAACTTCTTTGGAAAGCAATAGCGAAAATGGGCAGGTTTCCTAGACTCCTGATAGCAATGGCAAAAAGGGGCAGGTTTCCCAAGCTCCTGAATGCAATCGAGAGAACATGGAGCTCGGTCCTGAGGTGAATTAAACTTTTTTTAGCCCAAAAGACATTAAATTCCTTTTCTTTTTCGTAAATACATAGGAAGGGGTATACATGTGCGAGAAAATATGTATACATACAACTATACGAGTCGGCTGCCCAGGTTTCTGTATGCATTCCTACATGGGAAAGCTGTTTCCCAGTTCAGATTTCGCTCTCTACGAATCTGAAGGGGTGGCGGTCTTGAGAAACTGGCACAGCTGCCTGCGAGCAGAAAGAATTGAGAAGAGTGGTCCTGATATGTTGGGATGAGCTTTGTCATAGTTATTTCTTAACGGCTTATGAAATTTTCATGTATCTTCATCTCTTGATATATGCTCCCAGTTTAACTTTCCAACTATTGCAAAGTGCCCTGGGTTTGGTCTTTTTGTGTTCGTTTGAGATTGCTTTTGCAGGAGTCATTTTTTTCGTTCATAAGCGTTTTTTAAAAACTGATTTTATTAGAGCTTTGGACTTGGTGGGGAGTGATTTAAGAAGAGCTATAAAAGTGTTTTCTAACAACTAAACACTTTTTGACTACGTTGAGTAGAAATAGTTAAAAAGTGTTTTACGGAGAATCACATGTTAGATGCTTTTTTAGAAAGCAGCATTGGAATTTTTAATAAAAATTTCATGCTTCTTAAACTTTCCAACGTGCTTCTAATGAAAGCACTATTAGTCAAAATACGTTTATTCTAAATCAAACCCCTCCCCCTACCCCTCCCCCTCCCCCTCCCCCCACCCTGGTGGCCACGATGACTGTCGAGAGGTTGCTTCTTGAAGCACCAAAATATTTAAGTTATTGGCTCCGTTCTTAAGAGGTTGAAAAAAGTCTCTTTGTCTTGGGAAAGAGTGAGTTGTTGGGAAATTGTGAGAGATGGTACAGATATATAGGTAGATTTTGCCAAACCTTATAAATTTTAGAGCACTATGTATCTTTATTTTCGGTTTATTATTGGGGTCAAATATGGTTTGTATTGTGGTGTGGTTGTACATTGAATTTTGATTCCGCGAATACGATCATCCCCAAAATTTATTCAAACCAATAAATATACATAGTAGCTTCCTTAGCAATTTCTGATACCACTGATCTTCAACGGTACGTAGCACTAAGTAATACCAAAAATGAATGTGAGATTAATATGAAAGATCTAACAGTTGTGAAAATCAAATCTAACAGCTAAAACACACGTAGCATTGAATGTTGCGTAGATTTTATTAAGATGCAACTAAAGACTATATTTCACGTACCTAACGGTGGGGGTCTAGGTAAAAGATGCAAAAGAACATCTCACTTTAGTTGGAGAATGTAAAATACTCGAACTTATGACGATGAGCCTCTCACCTTATTGCTAATTGATTTTGGAATTAAAACGTCACCCGGCACTTCAAAAAGTCATCCTGCACTCCAAATTTATAAAAAATGTGCATGATGACATATTTGAAGTGCCAATAACAACACCAAAATGAAACGTGGACATTCCACAAAGAAGCAACATTTCCATTAAACCGAATGAAACGTCGTGGTGGTATGGAGATGAAATCAAATTCAGCAAATACATTGAAAAAACAGAGAGAATGTAATATTTTGAAGACATGTACTCTACCCTAGAGTAGACTGACCACTTCATATTGTATATGGGCTTATTAATTTCACCTAACCTTCATACACACGAAATAAATTATATGGTGGAAGCAATCAGTGAGCTTAACAGTTGAACTCATTGTAATCTATCTCCACATATGACCAGCTATTGCTTTGCTACCGATCTTTTTTCTTAAATTCATACGCTGTCCCAAGGCAACAATCATATGCTACAGTACCTTGTCAGGAATGATCATTGAACTACGAACAATTATATATCTAGAATCCGCGTGTATATCTATCGATGAGCTACGAGCAGGAGGTTTGCATGGAAAAAACCCTACCTCGTCAGTCAAAAATTCTCTCCCCAGTTGAGAACAGCAAAAATACTAAAGAACTAAAAATGCAGAGCAAACCCGGGATGAAGAACACCAATCTCCAGCTCTCTGGACTTGAAAGACTCGAATCAACACTTCTAGCGGCTTCAAGAAGTTTGCCGGTCAGATCAACTCCAATAATGCCAGCTAACGTACCAGCAGTGTTAGAAACTCCCATCACAATGCCTGCATATCTCGGGGCAACATCCATGTGATTCACTGCGAAACCAGCTCTCCCAAGCGCCAAGAAACCCAGGGCCACAGAAGAGCCGAGGACAGCTCCACCAGATGTTCTGAAAATGGGAATTGCCATCAGTGCATATTGAATTTTGAATGTCTATATTTTTGTATTGTGTAAAACCAAGTACAAGGAAAGCTCATATAAATGAGCGGAAGAAAGGAAAAGAAACAGAAGCCGAAAGAAAGGGAGGACAAGCAGAAAACATGGAAAAGTAAAGGAAAAGTAAAGGTGAGGACAAGCAGAAAACATGGAAAAGTAAAGGTACAATCAACAACTGTCACCATACACCCATGCTTTCTTCCAATACTCCCCCTCAAGCTGGATCAAAGGGATTAATTGATCCAAGCTTGAACAAAAGACGTTGAAAATCAGCAGAGGGTAATCCTTTTGTGAAAATATCCGCAAGTTGATCATGACTGCGCGTGTAGTGAGTGTCTATCACCTTGGACTGAACTTGATTTCTGACGTAGTGACAATCAACTTCAATATGTTTAGTTCGCTCATGGAATACAGGATTCAATGCAATGTGCATCGCGGCCTAATTATCACAGTGTAGGGACATGGGTTGTTGATGAGGAAAACCTAAAGTCAACAGAAGGCTTTTGAGCCAAATAAGTTCACAAGCAGTGGACGCCATAGCACGATACTCTGCCTCTGCACTAGAGCGTGCAACAACACTTTGTTTCTTGCTTTTCCAGGTAACTAGATTGCCTCCCACAAACGTACAAAACCCAGTGGTAGACTTGCGATCGAGAGAATTGCCTGCCCAGTCAGCATCAGTATAGCCTGAGATCTGAGTGTGACTATTGTTGCGCATAAGAATTCCTTTACCAATGGAACCCTTAAGATAACGTAGCACACGATGAACAATCTTCAAATGATCCATGCTTGGAGAGTGCATAAACTGGCTAACAATGCTGACAGCATATGATATATCAGGACGTGTGATAGTCAGATAAATGAGTTTGCCAACCATTCTTTGATAGTAACTTAAATTGGGAACTGGATCACCGTGAGTTTTTAGCTTCAAGTTGCTATCCAAGGGGGTACGAGCAGGCTTGCAATCTGTCATTTTTGCTTCGTGAAGAAGATCCATGACATACTTGCGTTGGTTGAGGAAGAAACCCTTGTGAGAGTGTGCCATCTCGATGCCCAGAAAGTATTTGAGAGTGCCAAGATCCTTGATAGCAAACTTGTTGTTGAGATACTGTTTAAGAGCATTAATCTCTGACATATTATCACCTGTCACAATTAGATCATCAACATAAATGAGCACAACTAGTTTACCCACTAAGCTGGAACGAACAAATAGGGAAGAATCCGCAATACTTCGACAAAAACCAACCCTTTCCAGAACATGACTGAGCTTGGCATACCATGCACGTGGACTTTGCTTGAGACCATAAATGGATTTATGGAGTTTGCACACCATTTCTGGATTGTTTGATTGAGGATGACCTGGGGGTAGCTTCATGTAAACCTCTTCTTCAAGTTCACCATGCAGGAAAGCATTTTTAACATCCATTTGAAAGAGAGGCCATGCATTGTTAATTGCAACCGACAACAATACTCTAACAGTGTTCATTTTTGCCACCGGAGCAAATGTCACTTTATAATCGACGCCATAGGTTTGTGTAAAACCTCGAGCAACCAAGCGAGCCTTATTCCTTTCGATTGTGCCATCTGAATGAAACTTTGTTTTGTACACCCAACGACTCCCCACTGCCTTCTTTCCTTTTGGAAGTTTCACTATAGTCCATGTGTTATTTTCATGGAGGGCTTGAAGCTCCTCTGCCATAGCATTTCTCCACTCACTGTGAAGATTGGCTTCTTGAAAACTTTGAGGTTCTCGAGCTTCATTAATGGCACTTAGGAATGTAGCAAAAGAAGATGAGACTTTGCTATAATCAATAACATCAGTCACGGGATACCTGGCAGTGTAGGTCACATAATCATGCAACTTGGATGGAAGTTTCCTCTCTCGTGCAGGATTGCGACGAACTGTAGGAGATTGAACTACAGGTATTTGAACAACATCATGGTTGGAAGGATCACTGGAGGGTGCAGTGTGAATCTCTGATGAGGAAGGGTTTTCATCTTCAAGATGTTCCACCGAGTGAAGGTTAACATCATCCGGCACATAATCACTAGGAGTGCATGTTGCATCTTCTCCGTTTGGATATGGAAAAGGAAATAAGTCCATCAAATGCTCCCCCTGTCTAGAGTAATCCAGTGATTGTGAGAAGTAAGGAACATGTTCTTCAAATTTAACATCCCTTGAAACAACCATTTTTCTAGTTGTTGAATTATAGCACTTGTAACCTTTTTGAGTAGATGAATAACCTAGAAAGACACATTTGGCAGCCCTTGGGTCTAGCTTGTCACGATTTTGAGTTTGAATGTGAACAAAGCATGTACACCCAAAGACTCTCAAATGGGAAAAATTGATCTTTCTATTTTTCAAGACCTCATAAGGTGATTTAAAATTCAACACTTTACTAGGCAATCTATTGATGAGATATGCTGCAGTAAGGACTCCTTGAGACCAAAACTTCTTAGGCACATTCATGTGAAACATAAGAGCCCTAGTCTTCTCAAGTAGATCTCTATTCTTCCTCTCGGCCACCCCATTTTGTTGAGGTGTTCCAACACAGCTTGTTTGGTGTAATATACCATGCGTGCTCAAGTAGTGTGACATGTTATGAGACATATATTCTGTGCCGTTATCTGATCGTAAAATATGAATTTTTGAAGCAAATTGGGTGGCCACAAGTCTATGAAAATCTTGAAAAACTTCCATCACTTCACTTTTAAATTTCAAAAGATACAACCAAGTAATCCTTGTGAAATCATCCACAAAAGTTACAAAATATTTGTATCCATCAAAAGACTTTATAGTTGGTCCCCAAACATCGGAATGCACAATTTCAAAAGGGTTACTAGCCCTAGACAAAGAGAAAGTAAATGGTAATCTAGTAAACTTAGAAAAATGACAAACATCACAAGGACTTGTAACTTTGCACATATTTGGGAACAAGGTGGATAGAACTTTTTCAGAAGGATGTGCTAGACGTTGGTGCCAAAGTTGTTGTTCTTGAGCTAAGCTTGAAGTGACTTGAAAAACCTTGGGAACTTGAATATGCTTGGAAAGATAGTAGAGACCATTTAAGAAAAATCCTTCACCAATCGTCTTCTTGGTGACTACATCCTGAAAGATCACATTTTTGGGAGAGAAAATGGCAAGACAATTTAATGAGTTTGTGATCTTGCTAACAGATAAAAGTTGAAAAGGGAATGAGGGAACATAAAGAGCCTCAGACTCGACATCACTTGAGATCAAATGTATTTTTCCTTTTCCCACAACCATAACATTTTTTCCATTGGCAACTGACACTTGGGATGGAATAGAAAATTTTTCAAATTTATGCAAGTTTGTAGACTTGTTAGTCATATGATCAGTGGCTCCAGAATCTATAATCCAATAATTATGCACATTACCAATGTTGAGAGCAGTTGAGAAGGAGTGTAAGATACCTAGGATGTCCCTTTGTACCACGCCTTCATTTCCAGCCAGGAAGCCAGCAAACTGTCCTAGTAGTGCAGTTTGATTGTTGTCACACTGATTTAGTGGTCCTTCACTATCTCCAAGACCTTGTTTCTTGTGAAGAAACATAGCAAACTCGTTGATCAGTGCAGCTGGATTAGTGGTGAACTTCAGTGCTTCATCAGAAGAAGTTGTGGCAACATGATTTGCCTTGTAAGAAGGATTGTACAAGCCTTTTGAGACACCTTTGTTATCCCTAGGAAACTTTGGTTTTAACTCTGGATGAAGAATCCAGCATCTGTCTCTTGAGTGCCTACCAGCATCACAATGGCTACATTTTAAGCCAGTTTTCTTTCCTTTGTAGCCTCTCTCCTCACCAAGTTTTTGGTTAGAGAAGTAAGCCCTAGCTTCTGGTATATTTGCCTTCATGTCCAAGGTCATGACTTTCCTTCGAACCTCTTCTCTTTGAATTGTGGCACACACACTTGAAAAAGAAGGCAGGTCAGGATTCATGAGGATATGACTTCGAAGGTCTTCGAATTCAGGACTCAGGCTTGCTAGGAGTTGGAATATTTTGTCTTCCTCGGCTCTTTTAGTTAGCACAGCAGCGTCGATGGTGTGTGGTTGATACACATTCAGCTCGTTCCACATAGTGGTCAGCTTTCCAAGATGTTGCACAAATGGCTTCCCTTCCTGTTGCAAACCAGCAATGTCCTTCTTTAACTGAAACACTCTAGCCGCATTGTTCTGATTTCCATACATTTCCTTGAGATTTTTCCAAAGAGTCATGGAGGATTCAGCATAGCTAAAAATTTCTGCAATCTTACGATCCATGGAATTGAGTAGCCACGACATGACCAACTGGTCTTTGCATAGCCAAGCATCATACTCCGGTGAGGTAGTCTCAGGCATTGGAATAGCACCATTAACATAACCAAGCTTTGATCGTCCTCCCAGAGCAAGAGAAACTGCTCTCTCCCATGGAAGATAGTTAAACTCATTTAGCAAGACAGAACTAAGACGTTGATTTGGGTTGATATCAATATCTGAGTGTGGTGATGGTGGAGTAGCATGAAAGCCGTCTCCTTCCAAATTTACTAAGCTTTCTTCAGCCATGATTGAAGGACAAGAAGCTCACAAATCTCTCAAGAGAACACCACAGAGACAGGCCGGTTAGGGTCACTGCTCTGATACCATATTGAATTTTGAATGTCTATATTCTTGTATTGTGTAAAACCAAGTACAAGGAAAGCTCATATAAATGAGCGGAAGAAAGGAAAAGAAACAGAAGCCGAAAGAAAGGGAGGACAAGCAGAAAACATGGAAAAGTAAAGGAAAAGTAAAGGTGAGGACAAGCAGAAAACATGGAAAAGTAAAGGTACAATCAACAACTGTCACCATACACCCATGCTTTCTTCCAATAGTGCAAGAGAAGCAACTATGAACCCTATAGTGTTCAAGAGCTTCCGCGTTCTGGTCACAGACAAGATTCTCTTTGTGACCAAGTGATCAGCAACATGAATGGTCGAAAATCTTTTTGTAAACCTGCAAAGATTCTAATTATACGTGGCACACAGTGGAGAAACCATTAAGGGACCAGTCCGTGGCCCATCCAAGCCTCAATTTTTTTCTTTCTCCATCTATCTTTTTGGAGTGCAGTCTTCCCTTCCCCTCCTTATCCTATCAACTTTTCTTTCTCCATCTATCTTTTTGGAGTGCAGTCTTCCCTTCCCCTCCTTATCCTATCAACTTTTCTTTGGGTTATCTTATATTTCAAAAAAAACAATAAAAAAGAAATTCATGCTTACTTTTTACCTCATATTCAAGTTTTTGGGTTTGTACATGTTTTTAGTTTTCTCTATTAAATTTACAGTCCTTTCAATTTTTATGCAAATTACTCCAATCTCTCATATTTTGAGTTTAAATTACCTATGTTTGTGAGAGACTCCGCACACATAAAATTTCAGCTTTGTTATTGGTGGTACAATGTGAGTGATTGAAAATTTATACAGAAATGTAAAGTAATAATATAGCATGAAGAATAAGACCAAAAAAACAAATAAAAATATATATTTACGAATAATAATTAACATAACAATGCAAAACTTATAAAGTTGCACATAACTAATTACTTTTCATAGTAACAAAACAGCGCTCTAGTAATAATAATTGACATAACCAATGCGGCGTCACGTGTGGCCGTGGCTATGTCGTTTTTGTTTTTTTCCGTCGTTTGTTGGCAACTTGTCCTCCTTAACGGGACTGAACTCGACTCTGAAGTGAAGACTGAGGAGACTCAGTTTTGTCTCTTCCTCCAGTTCTGCCAAGTTCAGAAAAGAAAATGAAATTCCTCGTACTCGTCTCTGCTTCCGTCGCTCTCGTCGTCGCCGTTCTCGTTCTCAATCCCGACCACCGTAAAACTCCTGCTCCCACTCTTTCAATTTTCACCAGTTTTTTTCTTTAATTTTCAGTTTTAATACTTGAATTTTATTGCAGAGTGGCGGTGGAGTTTGTGGAGGTCTCCGGTGGCGGACCTGGTGGTGAGAAATGCCAAGATATACACGAGCGACGAGTCTCTCCCTTTCGCCGATTCCATGGCTGTTCGCAACGGAAGGGTTCTTCGTCTTGGCAACTACTCCTCCGTCCAGGTTCACCATGTTTCACAATTTGAATGCTTCCTATTTAGTGACGCTTTTGAATTCTTTTAGTTTTGTCCTTTTTTCCTTCTGTTTTTCGTTTCCTGATCTCTAAACCTGTACCTCCTTATAATTTGTATGCTTCGAAATAATCTTATTTTCAACTTTAAAGTAACCATTTTGAAATGTAATTATATTCCGGAATGTATGCATGCATCATTACACACACTGAGGATTCACCTGCACGACATCCCTTGTGCTTTCTGTTTTATATGACATGTGACTAGCATTTGACAGGTCGCAGGATTTTTTTGCACTTCGAAGCTGTTGATTCTGCTTTCTGCGCGTGGGTGAATGGCATTCCGATAGGATATGGGTAATTATTTAATGGCTTTTTAATTAGTTAGCAATAACCGCACTTGTTGATCTTGTAGATTGTAGCACTCAGTTCATACAGCAATGTGAAAGTGAAGATCATTTTGCGTTTATAAAGGATGCATGGTTTGATAGGAATTTCTGTCAGATACATTAACAAGCTTCATTTCGTGCTAGGTTAGTCAGGACGGCAGACTTCCTGCTGAATTTGAAATCACCGACTACATTTACCCATCCAGTACGGACAAGAAAAATGTATTAGCTGTTCAAGTTTTCAGATGGAGTGATGGCTCTTACCTTGAAGATCAAGATCATTGGTGGTTACCTTGAAGGTTTTATTATCTTCTTGCATTTGTTTTTTCTTTTAAATACCATTAGACTGTGCGATGGTCTTTTCTTGGAGCTATTATATAGCGGGAGACTGGGGACATGTATCATGTATGCATTGATGATTTAAATATACAATAAGATCTTTCCATCTCTTCGCAAGTCAGCATGTCAGTGTGCGGATGTGTTTTTGTAAAAAATTGAAGTCATGATCTAGTTCATTAATTCGCTAATACATATTTTACGTTGGTTAGACATATAAAATGATCTTAACTATTTCCTCATCATTTTGAATAACATAAACTGCTATTTGCTCCTAACTTTACTTGGGCATTGCATGCCATTAAATCCTAAGTTTAACTTGATGTGCAGGTATTCCTTGCAGACTATTTTTTTCAAATCAACTCTGGCCGAGGACTTTTCTTATGCAGACATACAGGCAAGTATCTATTAATGGAGGAAGGATGTCTTTGTTTTAAATGATTAACTTTCTGTCAGGCTTTTGGAATATACCCGTTTATCAATGTACAATATGACGTGATTATGTTCTCTTCTTCATGCTATTTCACTACATCGAAAAGAAAAAAAAAATTATTATTTAATTTTTTTTGTTTTTTCATTTTTTTACCAGGTTGATGTGAAAATACATAACTCCAGAGAAACTTCTAAAGATAGTATTCTTTCCAACTACACAATAGAAGCTGAGGCCTTGGTCTGCTGAGCAAGTAAGGGCTCTTGATTTGTTATTTCTTTTTGTTTCTTCCTGTCTTGTTCTTAAGGTAAAAGCAACCATTTTAAGTTATATGCACTTTTTTTCTTATTAGTATTCATTGGGTCGTCGATGATTTCCAAAAGTATCTGTCAGATGCTGGACGTACCTGGGCACTGGGAATATTTTAATGTAATGTGTAGTATTTTTGTGTGCTGCACTTTTTTGCTGGATAACTTATTTTGATTTCTTATTTTTATAGGGAGAGATGGAAATTAAAAGATCGGATGAGGAGGAATCAAAAAAAAAAAAAAAAAAAAAAAAAGAGATCGGATAAGGACACATGACGTAATATGAAGGGGTGAAAATCTTTTTGTAAACCTGCACGGATTCTAGTTATACGTGGCACACAATGGCGAAGCCACTAAAGGACCAGTACGTGTCCCATCTTGCCTTTTTCTTTCTTGTTACTATTACAGATGTTGTTGCATATCAATATAGTATCCTTAAAATTCAAGTGTGTTCTTAATTTAAACTCTTTTACTTTGCAGGCCAAGCCTCATTTTTTTCTCCATCCATCTTTTTGCAGTGCAGTTTTCACTTCCCCTCCTTATTCTATCAACTTTTCCTTGGGTTATCTTATATTTCAGAAAAAAAAAAAAATCATACTTACCTTTTACCTCATATTCAAGTTTCTGGATTTGTACAATGTTTTTGGTTTTCTCTATTGAATTTACGGTCCTTCAATTTTTATGCAAATTACTCCAATCTCTTATGTTTTGAGTTCAAATTGCCTATGTATAATGTATGTGAGAGGCCTTACACACATAAAATTCCTGCTTTGCCATTGGTGGCGCAACGTGAGTGATTGAAATTTTTTACAGAAATCTAAAGCAATAATACGGCGTGAAGAATAAAATAAAATAAAAAAATAAAAATATATATTTGCGAATAATAATTGACATAACAATGCAAAACTTATAAAGTTGCACATAAATAATCTCTATTAATTAATGAAATCTTCTTTGTCAACCAAAAGAGGGTGAAAAGACAATTTAGTCTTCTATCACAAAAAAAAAGAATTGATGGGCAATAATGTAATTTCACAGGTTCAAATTTTATTGTTTTTTATTGAAACCTCATCTACATGTGATGTTAAAATATCTCCAATATTAAAAAAATAAACCAAAAACAAAAACCTCCCACTCTCGCCCACATTCTCTCTCTCCCTCTCTTCTTATTTTCTAAAAAAATATGTTCATACACACAAAATATGTAAGAAAATGCTAGTTACTCTTTATGGTAACAAAACAGCTCTCTAAGTAAAAATTGCTTGGTTTCCTCATTTCCCCAATTCGGCGTCAAGTGTGGCTGTGGCTATGTCGTTTTTGTGTTTTTTTTTCCGCCGTTTGTTGGCAACTTTGCCTCTTTAAACCGAACTGGACTAGACTCTGAAGTGAAGACTGAAGAGACTCAGTTTTGTCTCTTCCTCCAGCTCTGCCAAGTTCAGAACAGAAAATGAAATTCCTCGTACTCGTCTCTGCTTCCGTCGCTCTCGTCGTCGCCGTTCTCGTTCTCAATCCCGACCACCGTAACACTCCTGCTCCCACTCTTTCAATTTTCACCATTTTTTTTCTTTAATTTTCAGTTTTAATACTTGAATTTTATTGCAGAGTGGCGGTGGAGTTTGTGGAGGTCTCCGGTGGCGGACCTGGTGGTGAGAAATGCCAAGATATACACGAGCGACGAGTCTCTCCCTTTCGCCGATTCCATGGCTGTTCGCAATGGAAGGGTTCTTCGTGTTGGCAACTACTCCTCCGTCCAGGTTCACCATGTTTCACAATTTTTTACAAATTTTGCAAAACAAATAATATAAAATAGTCTAATTTATAGTGAGAGGATTCGAACTTTGGTGCAATAGGGCGAACAGCTTGATTGATATTATTGTTGTTATTTTTTACCACTTCATTCTTTTTGTTCCATTTCATAACAACAATGCTACTTAGACATAAAACCGACCACATTGTTGAGCACCGGTCTAAATTTAGTACAGGAGGGGACCACTACTCTACGGCAATGTGGTCGTTTTTGTATGTCTAAGTAGCATTTAGGTATTGTATTTTTTCTGGCCTTTTATTATCTACTTATATTGCAAATGCCATAACCTTTTCTTTACATTGTATGAGCTTAGTTGGTAAAGAAAAGTACCAAGTTCAGTGAGTTTTGAATATAACCTTCTCAGATGCAGGATATGGTTGGATATCGGACTAAGGAGCTCGATCTTATGGGAAAGATTGTCGTCCCTGGATTTATTGATTCTCACGTCCATCTCATATTTGGTGGACTCCAGGTACGGCAGAAGTGTCAAATTTAAAATTGAGTTTGGTCTGAGTGTTATGTGCTCCTTTTTTCCTTGAGAAATACTCTCTGTAAGGAAACCTTTGTGTTTTTTGTTTTTGAGAAGAAACATGCTTTATTACAACCAAAAGTTATGTACAAAGATGTGGATGTGACATCCACATACAACTTAAAATAAGAAACTATACAGTAAAGTGGACAAGTAATCCGCCATAAATAGTAGAGAAAAGGACATTAATTAAAAAAAGTACATCTAGCTAAAGAAACAAGTGATTTTGTGACTCTACTTGTCTTACGCTTGTATTTTCCCTTCCTAATGGGAAATGTAAAGTTTTGTGTGCTTGGGTCCAATGCGTATATTGTTTGTGTTTTTAGTTGCTACTTACGCAATCTAAATATGCAAAACTGAGCGTTCAGGAGGCTAGAATTCCTTTCATTATGCATCTTCCATTCAAAACATGTTGTAGTGTTTGTTATTGGAACTTTTTACTTCTCTCAGGTTTGTGAATTGATTTATTGGATATTCCACTGTGTTAGCGTGCGTGTGCGTTCATTTATGTGAAAGTTTAAACATATCTATAAACTATATTGTCTGGAACTTTCTTTCAACAACTTCTATCCTTCACGAGTCTTCAAACTGTGTTTTCCAACTATGCTTTTCCCATAATTTTTGTAATATAAACTTTGTACAATAACCAAATGATTTCTTATTTGTCTATTTTCCTTCTTATTCAAGTTTCTGTATTTTCATTTGAAATGTTGCCAATGGACAACAGATGGGGCGCGTGGAACTACGAGGCATAAGTCAAAAGGAGGAATTTCTGAAGAGGGTCAAAGAAGCAGTGAGAAGTCAGTTCCCTGCCTTTTATGCTGTGTTGTTTTTTGTCTTTTTAAAATATTATTATGTTTTTCAAATTGCCTAGAATCTTGCAAAACCTCATCGTTGATAGAATAAAAAATGAAAAAATCAGACGCAAAACAAGGTTCTTGGATTTTGGGTGGTGGATGGAACAATGATTTTTGGGGAGGGGAATTGCCAGCGGCTTCTTGGATTGACGATACTACACCTTCCAATCCTGTAAGTCTTATAAATGAAAGTTTGGTGCTTTGATATCACAGTAGGAGTTTTAATGTCATTTGCATACCTCGTTGACAGGTTTGGTTATCAAGGATGGATGGCCATATGGGCTTGGCTAATTCAGTGGCACTTAAGTTGGCTGGCATTACAAATTCATCAGAAGATCCAGTTGGTGGAACTATTATGAAAACAACCGGCGGAGGTATTATTTAACTTCATTTTTTTTTTATGTTTTAGATGCTTTCAGTTGGGTCATCCTGAATCTTTGCAATTCCTTGGATATACCAATAGGCAAGGGAAACGGCATACAATTCTTTCAATGTTTAGGGCGTTGGGTATTTGTTGACATGACACTTGTGATACTGCTGTACCAATAGTATCCTTGACTTATTCGACAAAAGTTCAAAATTTTTAACACAATCAAATCATTTTCATCTATTTTCAGTATCCTTAGATCTTTAGATAAGTAACATCTAGAGTGATAAGTTACTTATGTTCCAGCTCATTGTTCTGCAGAACCTACTGGACTGCTGATTGATTCAGCAATGAAGCTTCTCCTTCCGTCCATTCCAGAGGTATCAGTAGAGGAGCGGAGGGAAGCTATGCTTAGAGCCAGCAATCATGCCTTGATGAGGGGTGTAACAACAGTTGTTGATTTTGGTAGATACTTTCCTGGGGCATCAGTAAAGCAATCCTGGGAAGATTTTTCAGGTTTCTGTTAAGTTTCTTAAGGGTTTATTTGGATGTCCTTTGAGTCGAAACATTATTATTCTAGTAAGTCGGTTCACATGACTTTTTGGTCATGTAAAGGAATCACTATCAACATTAACATACTGACAACAAAAGTTTAATGCAGTTCTTAAAGTGATATTGTAAAAATGATTAGTGTTCAGTCAAACGACTGTTTACAACTCTATTACATCCATGGAACATCAACATGCTATTTTTTTTTTTTTTTGGCCATATATATTAAGATTTTAATTAGTCATGCTGCTTCAGATGCTTGTTTACTTGTTTTCTCATTTGGTTACTTTTTGCAGATGTTTACCAATGGGCTGATTCTTCAGGGAAGATGGTGATCAGGGTCTGCTTATTTTTTCCCTTGGAGACTTGGTCACGGTTACATGTATGACTTCTTATCGGTTACTTCTTTGGGGTCTAATCTTACGTAATAATTTATTCTCAACCTGACAGGGGTTAAAGAATGATTGTTCATCTGTTTTTCCTTTATGTTGTCATATGAATATTCTGCCTTTTCCTTATAGAACGATGCTCCTTTTCAAATTTATAGTGTAATTATTTTGAACATTTTTTGCAATTGCACTGTTGGTTAGATTTATGTTTCTGCATATTGTTTCTTATCCGAAATGTATATGAGTTAATAATGTCTACTCTTTTTATTCTTTTTCTTGAAATGAAGTCTCTTGACATTTGTTTGACCACTAGGAGATGTCACTATGGGGAATTTTGCATTGGACAACTTACTTTCTAGAATATTTGTTTTTTATATCCAACCAACCTAGTTATTAACTTCACTGAATGTTTTAATTTTTGTGTCGTTTATTGGCTATCTTAGAGTTTTGTTTTCCTTTTCAGCACCTTGTTAACAAAGTTGGACGTACTCTGAACCAATGGATTTACTTGGGCGGTGTTAAAGCTTTTGCTGATGGCTCACTGGGTTCAAATAGTGCACTGTTTTATGAGGTGAAGACCTCGGTACTTTTGCATCTGCACTTCTTTTAGTAAATTTAGCATATAAATTTGAAATCCGTTGACTTTGGCCACTTCCATTTACTTTTTATATATTTTCTTCGTCTCATATTTATTCTTCTTTCTCATGCTATTGCTGTTAAGGCAGGGGAAATGTTGTTAGGAAGATAGGAATTCGTTGTAGTGAGCTTATCTAATTCACCTCAGACCCTTGCATCATCATATCAAGCAACTTTTTTTATTTCCACATTCAATATATTATCTTCTTGATAGTTTTGTTTTAAATTCTGTAGCCATATGCTGATGAGCCTCATAATTATGGCTTACAAGTGACGGACAATGAAAGTCTCTTCAACCTGACCTTGGCTTCAGATAAAGTTGGCCTTCAGGTGTGGTCTCATCTCTTTCGAAATGTCTCAACTCTCTACAAGATGTAAATGAAATCGTACTTCTAAAATTTGTTTTAAGTTGTGTTCAGGTTGCTATTCATGCTATAGGTGATAAAGCAAATGATTTGATCCTTAACATGTATGAGTCAGTGTTTTCAACAAATGGAGTAAGGGATCGAAGATTCAGGGTAAAAATATTTTCTCTGAACGTTGATTGTTCAAATGTAGCATATGCTTCGCAAACTTTTTCCTTTTCAAAATTTTATTATGTCTTGCATGACTGGAGAAAAAATTGCTTTCAGATTGAGCATGCCCAACATCTAGCACCTGAGACACCAGCCCGATTTGGTGAACTCGGGATTGTTGCTTCAGTACAGGTTTGATCACACTATTATCTTTGTATGCTGTGGGATCACATGTTACTGTAATTTCACATTGACATTTGCATCACTTTCTGGTTTAAAGAGTAATCTACTTAATAAAATAGTTTTTTGAAAAAAGGTCTTGAGTGGATGAGTTCCATTTTCTTCTTTCATTTTATTGCTATTTTTTGCCCCTTTGGTCTTAATAGTTTTCAAACCTTTGAGTGATTATCGTTACTCCGTTGTTGCTGTGAATAAGTTTCATTCTAAAACTCAAACTTCAATTCTCCACAGCCAGAGCACCTATTAGATGACGCTGAATCTGCGACAAAGAAACTTGGGATAGACAGGGCTCACAAGGGATCCTACTTATTCAAGTCACTCTTGGCTGGCAATGGACAATTGGCACTTGGTTCTGATTTTCCGGTAAGTGTAATGACTCTTGCAGATATATTTTTCACATGTACGTAATTATACGGGAGGCTCTCTGATGCACTTTATGTTTAGTGTGTGAAACTTTGTGTAGTTTTAGATTGTTGCTGTTCTTGCAGGTCTCGGATATTAATCCTTTAGGTGGTATTAAGACAGCAATGAAAAGGATTCCCCCTGGTTGGGATACTGCATGGATTCCCACTGAAAGACTTTCTCTGAATGAGGCATTGAAGGGGTATGCGACACTGAATCATTTGATCCTTTAGATTTCATTATTTGTTGACACAAATTTCCTTAAGACTGCTATTTAGGTTATTCGTGTTTCTTCTTGATCGGTGTCCCAGACCAGAGTCACTAAGAATGTGTCATCCAACTGATCAACGTTGTTTTGTACCATCTCTCATACTTGCCGCTGTATTATAGTTCCACCTGATACATTAACAATCATGACAGGTACACTCTTTCAGCAGCTCGTGCATGCTTTCTTGACAGTGATTTGGGATCTCTATCGCCGGAAAACTGGCAGACTTTGTCATACTGTCCACGGATTCGTGGGATGATGTCGTAGCTGAAGAATCTGCATCAGTTGAAGCAACATATGTTGGTGGCGTACAGGCCTATCCTTAAAAGCGCCAACATTTTAGGTCGTAAGTGTGCAGAAGATATAGTTTGTGAAGGACAACAGGTGTTTGTATACTTTGTATAAAGTATGGTGCGATTAAAGATATGCATTTGTTTACCAAGTAGTCATTAATTTAGTGACATTTATCTTTCTAATATATTGAAAGATACCAAGTTCAACACTCTCCACTCCCATTTTCGACATGTGATGTTTTAAACTACTGTAGTCTATGGTGAGAGGGATGCGAACTGGATTGTAAAAAGGCAGACACATTACTTGGCCAATTGGCCTAACCCACATCTACCACATCTCTATTGCGGAAAAAGGTGATTCTATTGCCATCCTGAATTCATTAAAGGAAAATTGGGCTTACTAGACTTTTCACAAATACACCAATTATCTCTGCTCTCAAAATGCAATTTCTATTAGTCATCTTTAACGAAAATGCCTTTAATATTGTGTCAATACTTTAATCAATATTGTGTCGATAAGATATTAACTTGAGAATATTTTCGTCGAAGAGGCCAAGTAGAGGTTGCATATTGAGTGGAGAGTTATTTTTGTTGTTGGAAGATGTTGTGGAAAAACTGATGATACGCCTTAACCTAATTTTGATGGAGGATGGTCGGAGCAATCCGTCATATGTTAGAAATATTCTTGGCAACAGCTATGAGCCATGGTAATGCTTCATGTACATTATTGGTGACAACAGTAGAATAAAATAAAAAGAAATAGATAAAAATAACCTATTTTCTTAATTTTGGGACTAAAATATGACAAATCGGCAAAATGTACGACAACGGAGTTCGTAAGGCATCTATTATCTGCTTGTAATACGTTAACATGTACTCTTTTGTAGATGTAAATTCATGTATATAACATGCTATTTCTATTTTGATTGAGTAACAAAATGTTACTTTATTTGTGGTTTTGTAATAATAGATTTTATGTATCCTCACCAGTCGGTTAGGAGAGAAACTTAGGGCCGATTAGTAACTATTTGGATTTCAGTTTTTAGTTAAACGGTATCATGCATTCACTCCCAAATGAGAAATATTCTCTTATGACTTATAAATCGGTAACATCACGTGACAAATATCAATTAGACGTATACTGTATTCTTTGAAAACAGGACAATTGTCTATTGCACCGGCGGTACGATTCACTTTTATCCAAAGTAGAAAGAAAAATTGTTTCCTCCTCCCACCGACACAATAATTTAGCCTCTACTTTTCCACTCACAAAACAAAGCACGACCATCAATTTTCTCATAATGATTGAGCGTGTGTGGTCCACTGAATTATTGACCAAGACAATATCTAGTCGTCCAGCTCACAAAAGTGAAGTTCATAAGAGTTTAAGCTTCAGTTTCCATCACAAAACTCTTCTCTAAGATTACTAGTTTCCAGAAAGTTAAGAAAAAAATGGCAGGAGCTTTGATTGGAGAGGCTTTTCTCTCTGCTTCCATCCAGGTGATGTGCGACAATCAATATTGCGTCGACAAGATATTAACTTGAGAATATTTTCGTTAAAGAGGCTAAGTAGAGGTTGCATATTGAGTAGAGAGTTATTTTTGTTGTTGGAAGATGTTGTGGAAAAATTGATAATACGCCTTAACCTAATTTTGATGGAGGATGGTTGGAGCAGTACGTCATATGTTAGAAATATTCTTGGTAACAACTCTAAGCCATGATAGTGCTTCATGTACGTTATTGGTGACAGCAGTAGAATAGAATAAAGAGAAATAGATAAAAAATAGACTCATTTTCTTAATCTTGGGACTAAAATAGGACAAACTGACAAAATATACGACAACGAAGTTTGTAAGGCATCTATTATCTGCTTGTAATACTTTAACATGTACTCTTTTGTGAATGTAAATTCATGTATATAACATGCTATTTCTATTTTGAGTGAGTAACAAAATGTTTTTATTTGTGGTTCAGTAATAATAGATTTTATGTTAGATCCTAATTAGTTGGTAAGGAGAGAAACTTAGGATCGCTTAGTAACTATTTGGATTTCAATTTTTAGTTAAACAATATAATGCACTCACTTCAGAACGAGAGAAATTCCCTTATAACTTATAAATCGATGATACCACGTGACAAATATCAATTAGTCGTATACTGTATTGCTTGAAAACAGGACAATCGTCCATTGCACCGGCGGTACAATTACTTTATCCAAAGTAGAAAGAGAAAACGTTTCCTCATCCCACCGACACAATTTTTTACCCTCTACTTTTCCACTCACAAAACAATTATTGACGTGTTTGGTCCACAATTATTAACCCACTACCTTAACGTGTTTGGTCCACTGAGTTATTGACCAAGACAATATCTAGTCGTCCCGCTCACAAAAGTGAAGTTCATAAGAGTTTAAGCTTCAGTTTCCGTCACAAAACTCTTCTCTCAGATTACTAGTTTCCAGAAAAAAAAGAAGAAAATGGCAGGAGCTTTGATTGGAGAGGCTTTTCTCTCTGCTTCCATCCAGGAAGATGTGCGATAAGATTGGTTCCGGCGAGTTCTTGGATCTGTTTCGGGGGAAAAAGCTTGATCTTTCGCTCGTGGAGAAGCTGAAGCTGACGTTGTTGACCCTTCATGCAGTGCTCAATGATGCAGAGGAGAAGCAGATTGTCAACCCTGATGTGGGAAGCTGGCTCGACGAGCTCAAACATGCTGTCTTTGATGCGGAGGATCTACTTGATGAGATCGATGCTGAAGCTTTGCGCTCCAAGGTGGAAGCTGAATATCAAACTAAGAAAACCCAGGTGTGGAACTTCCTATCTACCTCTCTTAATCCGTTTTATCAAGGCATGAATGGTAGGATACAAGAGTTATTCAAAAGGTTAGAACACCTCGCAAAACAAATTAAGCTCCTTGGTCTTATAGGAGGTGTTAAGGGGAAAATTTCTCGAAGAGCTCCCACAACATTCTTGGTAGGGATGGAGATAAAGACAAGTTGAAAACAACGTTGCTATCTGATTATGCGAGTAGCAGCCACGTATCAGTAATCCCCATAGTGGGAATGGGCGGGGTTGGTAAGACAACCCTTGCTCAGGTCCTTTACAACGACGACACAATAAAAGAGCATTTTGATGTTACCGCTTGGGCATGTGTTTCCGAAGATTTTGATGCTATGAGGGTAACTAAAACCCTAATTGAATCAATTAGCTCAAAACCTTGCAGTCTTCCAGATAGCTTGCTTCAAGTTGAACTAAGGGAACAAGTGAGGGGGAAAAAGTTCCTATTTGTGTTGGACGACCTTTGGAATGACAAGAAGAGTGATTGGGGTCTTGTACGGGTTCCTTTTACTTATGGGGCGAGGGGAAGTAAGGTCATTGTAACAACGAGAAACGAAAGTGTTGCATCCCTGGTGCGCACCGTGCCTATTCACTACTTGAAACATTTGTCGGATGAAGATTGTTGGTTGTTACTCGCAAAACATGCATTTAGAAATGAAAATCCTGGTGCGCATCAGACTTGGAAGAAATTGGTAAGCAAATTGCACGCAAGTGCAATGGTCTTCCTTTAGCTGCAAAAGCGCTTGGGGGTCTCTTAGGTTGTAATGTGGATTACGAGGAATGGAGTCACATATTGAACAACAAACTTTGGGAGAAACTGCATGATGAGGGTGTTCTTCCATCATTAAGATTGAGTTACCATTATCTCCCTACTTATTTGAAACAATGCTTTGCTTATTTCTCAATTTTCCCAAAGGACTGTGAATTTGAAAAGGAAAATATAATTCAACTTTGGATGGCACTGGGTTTAATTCCAGAAGCTAAGAGTGGTGAAGGATTGGAAGAGGTCAGCAAGACATACTTTGATGAACTATTGTCACGATCACTACTTCAAAGATCTTTAACTGAGAAATCAAGTTTCACAATGCATGATCTCATTAACGACTTGGCAATGTCCGTGTCTGGAAAATTTTGTTTTAGGTTGGATGAGGGAGAGCCACATGATCCTAAACGAGTTCGGCATTTGTCATATATGAGAGGAAGATTTGATACTGCTGCAAAGTTTAAGCCATTGGACGAAATTAAGTGTTTGCGCACCCTATTTCCCATGTCTTTAAGACCATACAATAAGTGGGATCATAAGAACTATGTAAGCGTTAAGGTTCTAGAGGACTTGTTACCAGTACTAAAATGTTTAAGGGTGTTGTCACTGCCAGGATATAAAAATATCACTCAAATACCTGATAGCATTGGTAAACACTTGCACTTGCGCTACATTGATTTCTCTTACACTGCAATTGAAAGGTTACCAGATACGGTGTGTACTCTCTACAATTTGCAAACTCTATTGTTGTTCGGTTGTTCCTCACTTGTTGAATTGCCTGCAGACATGAGAAAATTGATAAATTTGCGTCATCTTGATATTGGTGAAACTTGTGTAAAAGAGATGCCGGTGCAAATGGGTAGACTAAAAAGTTTGAGAACATTGACTGCTTTTGTGTTGGGGAATTCTACTGGGTCAGGTGGCATTGGAGAACTGGGGCAATTGTCGCACCTTCGAGGAAAACTATCTATCTGGAATCTGCAAAATGTTGTCAATCCTATGGATGCCTTGGGGGCCAATTTGAAGGATAAGAGAGATCTCAACGAAGTAGAGTTGGCATGGGGGTCGTGAGGAAGTAGATGATTCCATAAAAGAGAGACACGTACTTGAAAGCCTACAACCTTCTATAAATCTGGTGAAGCTGACCATCAGATTTTATGGTGGAACCAGCTTTCCGGATTGGTTGGGAGACTCTTCCTTCTCCAACATACAAGTCATGTGTCTCACTGATTGTAGTACTTGTTTGTGGTTGCCACCAGTTGGGCGGTTACCCGCTCTCAAAGAGCTCTATATAGAAGGGATGAAATCTGTCACGAGTATTGGTGTTGAGTTCTACAGGGGTAATGGAGCTTCTTTAATTCAGCCATTTCAATCTCTCAAGAAGCTAGAGTTGAAAGAGATGCCGGAGTGGGAGGAATGGCTACCTTGTCCAGGCAGAGGTCAATCTCTAGACTTTCCTCGTCTCGAGGAGCTGACTTTAGAGAATTGTCCGAAGCTGAGGGGAAACTTGCCCGATCATCTTCCTTGCTTGAGAAAACTTTATGTGTCCGACTGCGGGGTTCTACATGAAAGGGCTACCAGAACGAGATGGATACCGTGGTCTCTCATCGTTAACACGGAGTCCTTGCGACAATCTCTTGAAGAAGTGAAGATAGTTGGATGCCCTGGTCTCTCGTCGTTACTGGAGACGGAGTCGCTTTCCTCGCTTGCCAAACTTAAGATTCAATTTTTTAGTCGCAGAGAGTGCTTGCGGCCGCACTTGAGCAATTGTCTTCAAGTTTTGACTCTGTATAACTGCGCATCACTCTTGTCGTTCCCGAGAAATGGTCTACCCACTTCGTTGACACGTGTTAGAATACACAATTGCAGGAGATTAGAATTCCTATCTCATGAGATGATGGCCAAATTGACATCCCTTCGAGATTTGACATTATACCATAGCTGTGATTCACTGAGGTCCTTCCCGCTGGGCGTTTTCCCCAAACTTTCAACTCTTTTTATCAGGGGAATTAAAAATCTAGAATCCCTTTCCATTGGTGAAGGAGCTGAAGATGAAAATCTCACGCATCTCAACCATCTCCATATCTATAGTTGTCCAAATCTGGTCTCTTTTCCCCACGGGGTATTGCCCACTCCCAAACTGACTCTTTTTATAGTCGATGGATGCGAGAATTTGAAGTTATTGCCCGACCGAATACAGACCCTCACAGCCCTTCGATTTTTGCATATAGACGAACTTCCAAATGTTGAGTCATTTGCAGAAGGGGGTTTGCCTCCCAACCTACAATCAATTCAAATCGGTGGTTGTGAGAAACTGAAGCCTTCAGTGGAGTACTGGGGTTTGCAACGACTTGTCTCCCTTCGAACATTTAAGATCTGGAGAAGCGAGGATGTGTTGGAGACGTTGCTCAAGGAACAGCTGCTCCCTACCACTCTTCCCGAACTCCATATCAGTGGGATGAAAAGTCTGAAATCTTTGGAGGGACTTCAACACCTCACTTGTCTTCAAGAGCTCCACTTGAGCTGGTGTGATAGTCTCGAATTCCTGCCAAAAGAGGGTCTTCCGGCATTGCTCTCTTTCCTGAGCATCCGGGATTGCCCTTCTCTGACGAAGAGGTGTCAGCAGAAGACGGGACAAGAGTGGAGCAAGATAGCTCACATTCCTTGCATCGAGATAGACGACGGGACAGGACTGAACAACAGTGTCATCATTTGAGATCTCAAGTCAAAGTGAGGTACGTACATGGCACCATTTTCATTCCATAGCCAAGATTCAGATTCTGTAATAGTTTCATCTCAAGTAAAATGTGAAGGCATTATTCCAAAGGCTTTTGTAAATATGTTACATCTATCTGTAGAATCTATCTTTAATCGTTTAGGCTTATGTATTAGTCAAATGTTAAGAGTGATATTCAACTATGCTTTCAGGGCAAAATTATGTCACTGCCGTGTTGGTCGGCTTTGCTAATGCAGATAGAAAACTTGGAATTGTAAAGATTGGATTATCTAAGGCCAATGATTTTAACGTCCATCAATTAATTGTCCATGAATGGTTCTCCTGCAGTGTGGCATGAATATGATTCTCCTTCAATTGGATAGGTAACCCCTGGAATGATGTTTTACTCATATACTGCTTTATTTTCAATACAACCAGCATATGCCTTCTCATCTTCTCTTCATGTTGCTGCCATCTTCGAGTGGGTGCAGATATGTTCTTTTTGTACATACAGAGCTGTTGCAGTGAGAACGGGTGACGATGACCACAAAACAAAAATGAAGGCCAGGTTTCTTTGGAGCACTGCCTGCATGCTTGCGCTTGTTGGAAGTCAGTACATTACGTTACTAGAGCAGGTGGGTAGTTGCTACACTACACATTTCACAGGAACGATATTTCATATGATGAACACTGCAGATAACAAAAATTGAGATCCATTTCACTTTTGTTTCTTCAAAATTGTTTCTGAAAAGTTCATAAACATACTTTTTTCCCTTTCTAAGTGTGATAAAGAGAGACGGAGATAGGCAGAGAGATGTTGATTATATTCATTAATATAAAGAAAATGTCCACTTGTTAACCGTGTGCCTAATAAAGTGAATAGCTCATGTATATGTTGATGCTAACTCAATCTATTTATTGGTTGGAATTATTTAAGAAGCTGAACGAATTAGGTTTCATTTTAAGATCCATTTGCTTGGTTACTAAAGATCAATCAATCGTTTATAATTTCACCATAATTGAATTTAGGAGCATTCAGATATGTTGAGCTGGGGTATGAAAAAGGAAAGCACTTGTGTTGGCGTCCTATCAAAACGGATATGAGAAGAAACAGGATTTTCACAACTTAATGTGGAAATGAAGTGGGAGAACACATTGATCTGAAGGTAAAGCTCTGTCTTCTTTCACTACATTAATTGTCCACAAACCTTCCATGGATTTTTGTTGCAATGTCCTCATACTCTCCTTAAAGAAAAAAGATCCTGCACTTTTATTTTTATCTGAAATTGTGCCTATTGTCACAGCCTATGAGCATCTTATTCTCTGGAAGTGATCCAAAGGAACTGAGAGATTACAGCATTTTTCTCTGCCATTGGGGATGTTATGAGCCGAAGAAACAAGGGAGATGGATGTTGAAAGCAAGGATGGTTCGCCACAAAAACGTATGGCTTCAAACAAGGTTTTAGTGACATTTAAGATGCCCTCCATTTTTTTTAGGAAACCAGTGTGAACCAGTGTTGGTTCACCAAGAAAACGAGGGAAGAAGAAATCACTTGATGGAAGCAATGATATGAACTTGATGCATCTCCATAATCTGATGAGCAGGAAACTAAGAAAACAAAGCAGGAAGAGTTGATGGAAATTTGTAATGGCAGCAGAGATGGTGCTGCTGCTATGAGAAATAAGAATGTCGATGCCAAGGAAGTCAGAAAGCATCTTAAAGTCGAGGATTGAGACTAAAGAGGTTGATTTTGGCAGCAGAGATGGTGGTGCTGTTGATTATAGATTTTTCTTTGTGAATTCATATTGATATTGTTGTTGGTTGGTTTTAGTTCTGTTTAAGAGGGCTTATGGTCTTGAGTTTTTGCAGGCAATGTGTGTTGGTTCACGTAGCAAATGAGAGAAGGAGAACGTGCTTGATCAGAAGATGTGAAGTACTCGGATGTAGCAAAGCAGGACGAGTTGATGGAAACTTGTAATGCAGCAGAGATGGTGGTGCTGCTGTGAATGAGAATGATGCCAAGGGCAAGGCTGTAAGAGGGTGTCACAGGGTCAAGGAATGCCACGTTGAGAGCAGAGAGATAGATCTTGAGCTTCCCCTACCTCAGGGCACCATTAGCTGCTGAGGATATGGAAAATGCTCTCCAGTTTTTGAAGTTCTGTGAAACATTTAGTGAGGTAATTCTTACTTTTGTTCTATTATATATTTGATTAAATGTTTCTCTAATTTTGTTTTAATTGATTTTGTGCACCACTTTACTGATTCCTGAACTTCCAATTCACTTGAAATCTCTTTTTCTTTTCTTGTTTCTTTTAACTCTAGTGTTTTTAAATTGAAAAGTCCCAGGCTGAATCCGTTCTTCGAGAACTATCTCGTCGAGGAAGTGGACCAAGTGGATGGCCTGGACAGTACTCCATTGTTCGATTTCATAGATATATGCTCTTCTTCATACAGGAGTAAGAAATCTGCCTAGTGTATTATAGTTATGCATAAAGTACTTTAGTAAGCTGTAATGGTGAAAATAATTCATATGGTTTACGCCAACTTTATTTTCTCTTAGATCTCTATAGCAAGCAAGCACCAACTGCTCATGGTTCCAAGATTTGGAGAACCTGATCTCCGCATCCAGGGTCTCTGTGGTTGACCCCGTTATGAAGGAGTTGCCTTCTGAGTGTTTTAGTGGAGGTGGGGATGGATATGATGCCTTAAGCTTCTCCCAAAATCTTAGGCTTTTGAATTTCCTCTGTGATGGGGCTCTTAATGCAAAGTAAGTAGAAGATACATAGTAGGCAGATTATAACTTTGTAGTTGTCTGCTTGCTCTGTTACGAGTGATGAGTTCTTTTCAGTCCCTTGTCCAGGACGCTGAGGGGATGGATTGAGGAGCAAAATAAAAGAGTTGTCCAACGTAAAAGGTTTGCTCTAGCAAAGAATAAGGTCATATGACAAGAAGGAAATCTTTGAGGCAAGCATCTTTCGGAGCCAACATGGAGTTCTGTTTTTAACTAAATCGATCATATATGTGCAGGAGAGAGATCTTCCAAGGCTAAGAAAACCACTGCAGATAATGGCAGTGCTGTCCCAATTTCAGAGTTGGACTCCATTGTTTCATTACTCTGACGTAAGGCTGCTCAAGCTCCGACGGAGGTGGTCGATGCTATGGCCATGATACCGGAAAGTAAGTTCCCATTTCTAACATCTTTACCCTTTCAATTACCTTTTTCGCTTTCTGTAATTGATGTTAAAACCATTTTTAATACTTAACACTTGAGATGTTTTTCCATTTGGTTGAAATGCTTTCCATGTTTTGGTTCTTCATGAAAATTTGGTTAAACATGCTTGTGCCAAAATTGTTTTGACTTATTTTATAGGCGATGGAATATGTGAGGCTGTTAGAATACAGCCTTATCTTGTCGATGCTGATGGACATTGCTTTTGGAAACTGAAAGGTGATTTTGGTGAAGATATATTGCTTCAAGGTTAGTTTCAACTGTTCTAAACACAATGAGTTGATTTCCAGTTTTTGAGTTATTTCTATGTAATAATTTTTTTCCGAGTATTTTACAGATTTGGGAACCTGGGATGGAACTCCATTTGGTGAACAACGGTCCATCTGCAGTGCTAAAGAGCCAATAGACAAATACTGCTCTTCTCCGGCTCTAAAGTACGCAGACATACTTGTTTTACATTGTTAATAATAATGTTCTGATATCGACAGTTCCCCTCCCTGCCAATCCCATTTTTTATGAACTGGTTGTTGATGCATCAACTGTTTGCTTGGCTTGCAGGGAAAAACAGGCCAAGAGGGAGCGTAGGCATTCCAAAAACTTGCAGCTTTCCCAAACTTCTTTGGAAAGCAATAGCGAAAATGCGCAGGTTTCCCAGACTCCTGATAGCAATGGCAAAAAGGGGCAGGTTTCCCAAGCTCCTGAATGCAATCGAGAGAACATGGAGCTCAGGTCCTGAGGTGAATTAAACTTTTTTAGCCCAGAAGACATTAAATTCCTGTTCTTTTTCGTAAATACATAGGAAGGGGTATACATGTGCGAGAAAATATGTATACATACAACTATACGAGTCGGCTGCCCAGGTTTCTGTATGCATTCCTACATGGGAAAGCTGTTTCCCAGTTTAGATTTCGCTCTCTACGAATCTGAAGGGGCGGCCGTCTTGAGAAACTGGCACAGCTGCCTCCGAGCAGAAAGAATTGAGAAGAGTGGTCCTGATATATTGGGATGAGCTTTGTCATAGTTAATTCTTAACAGCTTATGAAATTTTCATGTATCTTCATCTGTTGATATATGCTCCCAGTTTAACTTTCAAACTATTGCTAAGTGCCCTTGGGTTTGGTCTTTTTGTGTTCGTTTGAGATTGCTTTTGTAGGAGTCGTTTTTTTTGTTCATAAGTGTTTTTTTAAAACTGCTTTTATTCTAAAAGTGTTTTCTAACAACTAAGCACTTTTTGACTGTGTTAAGTCCGATATTCAGATTTTGCACTAGAGTGACACCATCGGTTGCTTCTTGAAGCACCAAAATATTTAAGTTGGTTCCATTCTTAAGAGGATGAAAAAAGTCTCTTGGTCTTGGGAAAGAGTGAGTTGTTGGGAAATTGTGAGAGATGGTACAGATATATAGGTAGGATTTTGCCAAACCTTACAAATTTTAGAGCACTATATATCTTTATTTTTGGTTTATGATTCGGGTCAAATATTGTTTGTATTGTGGTGTGGTTGTACATTGAATTTTGATTCCGCGAATACGATCATCCTCAAAATTTATTCAAACCAATAAACATACATAGTAGCTTCCTTAGCAATTTCTGATACCACTGATCTTCAACGGTACGTAGCACTAAGTAATACCAAAAATGAATGTGAGATTAATATGAAAGATCTAACAGTTGTGAAAATCAAATCTAACAACTAAAACACACGCAGCATTGAATGCTGCGTAGATTTCATTAAGATGCAACTAAAGACTATATTTCACGTACCTAACGGTGGGCGTCTAGGTATAAGATGCAAAAGAACATTTCACTTTAGTTGGAGAACATAATATACTTGAACTTATGACGATGAGCCTCTCACCTTATTGCTAATTAATTTTGGAATTAAAACGCCACCCAGCACTTCAAAAAGTCATCCTGCACTTCAAATTTATAAAAAATGTGCATGATGACATATTTGAAGTGCCAATAGTAGCACCAAAATGAAACATGGACATTCCACAAAGAAGCAACATTTCCATTGACCGAATGAAACGTCGTGGTGGTATGGAGATGAAATCAAATTCAGCAAATACATTGAAAAAACAGAGAGAATGTAATAATTTGAAGACATGCACTCTACCCTAGAGTAGACTGACCACTTCATATTGTATATGGGCTTATTAATTTCACCTAACCTTCATACACACGAAATAAATTATATGGTGGAAGCAATCAGTGAGCTTAACAGTTGAACTCATTGTAATCTATCTCCACATATGATCAGCTATCGCTTTGCTACCGATCTTTTTTCTTAAGTTCATACGCTGTCCCAAGGCAACAATCATATGCTACAGTACCTTGTCAGGAATGATCACTGAACTACGAACAATTATATATCTAGAATCCGCGTGTACATCTATCGATGAGCTACGAGCAGGAGGTTTGCATGGAAAAAACCCTACCTCGTCAGTCAAAAATTCTCTCCCCAGTTGAGAACAGCAAAAATACTAAAGAACTAAAAATGCAGAGCAAACCCGGGATGAAGAACACCAATCTCCAGCTCTCTGGACTTGAAAGACTCGAATCAACACTTCTAGCGGCTTCAAGAAGTTTGCCGGTCAGATCAACTCCAATAATGCCAGCTAACGTACCAGCAGTGTTAGAAACTCCCATCACAATGCCTGCATATCTCGGGGCAATATCCATGTGATTCACTGCGAAACCAGCTCTCCCAAGCGCCAAGAAACCCAGAGCCACAGAAGAGCAGAGGACAGCTCCACCAGATGTTCTGAAAATGGGAATTGCCATCAGTGCAAGAGAAGCAACTATGAACCCTATGGTGTTCAAGAGCTTCCGCGTTCTGGTCACAGACAAGATTCTCTTTGTGACCAAGTGATCAGCAACCACCCCACCTATATTTGAGAAAACAAACATGTTGAGATACGGCAACATCTTAGAAGAACCCATTTCCTGAAGGCTAAGCTGGAGCCCCAATTCAAAGTATGTCGGCAGCCAGTTCATTAACACATATAAGGCGTAGTGGAATGTGAAATTATTAACCACGATTGCCCAAACTGGCAAACTGAGTAAAATTTTCTTCCATGGGATTTTCGCACTTCTGATGGAACTTCCTCCATTCTCTAGTTTCAGCTTTTCACTTCCGTTGATTGGCAACGCTGATTCCCCAAAACCAGCAGCTGTGGCTTTTGGATGTTCTGAGCGAGGTGGGTCACTGGCATACTTGAACCAAAGCAAAGACCACATGGCACCTAGTGCTGCCTCGACAAGAAAGACAGCCTGCGGACCTCTATACTTTACAAGGCTTGGAAGAAAAAGCATTCCTGCAGCTGCACCTAGGTACATACCAGAAGTTGTAAGAGAAACCGATCTGGATCTTTCATGCGGTGGAACCCACTGTGCTAAAACTGTGTGAATTGAGGGGAATATAAAACCTTGTGCAACACCAACAAGCAACCGAGCAACCACCATGACAAAGACTCGATTGGGGTCCAAAGGAACCAATGCACAAGTCGCTGACCATAATACAAAGGAAAGGAGAAGGACCTTCCTTCCTCCAATTTTCTGGGCTGCCCAGCCTCCAGGCACTTGTGAACAAGCATATCCATAATAGAATGTAGAAAGAATTGTGCCTTTACTTGCTTGATTCACCCCAACAGCATCAGCAGCAAAAGTGTATGCAATTGAAAACCCAACACGTTCTATATAGCAAACAGATGTGCAGATGAAGGTCAATATGACGACTAAATAACGCTTTGGAAATTTCATCGTCCCCATACCTCACCTTTTGTGACATTAACAAGTACTTTACATTGCCAAAATTGCCTTCAGAAGCTTTTCATATTTTCATTAAAAGAGTCAACTTTGTCAATGTTATCAACTGTAGCTATTATGTCTGCTGCTATCTTTAAGTGAGCTGGACTTTTAACAGCTCACATTTCTTATAAAAGTGGTTCAGAAGAGGAAAGCAGCAACTTCAATAGTATCACAAATCAATGCTTAGATATGTTGATGTAATCTGCAGGAGGAAAAAGTGGGTTATAAGAAGAAAGCAGCAGCTCAGAAACAAACAACATAGCATACATAAAAAACCAAAAGCGTTTACTGTACAAGGGCTTCCATGTTCCAAGAAAGTGAAGCTAGGCGATCGACTACTTGTTAGTCGAAATTTCAACTTCATTTTTTATGGCATTTTCCAAATTTATAGAAACTGCCACTTCTACTAGTTCCATAATATATGCACGGATTCACACCCAAGGGATTCTTTTATTATTCAGTGACCGATTTTTGTATAAAAAGAAAACATCAATGAATCAACAGCCTTTGCACTGAGAAATGTATTTGTTTACAGCCAAGGAAACAAACCCCAGCAAAATGGGCAATACATATACTTTAGTGCTTTGGTTTACTTATGTATTGCCGCCATTTATTCTATGTTAATTCCCAACTCTAACATATTGTAATGCTATGTTTAATTAGTGATTGGACTCTTTGTTTTTTTATTTATTTGGTTAAGACTCTTTGTTTTCTTATCTACAAGCAAGTTCTACTATAAAAACGTGAATTTCCTTAAATAAGAGATAGGGTAATCAAACGTGGAAACTGAAGGCTAAACTGCCTCACAGTTGAAGCAACTCTGGACCCAATACAATTTAGTTGCAGATTCTAAAACATATCTAAAAAATTGTTAAGAGTGAAAAAATACAGAGTCAGATATCTACACAAACTTAATGTGCTTAATCAATGAAAAAAAACAAGAAAAATGTCAAGAAAACCAACTTTAGGTTCCAAAATCAAAATCCTCAAACCCCTAAAAAACAAAAACAAAAAAATAAAAAACAGATATGCAGAATCTTAAGAACCCGAAGAAGATCAGAAGGACGTTGACAAAAAAGAATTTGGAAGGACAGATCATATTCCAAAGCGAAACTTTCCCGAATCTGAAGTTGAAGACAAATCCTAGTTTGGCCTAAAAACTCCCAAAAAGCTCTAAATTGAAAATCCAAAGAATTTTCTTCCGGGTTCTTTCGTTCTCCCATTTGGGTCTACATTTTCTACTGGTGAGAAAACCCATTGGCCACTAAAAAGAACAAAAATTCTATGACGAGCGGGTTTTAATAAGGGGAAGAGATAAGGGGCTAATAGGATCCATTAGATTGAACCGAGCTGTGCAGGTTAAAACGAAACCAGGTCAACTGAAACGCATAAATCCAGAAGAAATCCAGCATTTTCCAAGCATTTCACAGTGCCCCAACCCAGATTCAAAACCTCTCTGTGTATTTCTACATCTTCAGCTATACAATCAAGTACAACAACACAATGTCCATTCAAAATAATAAATCATACAAAGATCAATTGAAAACAAAAGGTCCACTTGATGATAATCACAAAGCCACAGCACAGAAATAAGACAATAATTGAATCCATTAATCCGATTAATTTAGAAAATTAACTGAATCCCTAATTCTTAAATCCCAAAATTAAGATTCAAAAAAATAAAATTGAAATTAGATGGCGAGAAGAAGAGAAGTAGGGGGTGGTGAGGTCAGCGGTTCGGTGGAGTATTGAAATCTGAAGAAGTAGAAGAAGGAGGAGGAGGAGGAGGACTTACAGTTAGAGAGCACAGGAAAGGAGAGGAGAGGAGGGTGGAAACGCGGCGCCTGGATCCGTGGAGCGGCGGAAGCACTGCACTGTCGCTGCTGGGCAGATAAATTGGAAATTTGGACTCTTATGAGTATTTTTTTATTCTTTGGTTTTGTTTTTGGGTATGAAGATTATGTGTGATGGCGTAATTTTTTTATAATTTGGATTATTCTTCATAGTTGTATTATTACCGTTAAATATTTGTTTGAAAAACAAAAATTTGCATCTAATGGTTATAAAACCATGAAGTATTATTAAGATTTAAAATATTGATACTAGTGAAATCGATATAAAATTTGTAGAAATATCAACCAATATGTCGAATATTAATCCCAATATCTGTTGTTTTTTATAGAACTTATAGACAATGTACGTCGATACTTAAAAAATATGTGTCGGAGAAAATTTTAACTCATGAGTAGGGATGACAATAAAAAAATGAAAAATGAGAAAAGAAAAGGAGAGCAGGTGCACAATGACCATTGCTTCTCTCTCTTCTGCATCTTTCCACGTTCACATTGTACCAAACAGTCGCGAGCCACCGAACCGCCACCGGTGGCGCCATGGTTCCAACGGATGTCTGAATTTAAAAATAATTTTAACTGTAAACTTCAAAGAAAAACAACATGGAAGCCCAAGCCACCTCCCCCACCTTTCCCTCCCCTCCCCTATACACCCCCTCCACCCTACGCTCCCTTCCCCATTCGTTCATCCCCACTTCTCATCGCCCCCAAATACCCACCAAATCCCCAGCCCAATCACTTCAGTTGCCAATTTTTTTAATTTAAATTCGATTTAAAAAAAAAAAAAAAAAAAAGGGCTTTTATTGTTGAGGTTCACGTAAAAAACAGTAAAATTCGTATTCATGTAATCATTGAATTGCCCGTAATTTTTTATTTAATTTTAATTATAGAGTTAAAATAGTAATTTTATAGTAGTTTATGTTGCATCACATTTGCATTGCCATTGGCTTTCTTGAATTGATTGTAGCTTGTGGTTGTGGAAGCTTAGGGATCTGATGCAACATAAACGCGACAAGTGGCATGGGTTGATGAGAGTAATATTCTACAACTAGCAATTCAGTTATTTTCAAACCGATTCATTTTACTTTTTTCATTGGCATGAAGTATTCCAATTTGCAATTTTTTAATATCCGAAGTTTTTTTCGTATCAATTTCAATCTCAAACATTGATTTTTTCTACCAATTACATACATCCATTTGTTTGCTTTTTAAGGTCTCTGTTAACTTATAGCATGAGGAACCAAATGGAATAAGTTTAGCCGGCCAAAGTCGCACCACATCATCAGTTAATTCCAAGAATTTTTCTTGAAACTACATCTAAGTATATTTGAACCAAACTGCATTTGCATAATTGCATGGAATTAAGGTATACTGCAAACCAAGAAAAGCAAGATTACAGTTCCTGTGGAGAAACCACTGTGTTGCCCAAAGGCGTCTATGCTACTACAAAACGACGACGGATCACTCACTTATACTGAGTATTATTTCCAACTACAAACAGAAGAACCATTATATTCTTTGGCCAGAGAAGGTACCACTGTGGCTTCATTTCAAAAACATCCTCTGGAATCCATGTATCCCCCCCATATTTGGAAAAGTATTATAGGCATGCCCCTGCACTAATTAGATATAGTCCTTCAACTTGTCAAACTATAGAGCAGTGATCCTTCCGTTATGTTCACTGTAAATGTGCTTGTGTGGCAGCACAATGAGACCCACATTATGTTAAATGGGGGCCGAAAGGAATAACAAATTAGGTATATAAGTTAGATTTTTATTATAAATATTCTACAAAAGAAACAAAAAATAAAAATAAAACATGATTGCCCCCTCCCATCTTTCATCTCCATATCTCCACAGAAATAAAACATGATTGCCATCACACACTGCAGACCTACCCCCACTAAACCACCTTCGATCTTCATTATTCGGGTAGATGGGGACCTCGGGATTACGGATACTGCTACTCCATTTCAGGGCTGGTCTTGAGATTTTGGAGGTTCTGTGCGAGACTTCAACATGGGTCTTATATGGTTTAAAATTTTGATTGCTACATTTTCTTTTATATTTTGTATTTTTTTTTATTATGGATTAAATTGATATAAATAAAAAAAACAACATGAAGCATAATGTGGTGGAATGCACCTGTCTGAAATCCTATGTTTTTTTTTGTTCGAAACTCCTTAATTTTTAAATACAAAAAGTATGGAGTGATGGCTATGTAGTTATCATATCGCCGTACAAATACCATAATCATAACCATTAATGCTCTTTATTAGCATCTAGAGTTCATCTCATGAATTTTTTTGTGTTAAATAAATCACTAGTTATGATATTGATAGCATCTTACAATGAAATGTTATTTTTATTGCATTTTTACTCACGCCCTAAAGCAAGGATTATTCTCACCACCCCCACCCCCCCCCCTTCCCCTCTCGGTTGGTTGCCGTTAGATTAGTTGAAAATTCGAGATTCGTGTCTCTAATTGTAGGTATGAGCAAAGTTGTAGTATAATTTTCTTTTGATATATAGATGACTAAAGTCTTCAAATGGATAAAACTTTTAATTTGATAATTTTAAATAGTGATCAAATTAAAGAATAAACGATTCTTATTATTACATGTATTCTATTAAATGATGTCATATAAGGAAGGGGCTTTTAAAGATTATATTTTAAAAATTTTAAGAATTTAATTTATTATGATATTACTAATTACAGATTATTCGCAAAAGTTATGTTATATAATGAAAGAAATGTTTTTTTTTAACAAACAATGAAAGAAATTAAAATACAAATATTAAAAAAAAAGAAACAAATAGTCTAGCGTAAAAAAAAAGGTCCAAAATGGTTACCCGGACAATGCCCAATAGGAAAGAAAACCTAGTATAGCTGGAAAAAAAAAATCAAAATTAGTAAACATGAGCAAGTGTGTAGTCGAACCTGTTAACAGGTAAATGATAGTACCGTCGGTTGACAACTTTGCCAAGAAAGCATTGTGATAATGTTCACGCTTTTTATTTATATACATAAAGGTTTTTAGAATTTGGGGGGCCATGTGCGGTCGCACACTTTGCACCCCCTCAGGGCCGCCCCTGCTCCATTCACCGCCAATTTGGGTTTGTTCTGGGTTTTGAGAAACATATGCGGTGGGGCAAACTAATGGGGTTTATTTTCAAAGGGTTTTGGAGGAGCTGGGCAAAACAAAATTGAGAGAGATGGAATCAATTGGTGGTAATTGGACCAGTCTTGCTGTTGTACATATAACTATGTTTTTAAGAATTGAAAGAGTATTCTTCATGCATATTTATTATTCATAGAATACATTACTCAACTAAAATCCAAGTAAATTTCGAAATTAAGATATTTTTTATTTCTATTTCAATTTAAAAATAAAATTTTAAATTGAAATAATGAAAGTTTAAATTCAAATATTTTTTTTTTAGTCTAAGGGTTTTCAAATGCTATCGTTTGTTACTGTACTTGTGGACCCTATATGTCAACCATGTAAGCACCTCAAACGGAGAATTTGACAGTGTTTAGAACAGAGGACTTATGCTCTATATTTTATTAAGTTAAAGGATTATATTTAATAAAATTTTAATTAAGGGATCAAAATTACAATTAACTTAAAGTTCAACGACTATACCTACGATTAACTCTTTTGAAAAGAAAAAGAAAAGTATGATCCGATTAGAGATGCTCGGGAAAAAGGAGCGGGCCATGGGTTGGATGTAGAGATACAAAAGAAAAAGGAATATTATCCAACAGATACTCCTAACTCAGCTAGGGTTTTTCCCAGCCCAAATATAATATAAATAGGCAGCTGTGATGCAGCCTAACAAATCTCTCTCTCGCCCTACTACTCTCACTCCTCGGCCGCCTCTCTTAACTCTCTCTCTCTCAAATCGCCATGGCCATCACCTTCTCAGATCTCTACACCGATGCCGGTCTCAAAGCCCTCGATGAGTTCCTCGCCAGCAAATCTTACATCTCTGGGTAACAATTTCTTATTCTTCTTCTTCTTTATTTTTCTGTATATTTCAATGGATTGCACTTTATTTTTGGTTAATAATTCACTGCTCATCCCAATCTCAGAGACAAGCTGACTTTGGATGATATCAAGGTCTACGCCGCCGTGTTGGAGAAGCCCGCCGGTTCTTTTGCCAATGTCAGCAAGTGGTACAACGCCGTTTCGTCCCAACTCGCTTCCACCTTCCCCGGCAAGGCTGCCGGAGTGAGAGTCAGCAGCGGCAAGGCTGAGGCTGCTGCACCCGCTCCCGCTGCCGCCGCTGGAGGCGATGACGATGACGATTTGGACCTCTTTGGCGACGAGACTGAGGAGGACAAGAAGGCCGAGGCGGAGTTGGCGGCAGCCAAAAAGGCGTCTACCAAGAAGAAGGAGAGTGGAAAATCCTCTGTTCTTTTGGATGTCAAGCCTTGGGACGATGAGACTGACATGAAGAAGCTCGAGGAGGCTGTTCGGAGTGTCGAGATGGAGGGTCTCTTCTGGGGCGCATCGAAATTGGTTTCTGTTGGTTACGGGATCAAGAAGTTGCAGATCATGCTCACCATTGTCGATGACCTTGTTTCCGTCGATGACCTCATCGAAGAGCAGCTTACTGTTGAGCCCCGCAATGAGTACATCCAGAGCTGTGACATTGTTGCCTTCAACAAAATTTAATCCTACTACCTGCGTTGCACTGCTCTTCGTTATCATATTTACTTGTTCGATTTGGATTTGTGGTAGCAATTTTCGCGAGTCAATCTACTTTTGATCTTTACATGATGATATATGGTTTTAATTTGTGCTTCTAGTTGTTGGCTTGTGCTATTTTGAGTTTTGTAATCCTTAAGTTATACAGTTAATGTGGTGATTATAACATGATGCTTAATTGCTATCTAGATTTTTTTTTCTTCGGCGAATAATTGCTCTAGTTGTTTTTACTTTTCAATTGAATTGTTTATCCAATCAAGAGGAAGTTGGGATGAGAGAATCCGTGGTCTAATTAAATCGTATTTGTGAATTGCCTTGGAAAGTTATGGGATGATATATGCATCAAGTTTGATCGTTGCGGAAAATGTATCTTCAATCGCTTTGCAAGTCATGATTGTTAGTGGTGGAAGTACTTGCTGTTACTCTTTGGTGTTTGTTAAATTGGGTCATAAGTAAAGATTAACTAGGTTTTGTGGATTATGTTTTTAGTTCCTATGCAATATTCGGTCATCATGTAAGTTGGTTAGCAACGGATATCTCTTCTCTGCGTAGTCAAAAGACTCAAAACTAAGTATCATTCTTTCTATCCTCTCTCTCTCACGTGCTTTTTCTTAACATCGTGCTGCTGCCGTACTTTAGTTTTCGTTCATGTAATATTAGGATGATGTAGAGTATTTGAATCTAACGGAAGATGTGACACAGAACCGAGCGCAATAGCATTCTAGGATTCATATAGCCGATCCTACTTAGTGGGAAAAGCCGACCGTACTTAGTGGGAAAAGGCTTTGTTGGTGTTGTTGTTATGGTGTCAGAATGCAATGAACTTGCATTTTCTGTCGTAGCGAGTTTATCATTTATCGAACATTTGCATCTTAGAAGTACTGTTTTCTTTTGTGAATTGTCCAATTGTGTGTAATGTTTTTTTTTACTTCAGTTTGAATCCAAGTCCTGTACGAGAAGTTGAGTCCTCAACATGATCTATGTGTGAAAGAGGGATGTTGAAGAAATGAAACGAACGACGCTTGTAAACTAATGATTAATGCACGTTGTATTTCAGTTGAAGTGCTTCGAACAGAAACAACAATCATTCGTAATGCAAAAGTATTCATGAAATAAAGTATTCATGGCGCGTTTACGTAATGGTAATGAAAATAGGAGGAATTGAATTGAGGAGGAGTTGGAATGAGGAGAAGTTGGAATCGGATTCCTGTTGAAGTTGTTTACTTAAATGTTCTGGAATCGGAATAGAATTTCATAAAGTTGTTTACTAATTCAACAAAATAGGAATATAAACTAGTATGATTACTAAAATGTTCGTGTCCCAAATCAAATATTTTATATACTTTAATGGGTTTATAAAGGATAGTCTTGGAAATAAAAAAAGTAATTGAGGGCATAAAAAGAACAAAAGTGTCATTCTGATTGCCCAAACAATCAGGAATTGTATTACCACTTATATCTAGGGAATCCAATTCCACCAATATAAGGAATTGAATTCCAAAATTTGTATGGGCCTCACTGCTTTTTTGATTCTTTCATGTTTAGTAAATACCGAAGTATTCCGTAATCGGAATTTAATTCTACATTCTCATTCCGATTACGGATACGTAAACACGCCCTTAAATCCATGCTTTTTTGGGATGAAAAGATTGAAAAATTTCGAATTAAAACCATAGCTGTTATGGTTCGGTTAGGGAGATACCGAACATCTTCCAAAAACAGTTTCAGAACTTCTGTTCGGATGCGTACTACCGAACCTTCCCAAATGTGTGCAAGGAAAGATGACGAAGTTGTGTTTAAGGGTTTAAAGAGATTAGTGCACATTGTCGTCCCATGTAAGGGTATAATTTGAAGACAATTTCATTAATCTGCTGGGTGCGAAGAGAGATTATTTGGGTGTAAACATAAACTTCCTTTGTAATATTAATTAGAAATTAACTCAACTCTTTCATATGCTTTTTATCGATTTATGAAATTTCATGCTAATTTGAATTTTTATATTATAAATCACTTTAAAGATTATCTTTTAAAAAAATCAATAAAATAAGGGATGCTTAGTTATCGAATTATATAAACAAAAAAAAAAAAGAAAAGGATACTCGTCGGATCATTTTCATAGGATCCTGTGATCATGACCGTTCATCGTACATCGTGCAATCAAAAATAATATTAAATTTAAAATTTAAAATTTAAAATTAAATATAAATAGTATTTAATGAAAACTGACTGCACGATGTACGATTAACAGTCATGATCAAAGGATCCCATGATGGATCCGTTTCCTAAAAAAATCGTCAGATACAATGAAAAGAATAGGGAAAATTTGAAATAGGTCCAATTTTATAGATTACCTTTTGAAATAGGTCCAATTTTTAGTTACTTTTGACTTTTGAAATAGATCCAATTTTTAATTACTTTGGACCCATTTCAAAAAACCCCATGAAAATATTATCAATCATCTATTTATTTGCTACAGTTGTTTTTCTAAATGACCTTATCTTAAGTTTGTGGTCCAATATTTTAGTTTATAAGGTCTTTGATTGCACCCATATGTTTCAGGAAACTTCTTCTTCCTATTGTAATACTTTAGAACCCTCTCCCATTTTAATAATACTTTAAAAACAAACAATCTTAGTTTTAATTTAATTATTTTATCCATTTATAATACGATGATCGTAAACACGGAGATTCGTCAATTTGTCACAAAGAATTTTGAAGATGAACAATCATAAGAGTCAAGCCTTCCTCTATCACCTTCCACTAATCTTATCCAAAACATATAAACTCGTTACAGTCTCATGAAACGTAGAGAGGCAGAAAACGATGAGCTCACAGCTCTTATCTTTCACACCTCTACACCCCATAACCAGCACCATAACGCCGCCACTTCCACCACCACCGCCACCAACTCCATCTCGTCTCCGCCCTCCAGTCTCAACCCCAAAATCACAAACCTTTCACACCCTTTCCCAACGAACCCACATTCCTTCTCATGTCTACAAGCACCCTGCAGCCATCCTCCTCGAGCTCTGCACTTCCGTGCAAGAACTCAACCAAATCATCCCCCTCATCATCAAGAACGGTCTCTACAACGAGCACTTGTTCCAGACCAAGCTTGTCAGCTTGTTCTGCAACTATGGCTGCCCCAATGAGGCCGCTCGGGTTTTCAACACCGTTGAGGACAAACTCGAGGTCTTTTACCACACTTTGCTCAAAGGCTATGCCAAGAACTCGTCTTTAGGTGACGCCTTTTTGTTCTTTTGTCGAATGAAGTATGATGGTGTTAAACCTGTTGTGTATAATTTTACATATTTGTTGAAAGTTTGTGGTGACAATGCTGATCTTAGGAGGGGAAAAGAGATTCATGGTGATCTAATTAGTAGTGGGTTTGCCTCAAATTTGTTTGCGATGACCGCGGTTGTGAATCTGTATGCGAAATGTAGGCAGGTTGATGAGGCATATAAGATGTTTGATAAAATGCCTGAGAGAGACTTGGTTTCTTGGAATACCATTGTTGCTGGTTATGCGCAAAATGGGTTGGCAAAGATAGCTATGGAGTTGGTTATACGGATGCAGGAGGAAGGTCAGAAGCCTGATCCGATCACGTTGGTCACCCTTTTGCCTGCTGTTGCAGATTTTGGGTCTTTGATAATTGGAAAATCAATACATGCGTATGTTGTAAGAGCTGGTTTCGAATGGCATGTAAACCTTTCTACCGCTCTTGTAGACATGTATTCAAAATGTGGATCGGTGGGGACTGCTCGGTTGATTTTCAATAGGATGAAGCACAAGACTGTTATTTCTTGGAATTCCATGATAGACGGGTACGTACAAAATGAGGACCCCAAGGAGGCAATGGAGGTTTTCCAGAAGATGTTGGATCAAGGCTTTGAGCCAACAAATGTTACTATAATGGAAGCTTTGCATGCTTGTGCTGATTTGGGAGATCTTGAGCGAGGAATGTTCGTACATAAACTATTGGATCAGATGAAACTCGGATCTGATGTTTCGGTCATGAACTCTTTGATATCCATGTATTCGAAGTGTAAGAGAGTTGACATCGCTGCAAAAATATTTAACAAGTTGCAGGGTAAGACCCCAGTCTCATGGAATGCCATGATATTAGGTTATGCACAGAATGGGCGCGTCAGCGAGGCTTTAAGTCACTTTTGTGAGATGCATTCTCAAAATATAAAACCAGATTCATTTACAATGGTGAGCGTCATCCCTGCTCTCGCAGAGCTATCAGTTACACGACAGGCTAAGTGGATTCATGGACTTGTAATAAGAAAATGTTTTGACAAAAACGTTTTTGTGATGACTGCTCTTGTTGACATGTATGCAAAATGTGGAGCTGTGCACACTGCTAGAAAACTTTTTGACATGATGGATGAGCGGCATGTGACAACATGGAACGCTATGATTGATGGATATGGAACAAATGGACTCGGAAAATCTGCTGTGGATCTGTTCAATGAAATGAAAAAAGGAACAATAAAGCCGAATGATATAACGTTCCTATGTGTGATCTCTGCTTGCAGTCATTCGGGTTTAGTGGAAGAGGGTCTACAATACTTTGCAAGCATGAAAGAAGATTATGGCTTGGAGCCTGCAATGGATCACTACGGGGCCATGGTTGATCTCCTTGGTCGAGCTGGCCGGCTAAATGAGGCTTGGGATTTTATTCAAAATATGCCTATGGAGCCTGGTATTACTGTCTTCGGAGCCATGTTGGGGGCTTGCAGAATTCATAAAAATATAGAGTTGGGGGAAAAGGCAGCAGATAAGATATTTGAGTTAAATCCTGCGGATGGCGGGTATCATGTTTTGCTTGCTAACATATATCAAACAGCTTCGTTGTGGGACAAAGTGGCCAAAGTGCGAACGATGATGGAGAAGAAGCGGCTCCAGAAAACCCCAGGCTGCAGTTTAGTGGATTTGAAGAACGAGGTTCACACTTTCTATTCCGGGAGCACGAGCCATCCTCAATCCAAAAGAATCTATACTTTTCTGGACACTCTGGGAGATGAGATCAAGGCGGCTGGTTATGTGCCGGACACCAATTCAATTCACGATGTGGAAGCTGATGTTAAGGAGCAGTTGCTCAATAGCCACAGTGAGAAGCTGGCTATTGCGTTTGGGCTCTTGAACACTACTCCTGGTGCAACCATACACATTCGGAAGAATTTACGAGTTTGCGGTGATTGCCATAACGCAACCAAGTACATTTCGCTTGTAACTAGACGGGAGATCATCGTGCGTGATATGCACCGTTTCCATCACTTCAAGAATGGAACATGTTCGTGTGGCGATTATTGGTGATTATATCTTTGTTCGATTTATATTTTTGGCAGTCGTGCACTCGCCACTGTCCTGTTGTTTTAACGGGCTAAATTGCCATCCCTGTCTGGACCGAAGAGTTCTCCTGTTGCAGCCCTGGGGAACTTTCAGGGAACAAAATTAATAGATAAGGAAAACAGTAATGTTAAAAATGTTATCACAAAACACTATGTATCGGCATTCATCTCAACTCAGATTCTTTGAACACGAAGTACTGCGTAACTGTAAGGCCATACTTGTTACAAAACTATGTAGGCTATATTGCTCACTTATATTCTGCAATCTCAAAAACTCGGGCAGTTCCGTCGGTAGATACTGAAACAATAAACTCTTGGTTGGCAGAAACGGAAAGAGACTGAATGGTTTCGGTATGGCCACTGAAGGTTCTAACACAATCACCAGATCGACTATCCCAGACTCGAACCTTTCCATCCCCGCAACCTGTTGCTAGGTAATTTGATTGACCAAGCCATGTCAAGCATGTCACTCCATCCTGCCCACAAGTAAGATTTTTTTCATTAGACAGCAATTTGAAATTGACACTAACACTGGCTGGAAGTAAACACACTGGTAACAACTCGGAATATTGGAACTGGATAGGTAGGTATATATATTGTACAAGAAGAAACTCCAACAGACCTCATGTTCACATGTAGCACGGGCCGACGAAGAAGGCAAATCCCAGATAACAAGCTTCTTATCCATACTTCCAGTTGCAGCCCATGGAGAGCTGCCATACCCAATTAAATTTGAGTATAGTGAAAGTATACTACATGATTTAGAAACACATTGATTGCAATTGCAAAGATATATACGATACATATAGTTTCCTTGTACAGGATTTCATAAATTCATAATGAAAACAGTTCAATTTGAATGTCTGAAAGGCTTGAATGTACCTTGGTGCAAGCCCGACGCATTCAACAGAATCGGAATGTGAAGATAGGGAACTAACAACCTGTTGTTGTGAAAAAGGAATTCTATTAAAAGCCTGATAACTAGTAGAGCGAAACCAAGGAACTAACCAATAAGCAATCGCAATGTAACAAAACTACATCACACCTTTCCGGTAGTTATGTTGACGATATGGATAGAGCCATCTTCAGAACCAGTATAAGCTAGAGTTGAATCAGAGCTTATTGCCAAACACGTTAATCCAGCAGTATGGTACGGGTGACCTAAAAGACAGAAAAAGTCAAAATTTCCAATATGAGGGCAAGCAAATACCGTTTCTGTGATAAATTCAAATAGACAAAACTGCTGGATATCAGAAACAACATCAGTTCAGTCTTTCACTTCCTGTTAATGTCACCAACTTTTAGCAATATAAAATGGCACAACTCATTAATATAGCATGACAGATTTGGTCTGCACAGTGTATGCATTGAAGCTCAAAACTCAGGATTAGCATGCCCAAATGCAAGGAATTAACTTGTGATACATAAGGAATGATAGATGCCAGCACCATGATAGAAAAGGTACTTTAGGTAAGTTAACTGAACGAACTAAATGAAAATGGAAATATAGAATTAAAAGAAATTCATCATGGGTAATCAAATTTGGTGAAAGGATGAAAAGATAGAGCTTCAGCCCAAGTTTCTGTATTGACACCTCATAAAATCTCAAATTTCTGCCCATATATTGTGTATATTGGCCAAAATTTTGGACCTTGTATCGAATGTCAGTCTTCTCGGATGTATTGCAACAAAACATCAGTGTCATCCTTATCATTGTTTGGTTTAGGGGATTCTCTGCTCTGTCATATTACGGTTTCAAACCGGTAGCTTCTTATTGAACTTCGAACATTGCAACATCAACCGGTAGCTCCAAAAAATTGTGGGGAAAACTAAATAATCACGATCATTTGGATTCAAGGTTTCATACTACCTATTTCTATACTGATTTTTGCTCCAAAACTTCAACTAACTCGTAAGAGGAACAACATAGGAAAGTTATATAATAACTTGAAAAGATACCTTGTATGACATGAATGTTTTCACCACTTTTTGGATTCCATATTCTCAAAGTTGCATCAGCAGAACCAGTGCATATTGTTTTACCTTAAGCAAGCAGCAAAAGACATGAAAACATATACCAATGGTGACAGTTAAAAAAACATCAAAATGCTTTTTGAATCAGTTTAAATAGATGAAATTCATGATATAACAGTTTACGGAGTGAGAGAAGCAGACAGATTGAAGCACAAAGATGAAGAATAGTTACCATCAGGGGTAAAATCACCACAACTCACGTTACTACCATGGCCTGAAAACATATTAAGATAGGAACCATTGTCAGCATTCCACATCCAGACTGTGCAGTCCTCTGAACCAGCCAGGACCAGATGCCCCCTAGGATGCCACCTGACCCACTGAGAAATCACATAGTCCATATTAAATTTCTAATAAAGTAAGTACAATCACAGTAAGAAATAGAGCCTAAAAGTTTTACCTCAATGCCCCCTCCAGGACCTTCAAGAGTTCTTTTCAGAACTCCGTTTGCTACATCCCAAATTTGAATAATTCCATCCAAGCTTCCGGATGCAAGCAACAGCCCATCAGTACTAAATGATAAATTAGAAACAGAATCCTTATGACCTGCAGAGTAGTGTAGGTGAAGTTAAACTAGCAAAGCGGAAATAAAATCCAGTGAGTACATAGTTTGGTACTTTTAAGCTAGGTTTCTAATATAAAATTGGGTTCAGACAAATGCACACGAGCATGTAAAATATACTGATATTCTCTCGTACACCTACCTTGGAGCTCAAAAGCATAATCTCCTACTCCAATTCTCCAAAGAAACCCTCTGTCATCTCCACCACCGGTTGCAACCAAAGTAGGATCTGTTGGGCTGCAGACAACTGTGTAAAGCTCACCTGTCCCAGAAAGGAAAGGTAAATAGTTGATACCCTAAACTTTCAAGTAATCCAAGAAATAGAATTGCGCGAACTAAGCAGCAAAGCATCAAGCTAAAGCCAAAGCTAATACAGATTTTATTTCCTAACCAACCCATGTGCAGATAAAATAAACAATAACAGGTCATATAGATTTCATTTCCTAACCCTAACACACAAAGCAACAGTCAAGAACTCCGTCGAGGGGCAGAATAATCGACAGTTTCAAAATCAATGCAGCTAGAGAGTGAAATAAACATTAACCCTTGCATCTTATCTCAGTGATGCCTATAACAACCTTAAGAAAACCCCTTCAGTATAAGATTCTGAAATTCCTCCAGCATAGTAAGTTAATAATGACGCAAAAACATAAAACATTTCTGCCTAATGCTAACTATTTGCACCTTTCGCGGTTGAGTTTCACTCACTTCATCATTGGAAAAATGTATAACTCTTGCAAGTACTTGGTAGTCAAGTCACCATTGATTATTTCAACTTAATTGATTGTTAATAACACATAATGTCTGTAGCAGGTGAAATGCAAAAAGAAACACTGCAACTGAAACACTTACCGTTATGGCCAGTGAACGTGTGCATGGAATCATCGTCATCAGGCTCATCTGAAACCACCATAAAACATACATACCATACCAAATCAATGTAATTAACTAAAGAGGAGAAACAAAACAAAACCCATTTCATACACATTGAATTATTAATGTCCGAGATGATATCAGTTCTAGTGAAGTAAGCATACCAACACTTTGATCATCTGCATCAGGAAGATCTGCAATCCACAAGAAATTAACAAAAATTTCAAATATTACTCTTTACACAAATATATATATATATATATATAGAGAGAGAGAGAGAGAGAGAGAGAGAGAGAGAGAGGGTGAGGACCTTCGTCATCAACAGTGGATTCTCGGATTATGTCATCTTCATCAAGAAATATCTCCCCCTGGTCATCTTCTTCTTCATGAAAATCATGAGCTGGATTGCTCATATTCGTCTCTAACACACAGACACAGAGAAGTTAAATTAGGCTTGAGTTCTTACGAAATATATCACGGAGGAGGAGGAGGAGGAGGTTGGTGGAGTTTGCGCCGACCTGTGCTCTGGGATGGCGGCGGCGGCGGCGGCGCAACAAGAGACACAGAGAAACAGAGAGAAAGTTGGACAAGGAAGAGTTGTGCGGCGTCGGAAGTGAATGTAATAGTGATCAGATGTTAAATGGTCCATTGTCTTTCTTTCTAACAGCCACTTGTTTACCGACACGTGTAAATAATATTTCCTTTTTAATTAACTTTTCACCTGTGGTTCCCATTTTTGCTGCGAGCTGAAGCAAAACCCCAATTTCAACATTTAGGGTTTTGCAGAGGCATCTTCTTACTCTCTCTGTGTTGGTTGCAGAGATGCTCCCAGTGTTGAAGATCAAGTAAAATCCGCTATCTTCAACCATGTCATGGTCTGGGGTTTGTAAGAGAGCTCTTCCCCTCTCAACTTACCTCAAAAGCTCACACCTTTTCACTCTCCAGTCCAGGTAAATATTTCCATTGCTTCAAAGGACATGATTTCCGAACGCCATTTTTCTCCTTCTACACGCCCCTGTTTATTTCTATCTCTTGATCCTCGATTGGCTTATTCAATCAAATGACAAGGATTAAACAGGGGTTTACAGAAGCCGGAAAAAAAGTGTGCGGAAATCACTTCCCGGCTTAAAATTGCTGTTACAGAATATAACTTTGTGAATGCCATGTGTGCTTTGTATCATGTTTTAATTTTTTGTGTTGAAATGATATGATGATCCAGATGCATACCCAATTGTAATTTCAATGGAGGTGGTAGTAGTATTATTGCATATCAGAGGCATTTCAGCCATGATAGTAAGAATATGTGGCGGCGATTTGAGTTAAGCTCGTTCAACAAGCGTGGTAGTCAGCTCTCACCATTTGCTTCTCAATCTCTGTTGAGAAGAATCCAGAGACCCTATTCTTCTCTGGCTGCCACGCAACGAAAATCACGCAAGATGCTTTACTACTTGACGGGTTTGGTTTTTGCAATGGTGGCAGCCAGTTATGCAGCTGTTCCTCTTTATAGAAGATTCTGCCAAGCTACAGGGTATGGAGGCACTATCCAACGCCGTGAGGTCTGATTCTGTTCGATTTTTCGGGCTGCAATATTGGTTTCTTTCATTCCGAATTTGTTTGATTTAACAATGATTTGCACCTTTGCTTTCTTTAGAGTGTTGAACAGAAGATTGCTCGGCATGTTAAGGATGGCACAGTCACAAATAGGTCCGCATTCTGCTTCTAAAGTGACAGAGCTTGTCTCTTCTTATGGTTGTGAAATTATCAAATCCTTAATTTTCATTTTACTTTTATGTTTTCCATGCCTATGGTATTCATAAATGAATGCTTTCTATGTCCTACCCCTACCCCTATCCCAATTACACAAGAGTTTCACACGATTTCAGAAAACATTATGGAAACCTTTGTCTCTTATTCTTGAGTTGTAAATCAGAGTTTAATTAGTAGATTCAGCGGAATCTGAATGATGTTATTCTCCAAGATGTGTAATTTTTTACTTATATTGAATGAAGTCACCAACGTTTATATTCTCATATGACATCCTCTTGTAGGGAGATAGTGGTGCAGTTCAATGCTGATGTGGCTGATGGAATGCAATGGAAGTTTATTCCTACACAAAGAGAGGTTTTTCCTTTCACAATGTATTTATTTGTTTGCTACATCCATTATTATTAGTAACCACATATTTTTCAAAGCAAAGGGTCTCTCTACAATTTTGGTGCTTTACCGTAACATTCTTGCCTTATTTCTGGAAGGTAAGGGTAAAGCCTGGAGAAAGTGCACTTGCTTTCTATACCGCTGAAAACCGAAGTTCAACTCCAATAGTTGGTGTCTCAACATATAATGTTACCCCTATGAAGGTACTGCCCGATAATGTTTCTTTGTGTTTATTCACGTGTCTTTAAATTCCATTTCTTGACTCTAGTATGAACAGTGCCTCAATGTATTTCGTTGGGTTTTAATAAACCTTGATTATCTAGATCTCATGGAACAATTTGTAACCCAAGACAGGTGATAACACAAAATGCACTGTAGGATGAGCCTGAGATAGCTCTATACAGTGCCGTGAAAGTTTCCATTTTCATGGCTTTTGAAATACAGTTTATTATATCGATGTAATTTCTTGACATAGGGAGTGGTATGAGGACAGTGAAGGAACAAATAGAATCATTGTATGAAATCAATGCCAGCCGAATGAAACATTTGAAAGATGCCTTGAACTAATATGCGTCGATATGGCCATAGAATTGAAAGCATATTTGTGTGTGGAGAATTTCTAGTCATGAAAAACATCTCGTGAAATCAAGAGCACTTATGACGAGGCAAGGGATCATTGGTTTGTGCCAGTTTCCATCGTTGACACAGCTTATGAAATCATGAGGAAGAAATTAGTTGGGTTGCGCTTGATTCTGGTAGGGGCTAGTGAGAAATCCCTGGTCCAGATGGTTTTCCTATGACAGTTTTCCAAGAATGTGGGATGTGGTCAAGGGTGATTCTTGACTCTTTTCCAGGATTTCTTTTCGGGGTCGTTAATGCTTGCAATAATATGACCCATATTTGTTTGATTCCCGAGAAACCCCATCTTAGCAGCCCATCATCTTGGTTATAAGTTTGTATAAGATTGTGGCAAAGATGCTGGTACAATGTGATTTAGGAGTCGTCTAGTGTAAACATATGTTCACTTTATCTCGATTCCAAAATCATGCCTATTGTTTCAGTACTACATTTTTAAACAACCTTTCTAATCTAACAGCTTAAAAGCATGTTTCTAGGAGTTTCATGCACTTCACATCAGAATTTTTGGGTTCTGATAATTGTTCATTTCATTTTTCCTGTCAAGTATTGCTTAACTATGCTCTGGTTAGTGATAACGTAATGTTTCTTTCCCAGGCTGCAGTTTACTTCAATAAAATACAGTGCTTTTGCTTCGAGGAGCAGCGGCTTCTGCCGGGGGAGCAGATTGACATGCCTGTAAGTAGTGTGCTTTAAATTACTAATTGCTTAGAAGCAAAATTGCTGTACTGAAAGACATGTTACTTTTTTGCAGGTGTTCTTTTATATCGACCCCGAGTTTGAAACAGATCCAAGAATGGACGGTATCAATAACATAATTTTGTCCTATACATTTTTCAAGGTCTCAGAGGAATAAAGACGGTCTGCCATTTCAATAATTCCGAACGTGATTTGCATAAAGCTATAGAAATGACCAGACTCGAAGCGTCGAGGAAGAATATTTGGTGTTTTCTTTTCCATATTTATTGCAGATCATGTTTCTGCAGTAGGTTTCAATTTATGGATGAAAGAAATGTGAAGGAAGAGGTCTTGGTTTTGACAATAAAACTACATCGGTTATACTGTTTATACACTGAATTATTTGTTCATTCATTTGTTTCTTCAGTATACCTATGAGTTTGTCGATACATCTGCCCAGCAGCATACGCCTGCAATCAAGGTCTCTAGTCCGATTACCGCCTCCCCAAGTACTGCTTGTATGTGAAAAATTAAGAGCTCGTTTGGATGGGTTTTCAAAATGACTAAAAACGCTTTTAAAGAAAATGTTTTTTGGTTCCAAAAAGTGCTTTCTATAAGAAGCACCAGTTATGAACTTATTCCTAGAAGCACATTAAGTGCTTTTTCAAAATTTACTTGCATTTTTATTAAGAATCGGGTCCAATAATATTTTCACCAAAAGCGCTTTTAATCATTTTAAAAACATATCCAAACGAGCTCTAAGTAGCAAAAAGTCTTATATAGGGTTGTCATCGTTTAAATGTTGATGAAGAGATATGAAGAAATTAAGGTTTCATCATAAAACCAATTGACAATACGGAGGTTTTTTACTTTTATATCCTCATAAGATGAATCGTCTTCCTCATAAAAGCATCTCCTTGCTGTAATGACTTGCTAGTTCGAGTTGCTAGTTGAACTTCGAGATTCAACTAATTGAGATTTAGAAATCTCAACGGTTCACTCATGAAAAAAAAAGTACGGGTGAGCAAAGCTACATACGTAAACACAGAAATGACCAAATTAAACAACAGATACAACTCTCTTTCTCTCTCTCACTTCACCACCCACAGCAACTTAATTATGTTTTGCACCGTGAATGCTAAAATTAGCGTCAACAAACAAATAAAATCATCAACAAAATGCAATTAAAATAAACATATTTGATCGGGGCAAAGGACACATTAAATTCACGGCAGAGCTGAATGAGGAAAAAAGACTTGAAAGAACAACACCGGCGATTTCAGGTTTACAAGAAACACCGGATAAACGGCGACTGCAATCTTTAACTTTCAAAAGATGCAGCAAACAAGGTGAAAATGACTACATCCTGGCTTGCTAACCAAATACGATATTGAACCTGCGGATATCTAGTATCTGTACATACACCTCCGGAAACACAGACCAAAGGCGATTTAGTATTTGTAACCCGACAAACACAAGTCTTCTTGTAAGCTTGAGAACTATACACCCAGAGGACCCTAAAACTGGGAGTTACTTCCACCACCAGAACTGTCTAAACAAGTATATTTTCCTCATCCGAGCATCGTATGCCATGAAGGCTCGCGCTTTGACAGGGTCAGCATTCAAATACTCAAATGCATACATCTGTTTAGCCTCTTCCAAACCATCAATCTCCATCACAGCCTCTAGTAGTTGAGAGGCGTCAATTGAGTATTTGCTTTGCTCCATTGCATCAGCCAAGCGACGAATGCTTGACGCCACAGCCATCATTGCATCCTGAAGGGCTTCTGAGCCACGAGGGCGTTTCGGAAGTTGTCTAAGTGGCTGGATCAGAGGGGGGTCTTGAATACCATCTGGCACCTTGTTATACCCTTCTTCTGGTTCACTATATGACTCAGTTCCATCTGTCTCACTTAGGTCATCTGAGCTTGGAGAAAGAAATGAGGCAGAATCATCTTCACAATTCTTCATCTCACTTGGATGGCCTCCATCCTTCATCTTAGCCCAGCGACTAGGGACTTGATAGTTTCCACAAACAATTTTGAGTTCATCATACATCTCTATTGGCTTGCCTCGAAACCCTTTTGCATCAGGATGTGCCTATTTATGGAATTAACAATATCACCAATATGCAAACTATAAATAGAAGCATGAAAATTGGAAGAATAAAGAAGAAATTGACTCACTGCAATGTATCTCTTCCAAAGTTCTTGATTGTCACACTCGATCATCTTTGTAGTGGGATTCCACCTGAAACCATCTTGACTCAGGATATCCTTCATTGCCTTATACCTCTTCTTTATGGTCTTAAGACGATTAATGACCTTTTGATTGTTTAAATTCAAGTTGAAACGAGAGTTCACAGCAATACAAGCAGCAGTGTAAGCATGTTCATTAAAGCTCTTGTCAATTTTGTTTCCATGCCTAGCTTGAATAGCAAGGGAATCAATTAAACACTTATCCATTGCATGTGACCATACAACATTTCTTCCAGCATTTCTTCCTTTTTGCTTCAAATCCCTTCTCTGTCTATGCAGGTCATAGTGATCCATCTCGAACTCTGAAAATCAAATGATAACAAATAAATAAATAACCCAATAACTAGTTTGGTGCTATATGAAAGAATATGGTGCACATAAACTTGCAGGTGGGGAGTAATTATGATGGAAATCCTGAGGAACTCAAGTATCAACATAGGAAAAGAAAGAAAAACAATGCATAATGGTTTTCAAGATCAACTACTACTTGCAGTTTTTCACCCAGCTTTTTATAATCTCCTGAGCTGGCCATCGTGACGTGCATACATGAAAATGGAATTTCAATGTAGTGTAAGATATAAACCTATTAATATGTATTTAATGCACAAGAAAAAGATCAAAACATGTACAATATTCAATCATACATCTGCCAGAGGTCATGATGGTCACTCAAAGGGTTATAGGTTCAACAAATCGACTCTACACTTTGATAACTCTAACTACTTAAAATCCATGTATGGATTACCAATTCCATGAATGGATAACTCTAACTACTTAAAATCTATGCTTCCTAATCCAATGATCTCCCACTGCTGAAAGTGTGTTTATTAATGACACATGAAATCATACACTAACAATAAAATTACGCTCAGCATATAATGATGATAACTACTACTTACAGGTCCTATCCATACTCGTATTAGATTTATCTCAGAGGTAATGATACTTTCACTCGACGTCACAGGAAAAAAAGGATAGGGCCAATTAAAAAATGTGGAAGCGTCACAGGGACTCATACGCAACAGTAAACTTCAGCTAACATCTCATAGCACCGAAAACGAGTATATACATTCATAGACAAAGTAAATGAAAAACGAGGATAAACAACCCTTATAGAGATTTCTATTCTTTCTATTTTGTCAAAAAGCAATCCCAATCCCATATGTATTATGCTTCTCAAGATCGCAGAGAAAACGGAGGTCAGGAGACAAAAGAATTGTAAAGTACAGATTTTTCAAGCCTCCCAAAAAATAAACACTCTTGCTTTACGAAGTCCCCAGTGTTTCGTCTACGTGCAGTGTAAACTAACAATTGTTCAAACTACAGAAACTACATTGTTAAAGCAAGTAAGAGTGTAATTTCATTCCATTCCTCGAAAACAAAAGTAAGTGCACATTCATATGGATTGGGGATGACTTCAATCTTTTCACAGGCAAAACTTCATTACATATGTTTATATAAAGAATTCCATACCACCTAACAAGCTCAAGCAATTAGAATAACATTCTATATATACACTCGCACAGTGATATAGTGTATGCATACATGCAAACATACATTTATACAGCGCGAGAGAGGGAGAGATACCCTGGTCAATGGAGAGAGGAAGTAGCGATCTTTTCAAGTGGTGGAGCTCTCTCGCCGGTCAAATTGCCTATTCCCACTGCATCTGATCGCCGGGAGATGCAGAGACGGCGTTAGGATGAGGAATGAGGACCGCTGCCACACTTCATTTGGGAAATTAGGGTTTTTCGTTTTTGTAATTTTTCTTTTCTTTTCTTTTTTTTTCTCGAGAAAAGTTGGAAAATTTTTCTCGAGTGGTGACACTTTCTCGAAAGCCAAACGCCAAAGAAAAGCGCATTTGGTCTTCCGCTCCCGTACGCAATAGTCTGTGGATTTGCAGGACGGACTTATCATGAAGTGCCACGTATACTTGAAGACAGATGTACCAAGAGAGGAATGCTGCTGTGACTTCGTAATTGGTATCGAATTAGTAATTACGAGATCTAAACTTAAATTTTAAGTTAAAAAAGAATATTATTGGATTAAGTACAAAAAAAACTTCTATATGGTTGGTTGATTTTGAGTTATATTACTAATCATGGACTGCTTCAATTGTGAAATTCTGCCTTTGGATTTCATTATACAATTCTCCTGGGTTTATTTTAATTTAGTTAATTTTAAATTTTTGGTTTCTCAGTTAAGGTTGGATTTTTTATAAGTATTCATTAAAAATTTGTAGACCTCTCGGGATCACTCTTGGTAATTTTGGATAAAACTCAATCGCATGAATACATGGGAAAAAACTGTTCGAGAATCGAAATTATAAGGAAAGAGAAATAAACACGCAAAGGCATGAGCATTTTCCTCAATTAGAATTCTATATATGGAAATCTCCAACAAAGTTGGAGTCAACCCCTTCCGTTATAAAAACTGTGGTCAACCTATTTGACCTAATTCATCTGCGACTATAACTCTGCTTCCAGGTGAGTTTTCAGGCGTCGTTTGTAGCAGTTTTCGACAACGATGAGCTTATCCACCACCCCCGATCAACTCAGCATCACCTTAGCTTTCTTTTCCACCCAAAATTCACTCCAATTGATTGCCATTTTCGATGAGTCAACGTCCTAAGCTTCTGAGCTCCTCGACGGCAAACTTGTTGTTTCCAACCATCTTGATGCCATCCACGACCACCAATCGACAACAGCCCAGGAACCCAGGAGGATCTCCTTGGGTCTTGATTGCTCGTTGGTGTAGTGATGACAGCACGGTGAGGCAACCATTTCTTCGGTGGTCCATGAATTTGACAGTGGTTTTCGCCGTCCTCAGGCCAATTCTAGACTCCGCTGAAGGTATGAAAATTTCTCCCTTATTTGTAATGTAGCTCTTGGTAAATTTTGAGCCATTTTGGCGATTATTGAAATTTTCATCAAGCGAGGTCTACAGCCGCCGCCTTCAGTGGAGCTTAACCACTGACCCGACGTGAACTTTCTAAGCCAAGTACGATTCTCTAAATCTGTATTTGATATCTATTTGATGTGATTTTATTGTTTGCATTTAATTTAGTAAAGAGCCACCAATTAGTCTTTATGGTAGGTGAAGATTCGATCGCTGGTTCGTAATGAAATTTTGTATTTTTTTTGCATATATTATATG